TGCCCGTGCAGAGACGCTAGCGCAGGTTTGTGCCTCCTCCTACGTCCCATCATCCAGTGCTAGTTGGCTAGTCTCTGAAGGAGAAAACTAGAATTATTGGTTAAAAATTTGAAGGATCCTTAAAACAATTCACGGGTTGTACGGATGATCAAAGAATGGCAAGTATCGTTGGATATTTGTATGGTAGATTTAGAGAAATTTTAATTAAAAATAAAAATGATAATGATAATAACAAGATCATGCTCTATTTATTTGAGAGCTTTAAGCAGGCATCCGCAAAAACTGAATTACTATTATATTTTTCATTTAAAAATCAAAAGTTTTGTTTTTGGTTTATTTTCAATTCATCGTATATCTATAATAACACTAATCTAATGATTTTTTTTTGTTTATTTGCATTATTTTAAAATTTTAAAAAATAAAAGTTTAAACCAAACAAAAGAACTGAAAACAATTCAGTTCATTTTTTTATAAAAAAATAAATGAAAAACCAGATTAAAATATAAATTTCAATTCAATTTTACGATTTAAACGAATAGTGTTCACACTAGATACCAACCTCCCGGTGATTCTTATTTAATTTGACATTAGACTTGAAATAATATGATAACAAATAGTTCTTGATCAAATATCTTCAAATGATATTTAATTTCGCATTATTAAAAATAATAACAGCTTATTCTGTAATAAAAAAAGAAAAAGAAAACATAAACAATTTTACCAATAAATAAACCAACAGCTTCGATTGAAACCAATTTGTTAATATGGTGCATTAAGAAGACCGTTGTTGGCTGCTCCTGATACTCTTGCAATTCAATTTTTTTCCCTTTTTTTCTTAATAGTCTTTCTTTTTTATTTTTTTCCTAATGCAAGATGTCAAGATAATGGAAAAATTGACGAGCAGATCGTGATTTGTGTATTATTAATAATTGGCGGCTAATGAAAACAAGGTAGTTTGATTGAGTCAAAGATGATACGCAACACAATAATCGAAGGAAAAGAAATTCGTTTGAATCCTGGTTGTAATTAACCTTATTTTTATACAGAGACATACGTTGTAAGCCATAAAGTGGCTTTTCTAATTCAGTGAAAAAGAAAAACAAAAGGTTAATTAAGGACACGAATTAGCAAGATATCCAGAATAACCCAAATCCCAATGGTTAAAGAATTTTCACTCAAAGAGCAATTGTGCTAACAAGGAGGATTTGAGCTCAAATGTTAAGATTTAGAATTTTTATATATAAATTTTAAATTCAAATCTATAAATTATTATCATATAAAAACACAATAAAAATTCTGACAATAAAAGAAAATGAGAAAATTATTCTGCATATTTGGAATAAAGTAGTATTCCTCTCTCATAGAAAGTGGATTGCTCTTATATATATATATATTATTTTATTTTTTTCCTCGTAAATTTTATTTTTATATGAGAATAGAAAGTATGGACGTTACTAATAATTTCTCAACAAATTAAAATTAAATAGCAAGTGGATCTTGTATTTTAGCATTCTTTTAGTAGTTTCTTCTATCATCTGACTGGTTCGTAGGAGCTCACTTGAATATCTGGTGGTCATGTGCTCATAGGATCATGGTCCAACAAATTTGTAGATAGATACGGTGAGAGAAAGTTAACAGTTGGAGTTCGGGAGAGGGAAAAGTTTTGATTTCTGACGGTTAGTTAGCCAAGCCGATAGCTCTTGGCTTCCCCGGCTAACAATTTGCCAATTTCCATCTGCCAAGTGGCAGCGATTTAACCTTTCATTTTCTCACAATTTATATATATAAACTTGTTTTTATAAAACAATGTCTCTTCCTAGCCAATGACTGATATTATAATTTTTTTTATTTATCTATTCAAACGTTTTTTTGTCGATAAAGCCCACTGATATTAGTGTTTTTTTTTAAACAATGCCTTTTATGAGTCAATAAACTGTAATTCAATTAGAATTAGTTTCTTTTTTCTTTTCTTTTTTTGCAAAAAAAAATTTGGTGTTCGAGTCTTTTTTTTATATAATAAAAAAATAAAAAAACAATATTTTGTTTACATACAGAAGAATTTCAAATTCCAACATCCTAAAACTTCATTATTGAAATTTTATATATTTATATGATATTCAATTATAGCTTTTAATATATGTTTCACGTGTATAATAACCATAAATTTATTTTATTTTTAAAAATAAAAAACATTATGAATAATTTTTATTATTCAATTTAAAAACTATTAGTAATATTCAATTTAATAGATGCATCATAATTTTTATTATGTCCATTGAATTATTATTATGGAATGGTAGAAGTAATATCTTTTATAAATGGCTTGTTAACTTTATAAAAATATAAACTCTACCGATGCTATAAAGAAATGTTTGAGTTAAACTTACAATTCTGTTTGAAATAAAACTATTTAAAATCAAATAAAACAAAAAATTTATATTATATATTTAAATTACACAACTTCAACAGATTATTTTTATCAATATCAATATTATAAAAATTTATATTTATTTTTTTATACCTCAGTTATAAATAGAACAAGAGAAACAAATTTTGTTACCTTTTAAACTTAATTTAATTGAAAAATGTTAAAATACTATTATAAATTTGTGATTGGGATTGCTTTATAGGGAAAATAAAGAAAATATGTACACAGAGGACCTCTTGGCAAAGCAAAAGCGATGCAAATCAACGGCTAGAATCTTTCAAACGAGCAGCCAAACTCAAGCCACCAAATCTCCGCATGGCTCAAGCTATTTAAAATTTTAAATATTTAATCGTAACGTACAGAAGGCAAACCTTCTAAATTAACGAACATTGCCACACGAAATAGAACAAAAGCCGTTGGATGTGTTTAACAGAGTAGGTCCCATGCATCCAACGGTGTTGAAAATTGGTGTCCATTGTTTCGTTAAGCTCTTGCAGTTTGGTTCCCCAATCTCTCTGCTTCAACTCTGCTCTTCTCCATCTCCATGGTCACTACTTCACGATTTTCCACTCAAATTCTCACAAAAGAATGGAAAGCAAAACCCTATCGCTCTCGTCTCATATTCCTCTCTAATACCCTAATCACAAAATATCTCTCACCCTTCATTTCTCTCCAAGAACTCAAAAACTTCCTCTCTACTTTCACATCAATTTCACTCCACTTTTTCACGTTTAAAAAATCATCACCAACCGTTCATAATTCTTGCATTGGCTCTAGTCAAGAAATTGCTAATGATAAATTTGATATTTCATGGAAAATATGGTAACATTGGTTTGTTTTCAGTGTCTAATTAAAGAAGAAGAGAATGGTGGAAGTTGGTAGCTCAAGAAGAGAGGATTTGGCTAAGAAGGATATATGGAACCAAATAAAGCAGTTCATGCTGTTTTCAGGGCCGGCTAGGCGGATATTGGGTTGTGGATTTATGTGCTGTTGATGAATCTTATTTCCACTGCTGTTGTTGGTCAGCGAAGCTCCACGGAGCTTGCTGCCTTAGGTAAATTTTTTCAAAAAAAGGTAAAATCTCATTTTTCTTTCAATAAATCTAGTTTAATAAAGACAGTGGCACAAACGTTAATGGAGCTAGTCTGAATATTTTATAGAATTGGGATGACAGTTTTGCTTTAAATAGTACACAAAGTTATGTTCTTTCGAGTGAATTAATGTATCAATTGTGATGATGGGATTTGGATGGACAGGTCCAGGGACAGTTTTTTGTGATAATAAGAGTCCTTTGTTCATGTTTCTCTCAATTGGTACTTCAAATATTGTGGCTACTTCACTTGCCAATCAGGTTATAAATTTGGATTAAACCGTTGATGTTTCGGTGGTTTAATTGATGCGAGTAATGTTGTTTATGAGAAAGGTTATGCAAATAGAAATTTTAATGGTTTCAAAAACATTATGAAATCAGCTAACATTTTTAACTGGATGTTGTCAATACAGGATAAAAATGAAGTCCAGCATCAAACATCTATTTTGCTCTTTGTTGGATTGGCTCTGACTGGTAATGCTGCTCTTCACAATTTAACAAGAACTGTACTAGGAATGCCAGTATATATAGAGGCCATCAGACGACTGATAAATTTTCTAAAATTACTATTTTCAGCTCTTGCTAGGCCAAAGACTCTGCATATTGTACCGGCAGCTAGCAAATATGTTCTGATGTTCAGGTTTATTTTCTTTTAACGTCAATATCATGCACTTTCTTTTTTCTTCCTTTTTTTAATAAAAAAAGGTGTCAAAAGACAAATTTCATGTTCTACTTAATTTTTTTCAACTCCAGCTATTTAATAATTGAAAATTTCTTCCTAATGAATCTCATATTTGATTGAATTGAATGTCTCTTTGCCGGTAGATTTGAGGCTTAGCATGGCCGCCGGTTTTTTATGGTTTGGTTTCTCAATGGGCAAGGTGCAGATACAATACATCTCTACCAACTGGCTTCTCAAAGTTCAAAATGGAGATTTCTTAGAATGAGATTTTGATGGTTTTCTTCTGATTCTCAGTCTTGGCAAGAAAGATTCATGGGGACCTTTGAAGGCTTTAATGGTTGCCAGTGCCGTAAATGGTATTGGTCATTTAGTCCTGTGCAGTTTGTTAGGCTATGGCATTGGAGGGGCAGCATGATCTAGAATCGCTTCACAAGTATGCTCAATTGACATTTTAGCAGTTAGGTTTTTCATTGGCTTACAGGTTTTCTCCTAAGTTTTCCATTCTTTTATGTAATTAAATTGGCACTCCTCCTAGCTTACCATAAATCAATGTGTTCGCAGGTCGTTGCTGCTTATATGATGATTGAAGTTTTGAACGGGAAAGGTTGCAATGCCTTTTCCATTTCCATTCCATCATCAAATGAATTTTCACATAAATTACCATTGCTGCTCCAGTGTTTGTCACAATGTTCTCAAAGGTTTGCTTCATTCTATTCGATCCTATACCATTCTGCACTCACGTTTGGTTATAATATGGCTTCTGAGATGTTTCCATGTCTTAGGTGGCTTTCTACACTCTCATGACATATTTCGCGACAGCTATGGGCGCATCTACAGTGGCTGCTCATCAGGTTGGTTTTGCTCCTGCTAATAGTTAGAATTCACAGAAGACTTTTTCACTCTGCAAGAAGCTGATAAATAAGTACATTGACAATTTTCCTTTCACTTTAGGTCATGATACAAATGCATGGCATGTGTGTGGTATACATGGGGTGAGCCTCTCTCTCAAACTGCACAATCATTCATGCCCGAGTTACTCTATGGAACAGAGAGAAGTTCAGAGAATGTCGCAATGTTCATATGTAGAGGATATTTCTTCTGTTGTATTTTTCACGTCGCTGTCAAGAAAAGGAAACGGAACTGTGATTGTGTTTTTTTGTGGTTTAAGATATGAAACAGGCTTGAATGCTGCTAAAGTTGCTGGTGATTATTGGAGTTATACTTAATGTTAGTAGCATCTGTCAGAGCATTTATTCCTCAGTCGTTCCCCTATATTTTCACATCTGATCTTGATGTAATACAAGAGGTTAGGTTCCATCTTGAGCTTTTGTAGATCATTTCCTAGTTTTTACTACTTACCATAGCTTTCCCATTCTGTAACTACTTAGGAAACCTGCATAAGTTTTCTATATTGCAATATTCATATTTCACAAGACAAAAAGAAGTCTTTGCATCTTGCATGAAATATTACAGGATGTGGAACTTAATTCTAGTATCTTGCATCTAAATGGTTCCATGCAAATATTTTATGCAATTGATTCTGCTTGGTATTTCAATATGTGTCCCCGCAGATGCACACAGTGTTGATATTGTTCTTTGTTGCATTATCTGTAACACCTGCACTCACAGCCTTGAGGGAACTTTGCTGGTAGGTTTTTTAACTCCAACCTGTCGTTTCATGTTTCACATCTATGTTCTTTACAAGCTCTGGTGAAGATAGAATCATGTTTATTAATGCCTCTGGTGCAAATTTTATCTTCATTGCTCATAACAGTTACTCATCATATCAAACCTTTAGAGCCAAGTAAAATTTGATTCTCATGCTCTCCTTAGAACAATTAATGCTGTCGCAACTCACAAGTCTTATGAACTACTATCAATCTGGGAACAGAACTCTGCCTGCAACGGTCATAAAAAGGCTCACACATTGACCTCTAACTTGCTTTGATCAATCAAAGTTTCATGGTTATTATGCTCTACAAAGGAGCAACCGCAAGCACTTGTAGTCTAGGATTAGGCTTTCTTTTTCGTTTTGAAGGCTGGACACGATCTTAAATTCATCAGCTTATCAATGCACGGACGCTTTTCCTTGGGTGCTCTTCTATTACTGGTTAGACTTGTTTCTCTAATCCTCTACCATCAGGTTTCATAAGACTGACATCCTCAGCAAGTATTTAGGATTACTCATTTCCATATATTTATTTGTTTATCTGTTTTAGTTGAGAGCATGAAATTTCCCAGGCTTGATTTCTCTTCGCTCTTCAACGCCTTCTATCACCCGATGGTGCACTTGACTTGGAACGTACATACACTCCAATACAAACCGGGGGAAGTGAAAGCTGCTTAGTTTCTTGGTCCAGTAATTAGAATAAAGGTTACACAATGGATTAGGTGCATTATTTCATTTTCTTGCTCATTGCTGCTCTCAATCATTGCAAATTGGCATATTCTTTTGTTCAATCTGTCAAAGATCAAGCTGTCGTTATTCTGTCCTGACAAGGCCAATAGCATACTCAAGGCATGCCAGATGGTAGTAGTAGGAATCGTATACGGTTCTGTATTTGGTTACAAGATTGTTTTGTCATGTGTAAGTATCGTTGAAGCAAATTTGCTTAGGGATTCATGATTCTTCTTTGAGAATCAAAGGTTGTAAAAAGCCCAACTGTATGCTCACAAATTTTGCGCCTTTGTAGGGACTGCAATTATGTTTCTTGTCCAAACAAATTATTGTGACCAGGAGTAGAAGACAACAGAAAATTGTCTAGTTTTGCCAGGTGGGAGTTAGATGGTCCTTTAAGGCCAAAATATGTGGGTCAGGTATGAAATGGCAAGTGGGTTTTCAACGTCATTCATCTTCCGAGTTTCAAACTTGTGGAAGAGCTCCAAGGGACACCAATTCAGGAGGTAAGTATGGTCAAACAATCAGGAAAGACGTGGTGTAATTAGAAAGAGGAAAACACATACTAACTTCCTACCATAGCCAAATCACATGGTCCTGTCAAAAGATCAATTGCTGAATGAATTCCCTTCCCTTATAGTTGTTCAAAACCCTCTTTCTGAAATTAAGAAAATTCATTACAGGGGAAGTTTTACAAGAAAAGGTAAAATTAGTGGAACTATCTCGCAGGCTTTGAAGATAAAGTTCCAACCTTTCATGTGGAAGCCTCTCTCTCTCTCTCTGTACATTTTAAAACATGAAATGATTATGTTGCAAGGGAAAAAAAGAAAAAAAGAACATAAAGCTTTATCACCGAAATTGGTGGCTCGATTTGGTTCATCTAAACGATCAAACTTCAATACATTCAGAACAATTTCTGAATTTCTAGTCCTTGTAGGCAACCAAACGTGAGGTTTCTCTTATAAAAGAACAAAATGGACCTTCATTGATTCAAGGAATAATGGTATACTCCAACACCAACACTACTGGTCTCAAAGGAATAGTTGTGAACTTGTGATAGTCCCGATGAGTTTAAGGGTATATCCTAAGGGTAAAGCAGAGTAAATCATTAATTAATTATTATTATTTTAAAAAACTAATAAGTCAGTCCCTCTAGTTTCAAAACTATAAGTTAATCACTTAACCAGCTTGGATGATTAACTTGTTAATAGATCTGTTACCTTTTCACATCGGTTAATAATAAGCCCAAGCGACAAGTCAACATCACTAATGGATAACTAACGGGAGGACTGGTTTACAAACAAATATGAAAGTGCAACGTCTAGATATAGAGCGTTTTAAACTAGAGGGACCAAGTTAGTACTATTTTCTAAAGACAAGAACGACTAAGTTTCCCGTTTTTGGCCGTTACTATATAAGGCGTATTAGTTACCTACCGTCTAGTACCAAACAGCAAAAAAGAAAACGAAAAAAGAGCCAACCTACCCCGCCTCTCTTTTGCCTCCAATCTCCAAAAAAATTCAATTCAAAACTCCACATCAAACAAAAACCCTGATTTCTCTTTGACCATAAATTTTTTAGGAATTCAACAGAAAATGCAAATCAAAACCCTAATTCATTCTTCGACGGTTCAATTTCAAAACCCTAATTTGAAAAAACTTTCACAACCATCAATTCTATTAAAAAACCCACCTCTCCATTTCCGTCAAAGTTCCACAATATCTTCAAAATTAAACATTTTGACACCAAGAAATCAGCTTTATAGATTGACAGCCAATTGTAGTAGCCAAAGTCAAGAACTTTTTAATACTAACAATGACATTGAGAGAGAAAATGAGAGCACAATTGATTCAATTTTGAAAGAAGAGGAGATAGAAGTGGAGGTGAATAGAAAGGGATTGGAGAATCAGAGTTTATGGAGTCAAATAAAGGAGATTGTTGTGTTTACAGGACCTGCTACAGGGCTTTGGTTATGTGGACCATTAATGAGTCTAATTGATACTGTGGTTATTGGCCAAGGGAGTTATATTGAACTTGCTGCTTTAGGTACCGAAATTTTTTGTTTTGATGACGACTTTTGTGACTTGGGTTCTTTTTATATGTCTGTTTAGTGGCAAAGGTGATTACTTTTGAGGATGTTATTTGTGGTTATTTATGTTATTGGGATTGAAAGTAATGAAATGGGGTTTTTCTTAATGATGGGCAGGACCTGCGACGGTTTTATGTGATTATATGAGTTATGCGTTCATGTTCCTTTCAATTGCCACTTCGAATATGGTTGCAACGTCCCTTGCGAGACGGGTCAGTAATTTGTTTCTTTAACTAATGGAATTTGATTGATTTATTATATGCGGAGCTGTAAATGTTTTGTTTCCGCTTTCAATGCAAGCTCAAGGAGGTTGGTGGCAAAACTCGAGGATTTACTTACTTATGGTTGTGAAGTTGACTACCGAGGTTATTTGAAATTTGTGGTTTGTTGGTAGTCAGGTTTTTTGTGCAATGTTGGAAAGTCTAATGTTGTTGTGCAAGTGTAGTGGTTTGAGGCTTGAAGTAATTGTGAGAGGACTCCAACATTGGGCTGATTGGCAGTTTATAAAAGGGACTATTTGCACGCAAAAACCAGCAATATGCATGGTTCGGCTGTTGGCCAATATGCATGGTTCAGCTGTTGGCCTATGTACATGCTAAAAAATCATGAGGATGCAATAGTGTTGTTAGACAACCCCAAGCGCTGATTAGATTGATTGCTCTCCGCCTCTCTTAGTTTCTCTCACAAACACTAACAGACAAGAAAAGAGAGCCGTATAATCTAGGGTCCGAAACCTAATCAGATAGGACCTCTGCTAAGCTTTTTACTGCATTTTTTGACTTGATAGTATCTGTGCAGGATAAAAATCAAGTACAGCATCAAATATCTATCCTTCTCTTTGTTGGGATGACTTGTGGCTTGTTTATGCTCTTCTTTACGAGATTCTTTGGTTCATGGGCACTAACTGGTAATAAAGACTAGTAAAGCTTTTTATTAATCTCGTATTATGGATGGATGCAGTTTTTTTTTCTCTCTCTTGGTGATTGGTTATATCGTGCTGTTCACTATACATAGTTGGAAACTGAAAGCTTCATGGGCTTGCTTTTCTTCTATTTTCAGCTTTCTCAGGACCAAAAAATGCACAAATTGTACCTGCAGCAAATACATACGTTCAGGTTTTTGTCCTCTTTCAAATATTTTATCTGCCCTTTTCTTGTTAAACCCTGACACTACTTTTCAGAAAGGAAAGTTTTAATAATAATTGTAGTCATTTCAGTTTTATCCCACAGATCTATTTGATTGGAGTTACTTTTCTTGTTCAGGTAGGAAGAGAGTTATGTTATAGGTTATCATCGTTTGGAAATCAACATCTATTGCAAATGTTTATTAGTAATTGATGGAATTTGACAAGTGTAATCAGCCATTTCTTTGTGAACCATCAATGACGAGAGCACTTATGGAGAAATATCTGCTGTATTTCTACAGATTATGATGTAGCCAGAAAGAAGATACTAAATTATTGATTATTCTTGTCTCTTCCAAAAGTTCTGATCATTTAGAAATATTTCAAATGGTTGATGATTTGATATCTCTTTACTTAATGTCCTCTATTAAACTAATTGAATGGGATCATTAACTTGTTCAGTTATTGTACATTATATTCACTTTGTTTGTTCTGATAACTTTTACCTGAACATAATATTTTGTTGTCAGATTCGAGGCTTAGCGTGGCCTGCAGTTCTTGTAGGATGGGTTGCTCAAAGTGCAAGGTGAAATTCTCTAGGTCATTGGTTTATCCCATGCTTTATCTACTTGATGAGCTAACAGTGTCTTAGTTTATACTGCGATCTCTTATCCACCCCACCACACCCCCCTCCCCAATGTTTTCCGTTTAAAATACGTAAAGCTTTCTAGGGACTATTCAAAATTTTTCTTTTGACTGGGGTAGAAATTTTTTAGGTTAGATATTGAGGCCATGCCAGAAAACCGTTCTGTTAAGTGCTCTAATGACTTTGAGAAAAGCATCCAATTTTGTGTTTAACCATCTCACAAATTGACAACCTTTTATGTCCTATTTTTTGTTTAATGATGTTACAAATTGAAAGCGTTTGTGTAAGATGATGCATTTTTTTTATATATCTTAAAACATGCATGGTTTTTTAATCTCTGATGGTCTCACCTTTTCTTTTCATACCAGCATCATCCTCAGGTCTCTGACATTGAATTCCCTAGTTTGATTTTCCATGACACTACTAACAGTTTTGGCTTGGCTAGTTTTGTGCTTATAGATGTCCTCTTTTCTGTTTTCCAGTCTTGGCATGAAAGATTCGTGGGGGCCTCTGAAGGCCTTGGCAGTTTCTAGTGTTGTAAATGGTGTTGGTGATGTAGTCCTATGCAGCTTTTTAGGCTATGGAATTGCTGGTGCTGCATGGGCCACAATGGTGTCGCAGGTCTGCTGAACATTCCTTGTGTAAAATTAAATTTCATCATCTTATGTTTGCACTGAGCCAGTTGAATATATCCAAAATAATGTGCATTTCCTCTCTTCTGTTTTCCTCTTACCCCAATATGCTCTAGGTTATTGCAGCTTATATGATGATAGAAGCTCTGAACAAAAAAGGATATAATGCATTTGGCATCTCTCTTCCAACAGCTGACGAACTCCTGAAAGTAATCGGGCTTGCTGCACCCGTGTTTGTGACAATGATGTCTAAGGTTGCCCATTATTTGATTTTATATATGTGGTCCTATCTTATAACCTGAAAACATCTGAGAGTTTTGATTTTTTAGGTGGCTTTCTATTCTCTCATGATATATTTTGCAACATCTATGGGCACACATTCTGTGGCTGCTCATCAGGTATACATACTCATGGTTGCAGTTTCAGTTACTTTTCTATTTTGCTTTAGCTTAAGACTGGTTGAAACTGATGAACATACCCTGAGAATTTACAAATTTCTCCAGGTCATGCTTCAAATAATGGGTATGTGTACAGTATTGGGTGAGCCTCTCTCTCAAACTGCACAATCATTTATGCCTGAGTTGATATATGGTGTTAACAGAAGTTTGGCAAAGGTGAATTCTTCAGCCATTGTATTTTCAGCACCTGCAACTGCTTTATCTGAAATCCAGTTAGTTTTTCTGCGTTGTGATAGGCTTGGAACTTCCCTCCCCCTCTATTATCATTAAGGATTGGCCATGTGGGATAAAATTTTGTAGTTGCATATCTATGCAGGTTTTTTTTTTTTTTTTTTTTTGTCCAAGGTCTTCTGAAAGGTCTATTGATGAAACAGGCTCGAATGCTTCTAAAATCACTTATCACAATTGGGGCTACAATGGGATTGCTGCTAGGGACCATTGGTACATTTGCTCCTTGGTTTTTCCCAAATATCTTTACCCACGATCAGAAGGTCATACAGGAGGTTAGCACTTGCTTTTGTACTTCTATTTCCTTTTTCCATTGTTTTTATCTGTAATTATTTGTGTTGCCTAGATATCAGCCAGCATGGGAGGAATCTTGAGTATACCTCTTTAAGTGGGATTCTGTCTACTGATTATTCTGACAGCATACTTTCATTCTTTTAGATCTTTCTATTTGTTTATTTGTTTATTTTTACTCCTTTAAAGTTTTGAGCTTTGTGTTACCTGAGCGAGTCCATGAATTCAGAGAGCTTTTTAAATGTTTCGGTTTTGCATCCATGCAGATGTACAAAGTGCTGTTACCATTCTTTATGGCAATTGCTGTGACACCTAGCATTCATTGCCTCGAGGGGACGCTGTTGGTATGTTCAGTTTGGCTTTAATCTGAATGCTCTCCTGAAATCTCTTATGAGTCAAAACTTGTTTTTGATTCAGATGTTAGCGAAATTCTTTATGGAGTTTGCTCAAACACAATGAGAGTTGAGGCTCCAACATATGGGTTCACATTTTACCTTACTTTGGTAGATGCAGCATAGTTTCAGAAATACAATCTCCATCTACCACATCTAATTAAGTCATTAACCAATTAAATGACAAGAGAAACTGTTGTTGTGATTGCAAGTTTTTCCGCTTGTCTCGGTGTCAGATTCTACCCCAGAGGTCAACCAAGTGCCTCTTGGCCCCTTCACTGACATGTCAGGAACCTTTGTGTAGCCAGAAAGTCAAGGGACAACATCTAGTTTGTTTATAAAACCTGCTTCGTGCAGTATATAATACTGCTGGCTAGAGGAAAAGTTACTGATATGTGCATATATAAGAAAACAAAATTGCACCAAAGAGCTCGTAATCCAATGATAGTGGTCTCTTGTAACTAAAAATCATTAGTTCTGCTAGGAGCTTTAGGTGTGTGAGTTAAAAAAAAAAAAATTGCCAACAAGTTAAATGAATACTCTCTAACTTGCTCGGTCCAAGTTGCTTTATCATATGTGTGGTTTTTTTTTCAGGCTGGACGGGATCTTAGATTCCTTAGCTTTTCAATGACTGGATGCTTTTCTTTAGGTGCTGTTGTACTGGTGGTAGAAATCTACTTCTTGGTCTCCTAGTGTCAATTCTATTTTTGTCTTCCACGAACTACTACTCACTTATTTTTCTCATCAGCTTGTTAGCAGCAGAGGATATGGTTTGCCTGGCTGCTGGTGTGCACTTGTAGGATTTCAATGGGTAAGACCAACAAATCTTAGCAGGATAGCACTTTTATAATCCAACAACTCATGTTTCAAGAACTTTTCAATACACAAATTTTTTTTTTCAGGCTCGTTTTTTCCTTTCTCTTCGGCGTCTTCTCTCCTCCAATGGAATACTTTACTCTGAGGACTTGAGCCGCTGTAAAATGGAGAAGCTGAAAGCTGCATAGCATAATACACAAGAGAAAGAGGATATAATCTGAAGTTTTATAAGGGGTTAAATCCATGCCTTATTGTATTTCCTCTTGTTGTTTATCCCTTACAAACGAATATTTATGGTTTTTATTTTTTAAAAAATAAAAACTAGTTTGTTTTTGTTTTTGAAAAAATAAAAGAAAGCGGTCAAAATTGATTTTCATTCTTAATTGCTGTTGTTATGGCACTAGCAACCAACGACAAATTTCATTACCTGAGAGTCAAGACCTCATGACTTACAGATTAAGGATGGGATGAGCAAGCTGGGGGAATAGGGTGAGGTCGGGTGACCTAGAGGTCGGTCGAGGTATTGGGAGGCTAAGAGACGAAGCAGGGAGTTAAGGTTCAGGAACGTAAATGTCAAGCTAGGGTCGATGATCCCCGAACTTAGGCTAAGCCAGCTGATTCCCAGATCAAGATAAGATCAATCAACTATGGATCAAGCTTGGTTTAGGTGACACAAGGTTATGCTTAGGCTAGTTTCATGACACGAGGTCGAATCTAATTGGTCGGTTAGGTGACATGGCGAGGAACCTAGCCTGTTAGACCTAGAGGATCGAGCCAAGGTTGTATTACTTAAGGGTTGAACTAATGATTGGGTGACCCAAAACTCAAGCTGGACCAATAGTCGAGAGAATAGTGTCAAATCCAAATTGGAACCCGACCCGACCAAGCGCCTCGATCGCCAATTTTTTTTGGTGATTGTCTCTTTTCTGTACGAATTCTACAATTATGAGCAATTATAATATCGTAAGAGAGGTTAGTTTTAGTATCACTAACTACTACCGTACATATGTGCGCGCAAACTCGAGTGAATTTATTCAGACATAATTTTTTTTATAAAACAAGAGTCTATTTATTTACATTAGGAATAATTGGCCTTGTTGATATATATCCTTATTTGGGACCTCATTCCCAATTCTATTTGTCTCTTTTGAGTTTTCATAGGAATAAATGTAAGTTGTTTTATTTAGTTTCAAATTTCAAAAAAAAAAAGAAAGAAAAAAGCCAGCCATCGACAATTTTTTCTTTTCATAGCAAACTCTTGCAATTATTATTATTGTTTTTTTTAAAAAAAAAAAGAAGTACCACGTGGTATAAATTCCTTCGTGGCTTCTTTCACATCTCCACTTCTACTAAAACCTTCGTAGAAAATGCAAACTCAGTCCTTACCTCTTTCTTCTAATACTCCTCTCCAAAGACATAAAATTCTCATATTTCTTTATAAATCTTCAGTCTTTTCGAGCAATCCATCTCTATCCTTCCCCACACCAAACTTTCAAAATTCTCTTTTGAATCCAAATTCATGCATTATTAAACCAAGAAGAAAACATGTAACTTCTTGCACTGACCATACACAAGAACCCATCAGCAGAAATGATGGTAGCATTAACCCATCAGTCTCAACCTTTAAACAAGAAGAAGAAACAAAAATGGAGGGACTGGAGAAACAGAGTATATGGGAACAAATGAAGGAAATTGTGATGTTCACGGGACCTGCTACAGGGCTTTGGCTATGTGGGCCATTAATGAGTCTTATTGACACTGCAGTTATTGGTCAAAGAAGCTCTCTTGAGCTTGCTGCTCTAGGTAGGTACTTATTTGAATTTTAAACTTCTAAATTATCAATCAGGTTAGTGTAATTATCTGTGTTTTGGGGTCGATAGGTCCAGGGACAGTGATATGTGATTATACAAGTTATTTGTTTATGTTTCTCTCAATTGCTACATCAAATCTGGTTGCCACTTCTCTCGCTAGACAGGTTAGATTTCTGATTCTTGATTGGTTTTTGAAGCTTTTTGTTGGTGTTTTGTGTAATTGAGTAAACAATTATGGATGTCTTTGCCAAGTTTGTAGGATAAAAAGGAAGTCCAGCATCAAATATCTATACTTCTCTTTGTTGGGTTGACTTGTGGCTTCTTGATGCTCTTTTATACAAAATTCTTTGGGCCATGGGCACTAACCGGTAATGAAGAACTGGTAATTATTATTATTATTATCATTATTAATTCTACAGTTTCAAATTGAATAGATGGAGTTTTTTTTTTTAAAAAAAAAAAAAGCTTATTTTTGCTACTTCGTCATCTTATGATCTGCACCTCATAATGGATAGAATCACTAATTAGAAAAAAAGAAAAAAAAAAAAAAAAAAGCTGGTTGAACCCAATGACTGACGCGTTTCTTTTCTCAATCTTTCAGCTTTTGTAGGGCCTAAGAACTTGGATATTGTGCCTGCAGCGAATACATATGTTCAGGTTCGTATTCTTTTTTGTACATGTAGTCTTTTCCAAAAATTGCCTGTATTCTTGCTGATAAAAATGTCTTTCTTCAATGGTAAACCTTAAAATAATTCACAGTAGAAAAGGATGGTAATGTCTTTGAATCCTTCTTCTTCTTCTTCTTCTTCTTCTTTTACGCTCATTTACTTGTATGAATCTGAAAGATGATTGAACTGACCTTCTGTAATAAATTGGATCTTGCATTTCTTAGGATAGCGATGAAGTGAATTTTGCAATGGTTCTTGTCATTTCTCAAGCTCATCAGTTGTTGTCAATTAGCACTCTTAGTTGAATACCTTTTTTATTCTTTTGGTAGATCCGAGCCTTGGCCTGGCCTGCAGTTCTTGTTGGATGGGTTGCTCAAAGTGCCAGGTGCTAATATGTATCTCTCTTCTGCTTTCTGTCTACTCAGTTTGTAGTCCGGCTATATTTATAGTTATAAATTCTCGTTGCATGATTTCATGAACTTATACTTATGATGAACTGTGTAAGTTTGAATTCTGATGCCCTCTATGTGTTTTCCAGTCTTGGCATGAAAGATTCCTGGGGACCTTTAAAGGCTTTGACAGTTGCCACTGTTGTAAATGGTATTGGTGATGTTGTCCTCTGCATCTTCTTAGGCTATGGCATTGCTGGGGCAGCATGGGCAACAATGGTATCACAAGTATGCAGAATACATATTATATGGTCGAAGTTTCTGCTTTATGTGACTTCTTTTTTTTAGCTTGTTCTGAATGAACGTTCTCCTTCCTTCTGTATTTCCATTTTGCCTGCATGCTTTCTAGGTTATTGCAGCTTATATGATGATTGAAGCACTGAACAAGAAAGGATACAATGCATTTGCCTTCTCTGTTCCATCACCAAATGAAGTCTTGACAATACTTGGACTTGCTGCTCCAATATTCGTGATGATGATATCAAGGGTTATATTTTATTGGATCATATAGCTATATTTGTCCACTGTCATTATTTATATTGATCTGCGACATTGTGATGTTTTAGGTGGCATTTTGGGCGCTTGTTACATATTTTGCTACATCTATGGGCGCTCATGTCGTGGCCGCTCATCAGGTTGGGTTGCTGTTGCTTGTTGGTTGAGTTATTTTCTTCTCCCTGGCTTCCTCCTGTTTAAAACTGACGATCAATTAAACTTGTTCTAGGTTATGATTCAAACATATAGCATGTGTACAGTATGGGGTCAACCTCTCTCCCAAACTGCACAATCCTTTATGCCTGAACTGATATATGGAATCAAAAGAAATTTGTCAAAGGTTAGCTTGTGCAGCTGTCGTATTACATTTTGTTTCTCTCTTTCTATGACATTCCTATGACCTCCAGAGAGATGCTACATGTTTTGGGGATTATGAACTTTTTGGTGACTATGTGGTTGATAATTTCACCTCTCCATATGCAGTTTTGTTTTGTTTATTTAAGGTGTTCCGAAAGGTCTGTCTTATGAAACAGGCACGGATGCTGCTAAGTTCACTTTTGATAATTGGAGCTACACTTGGCCTCGTTCTAGGGATAGTTGGAACATCTGTTCCTTGGTTGTTTCCTAATATCTTCACCCCCGACCAGACGGTTATACAGGAGGTTAGTTCTCATTTAAACTTCGTTTTCTTTTCTGTTATTTTTCAATTTTATGAGCCCTGCAATCACATATGCTTGTTTACAGTTATAGTGTTACCAATTAGCCAACCACAACTTCCCACACGTGGGATTGTGTCTCCTGCCTATTTTGCTGAAACATCTGATTTTGTCAATTACAGTTAAATTTCCTGCTCCATGTTAAGTGATGCAATCAACGGATTCAATGAAATTTATGTGTTTCAGTCTGGTACTGCTAACTTTTAACTGGTATTAATAAATCAAAGATAGCTGAAACACTTTCAAACCCAATTAGGTTTAATTTATCCTCAACCATGCATCTTCATAGAAAATCATACCTCTGTTGTTAGTTGTTGGAAAGGTCAAATCTTTTATTTTGTTTTTAGTGTGTGCATTACGCATCATCTACGAATCAATCATGGAATGGATATTAGGAATTGCAAAAAACTTGTGGATGGAAAAACCATTTTCAATCATGTTATATTTCTTGATATTTATTTTGTGTCTTTGCAGATGCAAATGGTTCTGATACCTTACTTTATAGCATTATCTGTGGCACCCAGCACTCATAGCCTTGAAGGAGCAATGCTGGTATGCTTGGTTTGACTTCAATATGGATGTCCCCCCTCGGACTTCTTAATGGATGTGCCTCCCATGCTTGTTTTTCGGACCAAAGCTGGTTTTATGATTCTTGCTCAACACAAGAATGTGGACAAAGCCATATTCAACATTGCATCATGTATCAAGATTATGTGTATTTGCAGGCTGGACGAGATCTGAAATTTATTAGCTTGTCAACATGCGGATGCTTTTTCTTGGGGGTGATTTTATTACTGGTAGAGTTCTATTCCTTGGTCCACTAGGACCTATCAAGAAAATTCTTTGGATTTTCCATGAATTACTAATCGATGTTTTTTTTTCTTTTTTACTTAGCTTGCAAGAAATGGAGGGTATGGTTTGCCGGGCTGCTGGTGTGCACTTGTAGGATTTCAATGGGTATGAAGATTACCATCTCGCTTTGACCTCCAATTATGCATTCAGACCATTTTTATTTCAACTCATCTAAATGCACAAATCTAATTTTCCAGGCTCGATTTTTCTTTAGTCTACAACGTCTTTTGTCTCCTGATGGCATTCTTTACTCCGAAGACTTGAGCCGGTATAACATAGAGAAGTTGACAGAAGCTTAGTTTCAGAAAAACAGTAACAGAATATTAGGTGGTTCCATGAAGCAGAATTGTACTTCTCTATGACATGTACTGTGAAGCTAAACTATCACTTGCTAAAGATCATGTCGTTACCGTTCTTCTTTGAAGAAGCGGCCACATATACTCGGCTTATGCACTGGCTCGAGCTGCGACATACTCTTCTTGACAGCTGGCGGCCAATGGTCCATTGATTAATATTTAATTGCTTACTGTTTTTACTTAAATATAATAAACAAGAAAGTTCCTCCTATGGACTAAATAAACTAAATAAGAGGTGGGCGTTCATTTGATTCGGGTGAAAAGCTGCCATTTCAGATAATTATTGGAATGATTCGAAATTTTTTTCATTTATCCGATCTTATCAATTTTTTTTTATTGATCAAGAAATTCGGTTAATCGGGGTTGCTTAAATTTCTAACCCCATCAAATTTTTTTACATAAAATACTAAAAAAAATTATAATTAACCAGCTAAAGTTGGGTTGAAAAGTTTTCACTCTCTTAAATTAGTTTCGAGAAGAGGAATAATCGTGTTATTTTAAAAATTTATAATAAAAAGAGTTAATTATCTCCACCACTCTCTATTTTGGGTGATATTACACTTTATGTTTTGAAAGTCTTACACTTTCCATCTTTTATTTTTCTTGTGTTTATATTTCCCATTTTTTGTTAAAAATCTGTTTGTTGACCATTAGAAATTAAGTTGATATTTGGTCAACTCGTTATATAATGACAAAATAACTTCCAAAAAGATTATGAATGCATGGTATGGACAAACAAAATGTCTGTTTAGTATTAAAAATATCTATTTGAAAAAATCCTTCATTTTGGTCAATCTTATTTCATTTAGGTGTCAATAGAAAAAATCAAGCAAAATGTGCTGTTTGATTCAAATGTAAGTATATCATTTGGAGGTCAATTCATATGTTTGAAATGTTTTTTAGGGTACAGACTTGAATTCCAAATGGAATTCAATTTATTAAATCTATACAAAAACAAAACAGAGGGGATACCCTTTGATTTGCTACAGAAAATCGCTTAAAAATTGAGTTATAATATTTATTCAAAAATTACCTACAAACTAACACGCAAGCCTCATCTCTCACATGTTTACTGATTCTTTTCTTTTTTTCCAACTAAAAAACGCATTAGTTTGACAACAATCCTCTCTCTCTCTCTCTCTCTCTTCTTCTTCTTCTTTTCTTTTAAGATAAATATACCTATATATCCTTATATACAATACTTAAAATCTTTTATATGTCTCTATATTTTTTATACATTTATCTCTAAAAGTATTTGAATAATTCAATCTGTTTTTTCAATTAATTTTCTAGCTATATAATTTTTTTAACCGAAATATTCGTTATTTAAATGCATAAAAAAATAAAATAAAATTTTAAAGATTTCAAAAATAGAACTCGCGAGGTCATGTGATATTAATTTTTTTTTTTTTTTTTGCATTTTTGTAAAGGGTATTTTGACAAAAAAAATATTCATGTCGAAATTTTTGATCAAAATGACAAATTGAACATTTCAAAAAAAATTAAAAACAGATGAGATGTAATTAAAAATCTAGAGATGGATATAAAACTTTTAAGTATTATGTAAGAATAGATAGATATATATATTTATTTATTTAACTCAAAATACTCATTATAATTTTGAAGGAAAAAAAAAAAGAGGTAGAATGATTTATGCTTATAGATGAAAAAAAAATTCTCAAAATTGTGATTTGTGCTTGTGCAATCATGGATTAGTAGATTCATGATAAGTTATCTTGTTTGTTGTGTTTGGATTTCTTAATCAAAACCTAATACGTTGCAATAAAATGTTGATCTTATGTTTTGTTGGTTGTGGTTCTTAGTCTTCGTGTACTTTTGGCAATTGAGTTTTTGAGGAAAATTTTAAAGGAAAATGCGAAGGAAATGGAAGGATCTGGGGTAATATAAGAACATAAAGAATTGAATTTAGTGGAGAGATTTTTATTCCAAATACTTGATTTTGACTTATCTATCGATTGAATTCAATTTTAACATTATAATTGAATTCAACTTTGATAGAGAATTGACTCTGAACAGCCTGCTTATAAGTTTTTAATTTTATTTTTTATTATATGATTTATTACAAAAATATATTGATGAATACATGACATGGATTTTGAATGTCCTAAAAAAATAGGGAGGGAGGAGGGAATGATTCTAATTAGCCTGTCTTTATATAATGAAGTGCTCAATCTATCTTTATGTTCTAGAATGAGCCAAATATGTTCCTATATTTTTAAGTGAATTTTTAATCTATTTTTTATGATATTTTCAAGTAAAACCATTAAAAAATATCATGTGAATTACACATGATGAATTTTATTTTGAAAATACCCTTTAGATAATTGGCATGTGCAAGTTACCAATTCATCACCTTTCTCTCTCGGTTTTCTCCAACCTTGGCTAGACTTCGGACAAAAACAAGCACCAAAACCCTTTTTTTTCCTTCTTTTTTTCATTTCCTTCTTCTTCCCATTAATCCCTTCTTCCTCTCCTTTCCTCCTCTTTTAAAAATCCAGCCAAAATCACTCCAACACAACCAATCCGATTTTTTTTTACCGCCTCCAAAACCTCCATATTTCATCTAAAATCAAGCGTTAACCCGCCGATATACTCCCGGAGACTTTAAAACCGATATTTTTCATCTTTTCTTCATCTTTTTTAAGCCAATATCAAGTCTTAACTCGTGAACTGCCATCAAACTCGTTACTTTCTTGCTCTTTTCTTTCATTTTATTGCCCATCCCATCAAGTCAAACACACTGCAATAATCAAAACTCAAGCCTAATAACACAATATCGTAACTTTTTACCTCAAAAATGGGTTTGGTTCTTGCCCATGGCCAAATTCTGATTAAGATGGAATGAAAGATGGTGATGGGTGATGACTTGCACATGTCCATTAAGTTGAAATGTATTTTCCATATAAAATTGGTCATATGCGAATCACATGATATTTTTTTATAGTTTTGCCAATACATGTTATTGAAAAATAGATTAAAAATCCACTTAAAACACAAGGATATAAATGACTTATTTTAAACTATAAGGACATATTAAACATTTATCCACCAATATAAGAATATGTTTGGCCATTTCCTTAAAAAAAAATTAGACCTATCTATATGAGTTTCAAAAAAATATAAATTCTTCTAAAAAAACAAGAGAGAGAGTGTCATGGATAAAATACGAGTGCAATCTTTCTAACTTCCATTAAAACAAAGGTATTTTTAGATGGTAAGAAAGGATATTTTAAATTCACCAAGTAAATTATTATTTTTTTTTATTTTTTAAAACAATTATCAATACATCATTCATCATATTTGTTATATAGTAGTTATCGATGAAGAGTGTATTGATAATTGTCTGAAAAAAATAATAAAAATAATAATTTAATTGATAAATTTAACAGTAATTTTTTAAAAACATAGATAAAAAGTTAACGTTATTAATCTTCTGTAAATTGTGCTTTTCAAATCACAAAGAGTAAAGTGTAATGAGATCCAAAACATAGGATGATAGAGGTAATTAACACTAATAAAAATATAATCTGGGTAAATCGAATTTTTCTTTTTTTGGTATTACTTGAAAAAAAAAATGATAATTACTCGTTCTCCAAAATTTTTAAATTTTATTACTATCTGATTTTTTTTTTTTTTTTTTTAACCGAGGAAACCTTACTATGTATATTTGGCAGCCTAAACCACAGACAGGCACAGATGAGAACTGCAGAGAGGCAAAGGCAACAAATGAAAACTGGTCTATTTTCAGATGTTGCTCTCAATTTCTAAAATACCCTTTCTGTTGGAGATCAAGAAGAAAAAGAAAATCGATTACCCCTTTTGTTTGTTTGTTTGTGGTTGGTGGCCCCTATTGGGCCATGAAAATTCTAAGCCGCCAAATCTAGAAGTCCTTTTTGTGGCCTTAAAAGGTCTTTCAAAAGTACCCGAAATTACACTCAAACCAGTCTTTGTTACTCTCCTCCTCAACGTCTCTTTCTTGTTCTAGACTCTCACCTGAGCCTCCAACTACTTCTTCCTCTTCCTGTTTCTCTTTGGCCATTGTTTTTTTTTTTTTTTTCACTCAAATTTTCTTCCAGAAAGATGCAAGCCCATTCTCTACTTCATTGTTCTCATACTCCTTTTCAAAGCCATAACCACCCTAGATTTCTTTCTCAATCTTTAATCTTTTTCAAGAAGCCAGCTCTATCTTTAGTTTCACCTGACTCTCACAGTTCTCTTTCGCATCCAGGTTCACTCGTTGTTAAATCAAGAAGTAGACTTCTAGCACCTTGCATTAGCCCTGCCCAAGAATCCGGAAACAATTCTGTGACTGAAAATGAAAGTGGTACCGATTCGGTTTCAGAACTTAAAGAAGAAACAGAAAGGGAGGTGACTAGAGAGGTTCTGGGGAATCAGAGTATGTGGGCGCAAATGGAGGAGATTATGAAGTTCACAGGACCTGCTATTGGACTGTGGATATGTGGGCCATTGATGAGTCTCATTGACACTGCAGTTATTGGTCAAGGAAGCTCTATTGAGCTCGCTGCTTTAGGTACTGCTTTGAAACTTTGTTAACGGAGAAGGGTAATTGTTTTGAATCCAGGTTAGAAAAGTTTTGATGGTAATTTTTGGGATGAACAGGTCCCGGGACAGTTCTGTGTGATGGTATGAGTTATTTATTCATGTTCCTTTCAATTGCGACTTCGAATATGATTGCCACTTCCCTTGCCGAACAGGTTAGTTTCTTTATACTGTTGAAATGCATTATTTTGTTGGTGAAATTAAGTAATGCAGTGTTCTAATATCACTAATAGGACTGTTCTTTCCTGGTAAATTAGGACTCAAGTGCTTAATAAACATACACAAAATTTCACTATCATACTATCCTACATGAAATTAGGTCTTAAGATTAGTCAGTTCTATTTCTCGATGGGCAAGGGAAGGGATATAACTCAGCGGTAGAGTGTCACCTTGACGTGGTAGAAGTCGTCAGTTCGAGCCGGATTATCCTTAAACCCAATGTGAGCGTCACACCCTGGGAATTGGTTTCGCTCTAAGCTTCGGACCAAGGATCACCCATGATTTCTGTGTACCGCTAGTGCCACAAGGCTTTTGGTGGTCTTATTGGCGCATACCACGGTGGGGTCTTAGATTGGGTAGCCTGAGCACCGATCCTGATTGACGAATGCTTTCTTGCTGCTCTCCCTATTATATTATATTATATAACCGTGCTTATTTACCACGCTGCTGTAGAAATAAAACACCTAGACTAATGGCTCGATAAGCACAACAAAGATCCATCCCTTGGCTTTCTTGGTTGGACCAAGCGATTTTAGGCAAGTCTTCCTTCATTTGGAAAGCAAGAAGCGGAACTACAGGGATGAAATGAAAAGTCTTTCTTACGATTACGCCCAACAGCCCACTGAAGCAATTTTCCATTCTCCCACTGATTCCTATGAAAATAGGGGACTTGTATTTCTCTTTCACAAATCCATCTTTGTTTATGCTGCTAACTCTCAGTTTGGTCACACTCCTGGTTCATTTTGTTACTAAAAAGGGAGGAGGAACCTTAGTACCAAATGCTTGGCAATCCATTTAAGAATCATCATTATGCAATAATAATGCGAACCAATGGAGTTATTAATGGACGATGTATTTATTAGCTTAATTATTCTGTGGAATGCGAGTGGCTGCTTATACTTCCGGTTTACATATTGTCCATTCATACTTCATAGTGTTGTTCAATAATTGTAAATATTGGCGCAGGACAAAAATGAAGTGCAGCATCAACTATCTATGTTGCTCTTTGTTGGGTTGACTTGTGGTTCTCTGATGCTTTTTTTCACAAAGTTCTTTGGCCCATCAGCATTAACTGGTAACTGAGACTGCTGCAATTTTGTGGTTATTTCATATATTTACAGATGCCGTGCCTTATGATATTAGGTTAGCCTGTGATTGTATATAAGTATGAACCAATAACGGGTCACATGAATCTGCAGAGGTCAACCAACGGTTGACAAATTTGCTTTCGTTTTCTGTTCAGCTTTCACAGGGTCAAATAATTTAGATATAATTCCTGCAGCTAACACATACGTTCAGGTACATTCTCTTTTCCCATAAATTAATGTGTTACTACTCACTTGATCTAAATGGTCAGTAGCTTCCTATACTTTGTGCACTACATATGTGTTTTTCTGTGTGTTGTTGGTGGAGCACAATACCAAGAGAGTGTTTATTGTGGTAGGTTTTTCAAGCTCCATTTTCATTCATCATCCATAAGTACAGTTAGTATCTTTACTAACCCTTACTTACATCTTTAAGGCGGCTCCAGACTACACTTTCCCATATATTCTTTGTTATTGTTCATGTATATTATATGAAAGTTCTTTGTACTTGATGGAACCTGAAATATCAATATTATGTGTATAACCATCGGCAGTTGGATAGAATTGCACGTGTCAGAAAATTATTTCCTCAGTTGACTTTTTTGACATAATTTTTGTTTAAATGATTTGTTGATGACTAACTTTTTTGTTTTCTGTTGGTAGATTCGAGGATTAGCATGGCCTGCAATTCTTATTGGATGGGTTGCTCAAAGTGCAAGGTGGAAATACACTACATTTCTTCCATGCATTATCTACTGAATGTGATAGCAGCCTCTTATTTTGTTCACTATATGATGTTTCTTCTTGGGTCCCAATGCAATTTACAAGGATCATTTGGATCTGTGGTGTTTATATGGTTTTGCTAGGAATTGCATTGATTCATTAATTATTCTGCCTCAGTTGTAATTTCCTTTAAGAATAGTTCTTATCCGGTTTCTCAGCCTTGGAATGAAAGATTCGTGGGGACCATTGAAGGCGTTGGCAGTTGCTAGTGCTGTAAATGGCATTGGTGATATAGTCCTATGCAGATTTCTTGGCTATGGTATAGCTGGCGCAGCATGGGCAACAATGGCATCACAAGTATGCTGAATAAACATTCTGCTATCAATCTATATTCATTGATGGAATCCCATGTACCATGTTTAAGCACTTCATGACTACTTGTATTGCCACTGACGTCTTCATATTTCAGATTATTGCAGCTTTTATGATGATTGATTCACTGAACAAGAAAGGATACAATGCATATGCAATCTCTGTTCCTTCGCCTAATGAACTTATGATGATATTTAAGATTGCTGCTCCAGTGTTTATTGTGATGATGTCAAAGGTTTGTGACGTCTTGACCTGGTTCTATAGCATTATCTGTGTGCTTCTGATTATTGTTATGCATCTGACCATTCTATTTTTTAGGTTGCTTTCTATTCTCTCATCGTATATTTTGTTACATCTATGGGCACCCTCACCTTGGCCGCACATCAGGTTTCTTATGCTCACTCATTATTTTTTGGGGCTTCCAGTAAGTATCTTGAAAATTGATGTTCATGATTTACTCTAGGTCATGATTCAAGCACTCTTCATGTGCACAGTTTGGGGCGAGCCTCTTTCTCAAACTGCACAATCATTTATGCCTGAGTTTATGTATGGAATCAATCGAAGTTTGGAAAAGGTTAGTTATACTAGCTATTGCTATTTATATGTGTTGACTGTATCACTTCTTGCTCTACTCCTGAGACATCCAAAGAGTTTGTGTAGTTTTTGCATATACAAGCAATGTAGAAATACGACCTTTCTCCCCCAGTCTTGATGTTTTGGATTATGCAGACCACTTGTGTCACAGAATCTATGTAGGTTTTTGTTTGCTTGGAATGTGTTGAAGGTTTATGATATTTGACAGGCTCGAACTTTGCTGAAATCACTGGCGATCATTGGAACAATACTTGGACTGGTATTAGGGATCGTGGGAACATCTGTTCCTTGGTTATTCCCCAACATCTTCACACATGATCAGAAGATCATACAGGAGGTTAGTTCATGTTTGCAGTAATTTTACATACAATTTTTCCACGATTTATATGGTACCATGAGCATGGAAGGAATTGCATGAGTCCTATCAGTTTTGCAGCTTTGTACCTAATCAAATGCTACTTCACTGGGATTGTCAAACTGCATCTATGCCGAAATATCAGTATTAAATCCCTTGAGCTCTATTTAAGTCTTCAGCCTACTCATTCGATCTATGTGTGTAGAGACCATTGGGATTTTAAAATATTTGGTCCATTTATTCAGATCTATGTTAACTGAAACACAGGTCAACTGTAGCAATTTCTCTGTGACTGAATATCGCATATGTAAGTGGCTCACTGTGTTGGTTTCTGTTATTGCCTGCAACCATGAGCTAAAGAAAAAGGAAAGAGATATATATAAATTGCTAATACACCAAGAACACGATGCACTTTTGTAATGTTTTTTAGTTTTTCAGCTTCTAACAGTCTTCATAAGCCAAATCTTACGTCCATGCAGATGCACAAAGTGCTCATACCATTTTTCTTGCAATAGCTGTGACTCCCTGCACTCTTAGCCTTGAAGGAACACTGCTGGTATGTTTGATTACACTTCAACATGAATGATTAACTAAACAATTTCATGTACATTTCTCTTGCATGTTTTACGTGTCTTTTTGGAGCATGGATTTATAAAACATGATCCAAGTCTGTTTCTATGCTGGTGGTGAAGTCTGTTCATGTTGTTGTGGCATTGCGCTTAATAACGCGGAATTTGTTTGAATATGAAGGGTGGATGGGTGGCACATAAGGCGTTCTTTAGTTTGTATTCTGGCATCATAATATCAATTATCTCTACGCAGGCTGGTCGGGATCTTAAATTTATCAGCATAGCAATGAGTGGATGTTTTTCTATGGGCGCACTATTACTGTTGGTAGAGATCTATTTCTTCATCTTCTACGATCTATTTGAAATTCTTTTTTACTATGCATTGATCTCAGCATCCTGTTTGAAAATTCTTTTTTGCTATGCATTAATCTCAGCATCCTGTTTTAACCAGTTTGTGAGCAGCAGAGGATACGGTCTGCCAGGCTGCTGGTTTTCACTTGTAGGATTTCAATGGGTAAACACTGGCATCCCTAGCAACTATGCTGGCAAGATTCATCCTTGACTATTTGAAAATATCCTTTTCTTTTTCCTCTTTTCTCAGGCTAGATTTTTCCTCGCCCTCCAACGTCTTCTTTCCCCTGATGGCATACTTTTCGAAGATTTGAGCCAATATGAATTGAAGGAGCTGAAAGCTGCTTAGTTTCAGAATCCACAAACTTTTCGACTTGGCGATCAGCAAAGTTCATGATATTTTCAAGGACCAAAATATCGTGCTTCTTATCTAAAGTAAACAAGTTACCACCCCAGCATTGCCAGAGATTTTTGGTCCTGGCCGCTGGCGGTCAAGCATCATTATTGTTGAAGATCATAAGCTTTGCTCGCTTAAGCTGTAAATATGTTCACCCTATATTTGACAAAACCACGCAAGTAGGTGAAGGAAAACAGCACTTAATATTTAAGTTTCATTCGTTAAGCCAGGTTTTGACGCAAACATTATTTTGATGGATTGGTACAGAATCTAAACGTATGCCAATATTGCCTTGTGAACTTGAGCCCATAACATGCACGTATACCTTGAGCGATTTCATAATCAATCATGTGTGGTGTTCATACACAGAAAAGGAAGATGTGCTTCTTGTAGTCTCAGTATAAACAGTGTACAGCAGATTGCACGAGTCAGGAAATTGGAAAGTTTTACTGTCAGTACTGTGTGCCAGCATGCATACAAAAGGATGGAGGGGAGTGCATAAAGCTCCGATCTTCAAAACCAGAGATTCTGGGTCTGATCCCCAGGGGTGTCCAAGCCTCAGCCAGTAACTTTGTGGTTGCTTCTCAGAAGAGAAAAAGAAAAAAGGATGGAGACGAGATCAACAGGACTTAACCGCATACAATTTGCTAATTAATCTTATCGTTCACAGAAGCAAAGATACAAACAGCACCATCTCAGTGCAAAAAGTAAATTCGTCGTTGCTATCTCACTGCCCTTTAAGCCCTTTCTCCATCTATCAAACATATTCGTGATTTATGGAAACAAAAAAGCTCCTTGCATTTTGTCCAGTTTCAAAGCCTCTCTGTTGTGTCTGGACATGAATTCCTCAAGTAAAAGCCATTTCAGGCTGATATTAACATTTCCAGCAAGCAAGTAGCAGAAAATGTAGTTCATACCCTGCTGCTTCCTTGACGACCATGTCCAGAAAATCGTCTTGGTTCTCCTCTCGACTGCAATTTTCATTAAGGCTATATCAGTGAGATTCTACATCAAGCAACAATCATTTTCTGCAAATGGCTGTGAATTGTGAAAGAGGAACTCTAGAAAGGGAGTTGCCCTTACCAATGGCACTGACATCAATTTTGGTGTTTTTCTCACAAAAACTCTACGAGCCTGTCGCCTTTTCTCCTCAGCCTTCATTTTAGTAAGGCTAGGCCGGTATATAATGACAGTCCGACCAATTTGACCAACTACCACTGAACCAGTTGCTTCCTCCAATCGTCGCACCACATCCTCTAGCTCCCCTGGACAGGTCCTGTGTATTTTAATCTGTTCGCAGAATTTAAGCATTTAATTAGCACACCAAATTCTGCTATCTTTGTTAATAGAAAAGATCCCATTTGAATGCTTTTCCAAATCCAAAAGCTGAAACAATGATTAGCAACTTCCACAAATAGCCAACAAAAGTAGATAATCACTGCATCTGCACCTAATGCCCCCCACAGTTTCCAGTACCTAATCTAAGTCAGCTCAATTTTGCATAACAATGTGTGGCAGAAAAATAACAGTTGCCTTTCCTCTAGAAAACTGCATTCATCAATTTTCAGAGCAGAAACTTACATGGGTACATCTACAAGGTAAAGGTTATCAAGTTGCAGGAGCAGCTCACAAGTTTTATTTTAGTTTCAATCAGGTGTACAAGTCCACCTATTAACTAGAAAGGAAGTTTGGTAGGATACATCTTAGCTACAAAATAGGAGTAACTGTCATAAATCAAGCACAGCTACTGAGTTTTGTAAACACACACATTTTATACGACAAGTTGAGGAACACTCTAGCCACCCCAGCATTTATCTAAAACAAGTTAACCATTTTTGCCCCTTCAAGAAAACACTAGCTATTTCCCACAGCAAAGAACAACAAGGGAGTGGTTCAAAATGCAACTTTATATTTGAACACTTCTAACAAATAGTACAAATCTAAAGGGCTGAAAGCAATTCGACTCCTACCCTCAATTCAAACAGAACAAACATTGACAGGCTATTTCAAAATGCAACTTTATATTTGAACACTTCTAACAGCAACTTGAGAAATTAAAACCTAACCCACGAGCTTCCCTTAACATTTCCAAGCAATTAACCAAAGTTCAGGAAGACACACATTGACAAATAAAAAATTGGCATACCACATCATCCAAGCTATTACAAAAACCCTAAACCCTTAAACAATCAACTATTCGTTTACAACTCAAAGAACTAAATAATAAACAGTCAATCACTGGAGAAATTAACTACAAAAAAAGAACATCAAAAAATACCTTCAAAAGCTCATTGGCTTCAAGGGTCTCAATAAAAGATGTTGCAACATTATCAGTGACACCAGACTTGCCAACTAACTGAGACTTTAGCTTCTTTCCCAATCCATGAGCATAAGATGCTAATTCCTTCTTTTCCTTCACTGTCAAAGTTGGCACCTTTACACCATTACTCTTCAAACCCTCTTTAGTAGAACCCTCATCTTCACCAGCAACATCAATAGCACTATCTTCCAACTCCAAATTTTCAATATCCTCCTCTTTGTCGCCGTTGTCAATTCCATCATCGATAAAGTCATTATCTTTTTCTTCTTCCCTTTGGTCTTCTTCTTCCATTTCTTGCAAGGTCAGAGACTGATTGTGGGCTTTTTGTAAAAAAGAGAGAGAGCGAGAGGAGAAGAGGAGAGGAGGATAGGGGAGAGAAGAGAGTGACGAGGAGACGGTAGTATTAGTTTTTAGAGTGAGGGTTTTGTGGGATTTTGAGAGAATGGCCTTCGTTGTTGTTGTGGTAGTGCAAAGTGGTCTTAAGAAGTAGGAGAGCAATGGTGGCTGTGGTGGTGCTGGACGGAGAAGATGGTGGAGGACATGGGTGGTTGTCGATGAGGATGTTATCGCCCCCGCCATTATTACCGTGAATTCTTTCGAAGCGTTGCTCCTGCTAGATTTTTAGTGAGCCAGGGAGATGACAATGGTATATTATGATTTTGATGATATGGTTTTTCTTTTTATTTTATTTTATTTTATTTTTGGTGATAAGCCATGTTTTGCTTTCGTCCTTCAAGGTTAACTTTTTTCAGTGTTAGCTACTGCTTTGAACAGAGAATTTGGGGGAAACGAAAAGAAGAGGGAGGAGGGAATTAAATCATTTTCCATTCAAGTGTCTGGACGAGGTAAAGATGGAAGGAATGAAAATAAAGGAGAAACTGTTTTTCTAGGATGTTGTGTTTGATATAATATATGCTTATTATTTGATTTTTTCAACAATAAGTATTTACACTTTCATATATAATTTTTTATATGTATTCTTGTAGGAAACTTGAGTCAATTTAGTTAAGATATAAAATAAAAATAAAACACGAATTTGATACATATAAAAGACTAAAATTGCTTAAAATAAAAAATCTTATTCAATTAACGATACATATATCCTTATATGATTTTTTTTTTTAATTTTTTTTTATTTTATAACTTTTCATTTCAAATCACATTTCTTCACTTCATTCTCTCATTATGGAGAGAACAAAATTTCAAGACAAGGGTAGTAAGCTCTCTACAATGACTCAATTCTTCTTATCTTCTTCATCATGGAATATGTGTTTCTTATAATTTTATTTCCACTCAAATTCTTTTCTCGTCAATTTGTGTGAATGCAAACTATTTTTTAAGATCATCGTATTTTCAAATTAACTTTCGAACATCGATTAAGCTTTTTTTTAATCTCATTTTACATAAACCATATGTCTCTAAATTAATGTATTTATAAGGAAAAAAATCTCATTCTAATCTACAATATTAAGTCAGAGAATAAAGTAATCTACCACCTAAGCAAACCTTCAAAGATAATTAATATTGAGTTATTTAACATGTTATAAGTTTGAGAATCTTCAGAACGTCAGTAGACGAAAGGTAATTTACGCTGTTGTGTTTTTTAAGATGAGATTTGGTTTGTTATTTGGAGGGAAGAAAGCGGCCACGTAAGGCGTGGAGGGTGTTTGGTCTAGTGGTATGATTCTCGCTTCGGGTGCGAGAGGTCGCGAGTTCGATTCTCGCAACACCCCATCTTAACTGGGCCAAAAGCCCATTTCTTTTCAAGAGTATTTCTGGTTTTAACAATCCGCACTCTCGGAAGCTTTTACGGGTCTCACAAGTTGCTACTATAATTACCAAAAACAGAAAGAAAACACGTTACGTGCAGCAAGCCAGCAACCTCAATTTTCTTCTATCTTTTTCTGAATGTCATTTTTTAGTCATTGTGAGATATAATCTCAAATCATCACAATTTCACACAATTCCTTCGGTTTCCTTTTACAAGTTTAAATTATCAAACATTGTGAGGTAAGCCGCTATACTCTATGTTCGAAGTCAGTATATCTAACGAAACAAATGTACATCCAAGACAACAGCAAACAAAAGTGCAGAATAAAAGGTTAAAACAAATTTCTGGTCAGCTTTCTTAAGATCGCTAGGGAGGGGGCTAAAGAGGAATGCTAGGCGTCAACTCTGATGCAGACAAAAGAGGAATACTCGACAAATGAGGATTGTTAGTCTGCTATTCCATTGCAGGATGGTCCAAGCATCACAACTGGCTAATTAATGATACAGAAAGTTTAATTTTAAAAACAGCAAAACATTACTATATAAAAGCCAGCACACGAGAGCTACTAGTTGACTGCCTTAATATCTAATCACATCTACTCATACGGAAGGTGGACCCCAACACCTGCCCTTCCATAATCTCTGGAACCAGGTGGCCAGGTCCACCCTCTTTCGAGACTAGCATCCTTAATAGGCCGAACCATAGACCCTTGCCTAATAATGCATACATCTAATCAAAGATAGCACAAACCAAACTACAAACACAACTAAACAAGAAATTGAAACTGAACTGTAGCAGTAACCAAACTAGCTGTAGAAGCCTGATATTAATGGCCACAGAATGGCAAAAGCAAATAATCTTGTCACGTACTGGCCACCAAATCTAACAGGCCGAATAGCTAGATTTTGTCACCAACACGTCTACCAACTGTCCTTTGCTCAACCATCGTCTTTGAACCATCCCTGCCTGGGCTGAAGTATACTGGTAAATACTCATCCGAATGGCATTCAAAAATTGATTTCTCAAAATGCCTCACTAGCTGCTCCTTACCCTGAGATCGCATTTTCAAAATCAAAACCCAGAGATTCAGATAAGAGAGTGGAGTTTTTTACGTGCTCTTTCAAGAAAATACTGATGACTAATTATTAGCATACCTGGAGCCTAGCACAGGCTATTTCACTTATCTTGTTGGACTGGAAAACATCCCATGCTTTATAGTTGGTGGAAAGGGAAAACTTCCACGCAGCTTTTGCATCTGTGAAGTTAACAAATGCATAGCCTTTGTTGGCCCCTCTTCTGCACCACCACCGTAAACCCAACATCAGAACAGATGATTTTTTTTTTTAATGCAAAGTTAAAAACTTTTGGCTTAAACATGCATACGAGTAACAAGTATTCTCAATTAAACCCAGCAGTCAATGCTTCATAAGGACAAAAACAATTAAAATACAAGGTCAAGTGCATATATGAAACGTACTTAAAGTCAATAGGTAGATACAGGAAATCAAAAGCTGACACAATTGTCTCCTTAGTACAGTCAAAATTTTGAAGCTTTGCCTTTTCATTTTCCAACAGGCAATGACTGTCGAGGAATTCCATTAACATTTCCCGGCTGCATAAAAACAAGTGTAACAAGTGGAAGTATTAGAAGCAGCATTGGAGTGATTATGAGAAACTAGAAAAACCATTTCAGAAGAATAAAGGAGATAACTATAGAACTAATTTTGACCGGTTTGGTACGGATACGATACTGCTTGCCCAAACCAACAGTGTAGCTAATGAAGAACCCCACTACACAGACACAAGGAGAGGGAGAGGGAGAGAGGACAATATGAAGAACCAATTACGTGTATCTATTGGGAATGTTCCTGATCATGACTGTGGTATCTTGGCGATCAGGTAGCACAGGGAACACAGGATGTTTCTGCCTAGAATTAACACTACCACAAGACCTCCCATTTCTTCTGGTGCACGGATATTGCCTCTCACGATTTCTATCACTTCCATTAGACTTGGGTCTCAAATATTCCTTCTTGGCGTGTTTCTTTTCATACCCTCTATACCCTCCTTCTCTCCCACTAAAAGAACCAAGATATCTACCACAATCTCCTCTATTTTTACTTGTTCCTGTGCCAACCCTTGCAGTCATCACCTGTTGCATCTCCAATTTGGGCTCAAGTCGGGTTTGCACCATTTGCGTTTGCGCAGAGACTGCCAATAGACCATGGTTGTGAGATGCAACACACCGTGCATTGCTAAGATATTGATAAATAGTGTTAGTATAGTAAGGAAACGGATGAGATGGTCCTGAAGTAAAGTAGTAGTAAGAAGATGGGTTTTGACTTGTTACTGGAAAAATAGAACTTGGGAGATATAGGTGATTATAGTTGACAACATTATGTAAAGGTGCAACAATATTGTTTTGCAGGTTAAGGTAATAATGAGGAAAGAACTCTGGTGCTTCTGGGTTCAAGGTACTGATTTCAGTAGAAAACATGGCAGCTTTTGATAACACAGAATCAAGCTAGTTTTCATGGGGATAGAGAGACAGAGGGCGAGAGAAAGAGAGAGCGAGCGACCTTTGGACTATGGAGAATGGAGTGTAGCCAACACACAACTGAGCTGCTAGCTAGATCATGTTAACTTCGTTCTTTGGGAGTGGAGAGTGGAGAGGTGAAAAGAAATATCATGATTACGAGAGTAGGGAACATTTAATGCACGGATACGATGGAATAAACAATTATATATACGTGGACAGCTGATATCTTATCCTGGCGCCGAATGTTCCAGCAGCAGCTTTATTTTGCAGAATTAATTACATTTTAGCTGTTTAAATTTTATAATTTTTTCAATTTGAGTATTTAAATTTTTATCTTTTGTTACTTGAATGATTTAATTTGTAATTTTGGTTTATTTTGAGTGGTTTTGTTGCCTCAATACTGATATGTCTGTTGAATATATGTAGTGCCATCACGTGGATTTCATTGTCATATGAATTTTATTATCAGAAACGTGACAATTAAAAAAATTAAAATGAAAAAAAGTAAATTAATTTGAAAAAATTAAAAACTTAAAAAGAAAAGAAAAAGAGACAGAAATTGACAAACCAAAGCTACTCGGCTTGAATTTGGAGGCAGTTGGATTTCGGGGTTTTTGGACGCTAGGTGGCAGGAAAAAAGGAAAGAAGAGTTAGGAGGGCTGCTGACTGGTCCAGTTGAGATACATTAACAAACAGTTGAATCACTCAAATAACAAATATTAAACAGTACATGTTCAAATATTAAAAATCAATAATTTAACATTTAAAATGTAATTAACTTTATTATATACTGCTTTTTTTTTTCAGAATATTGCTGCACGATCTGCTACAAAAGCCTGGAAGCTATATATCTGATATCTCACTGCTTATAAGAAACTAAACATTTTATGCAAAGGAGAATCCAAGGGTTAATGACTGGTTCCTTCACTGATTAATGACGTTTAAGAAGTAAAACAACATTAGTTTTTGTGAGGTTTTTCACTTTTTTTCTGATTTTTTTTTTTAATAAAAGAGGCTACCGGGCTAAGCCCAAAACAAACTGTTAATGGAATATTATCTGTTTTCATGAGATTTTTTTTTTTTTTTTGCCCCTTTAGAATGATTCTTCATCTTGCATGCCATCTTTCGTTAATAACAGCCAGTTGCTTATATGAATGGCTTTAACATGACCTTGCACGTTTTTTTGAAAAACCGGTCATTTCAATTCATTTTCTTCTGTTTTTTTTTTTCCCTCATCACAGGAACAAAAGGCTTAAATCCGAAACTTTTGGAAAGAGGAGGTATGAATGCTAGTTGAATTAATTATAAATTCTTTGGCACATTTCTTCTCTTCGTCGGTCATTGTTACTAGGAGGAAATACTCTTGACGGAATAAATCAAGGATAAGGAGAAAGGTAGCCCGTTATGTATAGGCTAGCACATGGGCCATGGCTCAATAGGTATATATGTTATTTTTTAAAAAGAAAAAAAAATCTATAGTAAAAGCTTGGCCTATGAAAAAATTAGAAAATTAAAAGGTCATTTAGTTATAAAAAATAAAATGATAGAAATGAGAATAAAAATTTTATTCTTATTTTATAAATATTTAATTGAAAAAATAATTATAATAAGAATAAAAATTAAACATAATTTCATTCTAAAAAAATAAGAATAAAATCAATAAAAATAAAATAGATAATTTTTTCTTTAAAATAATGATATATTATTCTTATCTTCAACTATAATCATTATTTCTACCACTAACTTCATCATAACAACACCACCATCATCATTCTTATTGACGATAGTGATAAAAAAGATTGTTGTTATTATTGTTTTACCATCATTTTTCTTTTACCTTCGCTTTTATCATATCATTACCATATCACTTTTATTCTACTTCCACCTTTTGTGAGAATGACATTAATTTTTTAAAAATATATTATTATTGTTACTATGTTACTATCATCATTTTCTCATCTTCTTCTATCACTTTTATTATTTGTACTATCATTATAATTGATAAAAAAAATTAATTATTATTCTTATTTATTTTAAAAATTAGATATTAGAAAAAAATAAATTCATTTTGATTTTTACATTCCCATTCTACACCTTTTTATTCTTAAGAACCAAACACCTCCTGGTAGCATTTCTCCCTCCCTCCCTCCCTCTCTCTCTCTCTCTCTCTCTCTCTCTCTCTCTCTCTCTTTTATTGAATGCTCTCTGCTGAAATTTCGTCTCTCTGCACATTTTTTGCGACAATTTCTCTTCCACCATGTGATTTTAGTGTTTAGAAAAACATTAAGGTACAGATGTGCCCTTGATCAATTTTACTGCTAACAAAATGGAAACTAACTAGATGGCATATATTTATTTATATACTGGTCCGATTCAGATTGCTGAACAATTTTCTTAAATTTTTCTTACAAAACTTGGCTTCGGATCTCTCTTTGGCCATCTTCCAAACCACTAAGCAACCATACACTTGCCAGTGGAACGTTTTCTTGCTCGTTTCCACCTCTGACATCTCTCAATAACTATTTTTTTGAGCACCCTTCAATGCCAATAATGCTGCTCCATAGGCAGCCTCTGTTTGCATTGCCCGACTCACGGGCAAGCCAAGTACTCTCTCTCGTATCTTTGTCCATTTTTCATTTTTTGCACCACCTCCAGCGGTAAAAACTTCCTCAGCCTGGGTTGCTCCTAGATCCTTTAACAAGTTGTATCCCTTTGCCTGAAAATCATATAAGGTGTCCATGTCATGTTAATCATTTTCATCGTCTATACAGCGCAAGAGAGTTTCGACATGGACAGACCTACGAAGAATCCTTACCTCTATACGTGCAATAGATTCCAAAATACCATGCAAGTACTCCACATCACTTTCTGGTCGTGGATGTAAACTGTGCGAGAAGAAAAACGATCGATCAAACTGTGGAACCATGGGAGACATATCCTAGCTTGCCAGAAAACTGTTTCCTTTTGTGTGCTAGACAGTAATGTAACTTGTGACTGCTAATAACTGTTCAAACTAGAATTTGGACACAAACAAGAAGCTAGATGTCTATTCCAAGTTTCTTTATTCGCTTCTTCAACCTGATCTTACTCTAATCCAGTTTTGAATTGAAGCACCCATCACCATCATGCCTAATAAAGTGCAAGACATCAGACTACCTAAGAAAATCTCCATTTTCTAGATGGCAGGTGATTGGGCTCCAAGTTTATGTCCTCATGAAATAATTTTTTAAGCCCTTCCTAACTGTAAATGATTCTGCGTATGGACTATCATGATTCATGCACCAATTACCAGCTTCTACCAGTCAAGAAGTTCTTTTTTATTTGGAAACTTTGGTTGATTTTCAGGGGGGAAATGTAATAGCACAGTTTTCAGTGCCTTAATAAGCAAAATAGTAAGATACTCTGCAAATGTGCAGCAGGGGAATATGGCTCTTGATTGAATACAATTTACAAAGGAAAACTGTTTAACAAGTGCAGCAAGTATTGAATACCTGGGAACCATATTTGGATCTGCCACAGGAAATCTCTCACCAACTGATTTTAAAGGGTAGTAGTCTAGAGGAGAAGCTTTCATTGGATTTATATGTTCACTCAATTTCTGCAGTTGCTCATCAGTGAAAAACTGTTTAAGAACAGCTCCACCAGTATTTGAAGCACCTCCAACCAGCCATTTATCATCAAGGCGGTGACTATACACTCCAAATCGCGCATCTTCAATCCTCATAGTGCTCAGTAACTTAATAGCAAGGGTTGAGCCTAATGAAGTGACCTAAAAACAAGTGTAAACGAGGTCAGAATAAAATTGGATTGTTAGATTAAAGGGGTTGAGTTCTAAAATTTTCTTACAGCTTTCCCAGGTTGCGTCGCGCGTGCTGCAAGGAAAGCAGCTATACTATCCGTTGTTCCTGCACATACGATACAATCCTCTTGAAAACCTGAAAGGATGTATTTTGTAAGTCATCAAATGCAGTTTTGAAAATTTACCAATTTGAAGAAGCTTTAAGGTGCAGGGGCAAGACAAGAGGAATTGCCGGAAAAAAACTTCCAATCAACAAACATAAAGCTCAAATAGGCTATAACTCCATTTTAACCAATTTTAGGTAATAATACAATTAGTCCAATAAAGCAATCTTACATTTATTAGGTCATTGTAATTATCCTTTTCTTTTTTTTCTTTTTTTTTTCCTGAACTTAGGTCATTGTAAATATCACTTGACCCAAAATCAACAGCTTATGAGCAATAGGGCTGCCATTCCATACGATCTGTCAATCCAAAATTTTAATGAACTACATGTTTTAATGGTTATTTAAACATAAAAATATTTTTTCAGTTCAAATATGAGGACAGCACCTTTTCATCAGTTTCAGTTAAATAAAACAAAACGAAGGAAAGGTCTCCAGATCAGATATTGTTGGTCCTTTTTATGCTCAACAGTCTTCAGGATCACAACAGGACAAATTTAAGTTTCAAAAAGTTAGGTGAAGACCAAATCAGTACGGATTAAACGTACACTCCATTGAATTTGTGACTTAAAGCATTACTTGAACAATATGCTGAATGTTAGCAGAAGAAGGAACAATGAAAAATCCTGCTATCTGCTCAAGTGTTGGCAATTTTTCATGCAGCATTAAAAAATAAAAATTATAGAAAGAACTGCAAGAGTCCTTCAAATTAATGTTGCACAAAATCACGCAACAGAATGTTTCCACCCCATTTGTCAGTTCCTAGAGTATGACTTCATAATTTGGCTAAACCGATAGTAAGAGATCTAGGCAGTGTGATAAAAAATAACAAGACTTGACACCGTATATCCTTTAATTCCTTCTATCTAACAATGTAACATACCAAATTGTGTTTTAATGTCCTCTTTTAAATTGCCAATTGAAGTTCCCGGAGCCATAACAGAAGGTAAAAGTTGTGAATATGGCTGAGAAAGCAGCCATGGTGGATATGAATCTGATGCAGGATCATAACCAACCTGCAAGACATGAAACACTTGTTATATAATTCCTCCAACACAGACAATTAGGAAAACATGAAAAGAAAATCCTATCGAAAAGAATTAAAGACTAATACCTTTAGAGCATTATTGTAATCTGACACTCCAAGTTTTCCATGAAGAAGCCACAACAGCCAATCTGCTTGGTGCAACAACAACGCTGATTTTTTATTTGACTCCTCTATGTTCCACCATGAGACGAGCTTGCACAAGGTAGACGAGCCGGAGCAAACAGTATGGTTTGCAGGAGCAATAGATTTTACCATCGGCAAAGCGTCAGGGAAACTCTCATTGTAAAGGAATGGTCTCCATAACGGGTCTCCTGTATTGCTGCGGGAAAAAGAAAACTACAGAAGCTTGATCTGGAAGTAAAACAATGACAGGATAGCCACAAAACTGCTGAGACATCCACCTGTCTACTATGATTGTGGTCGCAGAAGTACCATCAATTGAAATAGAAGCAACAAGTGGGCGGAGATGAACCGGAACATCCTCTAGCAGTGAGAAAAGCACTGTCCTCCATGACCGCGCCCAATCCATTTTTTCTTCACTCTTCCTAGGCGAAAGTAATAAGATTCTCAGTCAATTTGGGCAATTAAATTTCACTGGAATTACACCAATAAGCATTATAAGTTTTTCTTCCAGATTCAGTAGTATCTCTCAAGAAACTAAGAAAATGCATCGTGAAAAAAAAAAAAAAGAGTAACAACATTGATTTTAAGGAAAAACAAAGAAACTCAAATTGACTAGGAGTTGTACCATTCTTGGTAAATTAGAAATTGAGCATAATTTTTAGAAGAATATCCCAGTAAGTGCATCATCACCAAAATCCTAAAACCAGCATTAATTTTTCTAAAGAAAAAACAGTAAATACCTGGTTGAATTAACAGCCATACACTAAAATTTACCGCTACCATATAAAATTTGATAGCCAAAAATCCTACAACGATCAAATGCATCAATTTTTATATAATTGTTGCCAGTCTTACAAAAGCATATATATAAAAAATTTTCAAAGATGCACAATTTGAGAGTGGAGATAAATGAATAATCTTACCATAAAAACTGGATATTCTCTCTTTCCTTCAGATTGAATTATCCCTTGCTTGTCAATAAGAGCATATCTAGCTCCAGAAGTTCCAAAATCCATCCCTAAATAAAGCCTATCTCCAACTTGAATGCCACTTTCTTTATTGCTTGCAAAGGCCATTATCAGTCTTGGTTTGCATGCAGTTTTATGCAGCTGATCATTTCTTGATACTAATAACTTCCTTGAACCAGAATGCCCTGAAATGTTAGGATCATATAAAACAACATCACTAGTCAAGTTCATTGAGTAACAGGCTTCATGAGTCATAGTAAAAGAAAGACATATCAAGATTACAAAATGTAAGAACATGAAACTAGCTGGTTTAGTTTACTAGAGACAAAGAGAGAGAAAGGTACCATGTTGTTGAGACAATGAGCAAGGAAAGAGGAAGGAGAGTGTTGAGTGGTGAACCAAGGCAACCATGGTTGTGCCTCCTTGGCTCCTTGTGTTGGATGAGGTGAAGAATCTTGTCTTAATCTCCGCTCCGTTGAAAGACCACGCTTGCCTATGCCTCTTAAAACGTTTCGTTTAGGTTAAGAGACGACATGTCCCGTATAACGATAAACGAAAACAACGAACTCGTAATGGAGATTGAGGAGGGAATAGTTAAGTTGATATTGAACAGATAAAGGGTTGAACGCTCGATGACCACAAAAATTAATTGGGCCGCAAAACCCTCAATATTATGGGCCGTCTGTACCAGGAGCTCTCTCATTCTGTACAGGGAGGGGCCCAAATCCCAGTAAATCTCTATTTTGGACCACATGACTATGAAGGATTTGGAGCTGAACAACTCGACCAAACTCAAGCTGCATCTGCGATTTCCAAAAATAAACCGGTGAAGCTTAAAAAATCCAAGAAGTATAATTGCCACTTCCATTCCCGGTTAATAGGCCAGTAGGTTTTGCATGGTTGTAAAGGAGAAAGGAAAAGTGAGAGAAGGCAATCCAAAATCAGGCACCCAAGTTCATTCAACCTCGCCAAGTTCTAGATGGGCTCGAGCAACTTTCTATTGGGGATATACTGGTTAAAAGTTAGAACTGAAGCTCTTGCCTTGCCCCACATGTCCATTGATACATGCCTTGGGAGCACGTGAGCCACTTGTACAGCACAAAGAAAGTGGAGATGACAGACAGCTAAGTAGCTTCACCTCACAGTCACAACTCATACAAGAACACATGATACAAAAGAATCCCCAATCATATACTTCGTCACTAGCTAGCAGCTAACTTAGGCCCACATTAAAGGTTGCATGTGCCAATCAAGCCTTAGAAAAATATGTCAATTGCTGACGCATGGCATTTATCTTTACTTGCACTCTTCAGAAAATAAGTTGTGTACAGAATAGAAGGGTGCATAAAGAAAAGAGTCACCTCAGCAAATAATTGATAATAGATCATAGAAGCAAACATTTCCTTCGGTCTTTTTTGACATATTTGGTGCTACAGATTGGAATGATAGTGTAGCTTTTCAGCTAGTGGTCGTTGGTTAGTTTAAACAACCCCATCTTTAGAAAACTTGATGTGTTACTATTGGACCATACAATCACATCTTACTTCTTCCCTTCCTGGTTTTAGGCTCTTCATAATCTACTTCATTGGTTGGCTTTGGATATACTTATTGCATATAAATGGCTTACTGAAAAAGAGTCATGTCCTTTTTTGTCTTAACCTTGGTCATTCATCAAGTTTTCCTTTGAAAACACATCTGCCGATGTTTGATTTTTTTGGGCGAAGTTTTAGCGACATTGCAGCAAATCTCTCAAAAAGTTATATTTAATTGATTCGGTGCCTTGCAAATGTATATGATAATAACATATAGGTAAGCTTCATCTTTAATTTGGGCTGACTGCAAAAATGGATTGAGTAAATGGTTAAAATGTTTGGACCTCTTTCGTATGTGATTTGATTTTGAGAATGTTTATTTCTTCACGCTTCTATCGTTTCAAAATATGACATGCTATAAAAAATGACAAAAATCATTCTATTAGAATGAATAAATTATATTAAAATCAATATTGCTAAGATCAATTGAAACTATACCATCAAAGCATTTGATTAATTGAGGATTTTTTTTATATATAAAATATTGGTGGAAACTAAATTTATAAGAAGAACATTGCACTCGTAGTCTTAGCTATTATATTATTTGTTAATTGCCTTGATTGGTATTGAGCTATATCGCGCTATTCAAATTTTTTTCCTGCGATTCCTTGATTGATTTTCTCTTCTTTCTGTTCTTTTATAGATGATTTGGTGATAACACAGATTATGATCAAATAAGATGACATTGCCCACAAATTCACACATTTATATCTTTTGATAGATGTGAGCTCTTCTGTTACTGTTAGTCAAATTCTTCTTCATGATGATTGCGACTACTGCATCACAACTAACAAGAAGAAGCTGCAGAAAATGGAGTAAAAATCCTGCCAAACCCAAATTCTTTCTCTGCGGCTATTGGTTTTTAAAGGTTTATAATAATAGTTAGCATTCCATTACATAATCCTTTTGTGATGATATCATATTTATATTACAAATAATTTATATAATATCCAAATTACAAATAATGAAAGATGTAACCAACGGAACAAAAAAGATTTAAAAATACAGATTAAAGAATAAAGTTGATTTATTCTTGTCAAAGCTTTTATAGTTAATATTTTATTTTATTTTATTTTGGATAAGTTTTATTAACAGATTAACTTTCTTAGTATATGATATATCGCAGCAAATCTGTCAAAAACTTAGATTTAAGTAATGTGGTGCCTTGCAAATGTATATAACAATAACATAAAGGTATATTAAGCTGCGAATAGATTAGACGGCTCTATGACAATGTATCGCCATACTGTCAGGCACACCTACGCATGTCCAAACAAAATAACATGAGAATCGAATGCACATTTTTGCTTTTCATGGACATAATTATTCTTGATTTTGAAATTGCAATGGAGACAATAATAGAAATCGCCAAAGGATTGCTCCCTTGATCGTAAACACAATCAAGCAAAGTCAAATCAAAGAGGAGTGGCGACAAACTGGGGAATATGCAAATTTGCTTTTATGTAGTAATGCCAATGGGGAGTTGTTATACTAAATTCAAGTTTCAGTATTCGACTACTACTGTACGAGACCAAAACATCTATTCTAATAAACAAGAAATGTAGTATTCTAATCATAGTTTATCGACCAGCCAAAATAATCAACAATGGCTTCTTGTTTTTATTATTAAAAAAAAAATGTGATTGACTGTTTTGTGCTTCCGTGAAGGATTATTTTCTTACACCTAGATGCATCTTGCTCTTTTTTGAGGTTGGGGATGAACAAATAAATCAATGGGATTTGAAATTTAATACACATTTTCTTATATTTTGTAATAGCGCCATTGAACTACAACTTCACTCGTGTAAAAATTACACTCGAATGGATCCTTATAAATTCAGTGATATTGGTAAATATGTCTAAATTCTATATTTGACGAACTATTTATATGGTTAAAAAAAATGTTGAGTTAATATTAAAAAAAACACCAAAATTTTTTTTCTTTGTATTAAAAAAAAAAAACAATCTCAACACTGTGTGAATTTTATGCTCGTGGCTTAAACTATTAAACATTAACACGTTATTTATTTTTTGTACTTGTGGGTTATTGTATAGAAATATTTTCAGTAATTTGTGAATATTTACCATATCGTATTCTATCTATGTAAATTAAATCACATCATATTTGATAAGTTTAAGATATTAAGAAAAATAAAAATTGTATCAATTTTAATGTATAATTGTCAATTATTACGTGTAACTCAATTCGAGTGGATAAAATATGAAATGATGGATACCGCTAAAGAACTGGACGTATTTTCATTCTTGCATTCTCCTTTATATATTTTTATATCTATAAAAAAAATGGTGGAAAATATCTCAAATGGAGTGTTGATCTAGAACGGTGCATTGAATTGACAACATGCACATGGATATTGTTGATTTTGTTTGATTAAAAACGAATGTTGATTTTCTCTCACCAATTAATCACATGCCATTCGGATCTCCTTTGCTATTCGGCATCACGAAACAGGTAAGGTTTAAAACTAGGTGATCGCTCCATAATTTCCCTAGCATTTCAGCGCATGCTTTCATTGTTCATCAATGAAAATCAAGACAGGCATGATGAAGGTAACCATAACTTAATACGAAATATTTTCCATATTTCCATTTTTTCTTTACTAGACCGTACCCCACTTAGGGATGCTAATCAAGACTTTGAAAGCGACCGTGTCCATAAAAATTACTAGCATATAATGCCCACTAAACACAGCTGTGTGAGTGCCATAACTGTTATTGAAATTAATACGGGCCAGGGCTGAAATAAATTTGCATACTTATGTTTTGATAGGTGACTTCCGACTCAAATATTTAGAACAGATTGATAATTGATGTCATTGCAAGCCCTTCTCGTTTTCGATTAGTAAAAACGAGGAAAAAAAACCCGACAAATATCTTGTTAATCTGGACGATCAAGAAGAAAACCAGTGTCATGAAAAAAGAACTAATTAATAATCCATGATTAATCGTTGATTTTCATAAAAGAGTCCCATGATTGTCTAAAAAATAAACTCCCTGGGTTATGTTAGATATCTTCTTTTAAATGGCCTATGTTTTTAAATAATTTAATAAATTAAGTGTTAAAATTCTACTGACCATCTAAAGAGATATAAACCGTTGATGATAAAAAATCACATCAATGAAAAGTTAAAATTATAATATTTTTCAAATTGGATAATTTATCTATCTTGTAAATAGACAATTTATTCCATTAAAAAACTACTTGTACGTTAAAAATTTTTAAAAGCCAAGAGAGAAAAATACAATTTTTTTAAAAATCATTTGTGATTGATCTATCTCTTCAAGTTTCACTATAAAATCAAGGCATGTTCTCTTTTAAATTATTTAGTGGGTGAAAAATCACTAAATTCTAAGATCTTGGGAATAAAATTTATACAAAAATAAGATTTAATTTGCATAATCATAGAATAAATTACAGATTAATTAATGTATATCAAATTGTTGTAGCTGCACAAAGATTCTCCTATCTGTCATGGCCATTTATACTTCATGTATTTTGCCATGTCACCCACCGCATTTGCATGGAATGAAATTAACCATGTTTATATATATATATATATTGAATATACTTTATTTTTCTCTGAAATTTTTTTTTCAGAACTTTATACCTCTTTTATTCAAAGCTAAAACAAAGATTACTCAAGCGTTTCTTAACATTTCACGTCTTTAGAGACGAAAAATAGAATCAAGCTTTTTTTTTTTTTTTTCAAAAGTATTCTTGATAAAAAATATAGGTTAATTTCTTATTTTTTTATCGAACATATAAGGTCCAAACAGTTATTCAAATATTTTTTTTATTCATAAAAATCCGAATTCAAAATTATTTATTTAAATAATTAAAATATTTTTTTATCAAAATAATAAATAAAATCAGGCTTTAGATGTATAGTTTAACCACCTCAAGGACCCTAACATAAGTGTTAAATTCGTTGGCAAGTAAACCCATATCCATACATAAATTCCAACTGTATACAAATCTATTGGAAGTTAACAAAGGGTATTAATAATGCATTTACCAAATCCGCACGGCAAAAAGTTACTATTTGTTTGGAAAAACAACAAAGAAAACTATCGGACAAATGTCGAGTAAGGAATAGGCTCATGGTTGTTTTGTTGCCCTCGAGCAATCACATCACATCCACGTGCATAGGCAGATAGGCTGCGAAATAAATGTATTAGGGTAGGCTTGTTGGTTGATCGATCGAACCAAACCCATGCCTGCACCCTTGTTACCCTGTGCGGTTGAGCAGCTAAGCTTAGCATGTCGAAGAAGCAAAAACATCAAACTCACCGGTGATTGCAAATTGACTTGCATGGGTAATTGAAGTTAGTCTTCAAAATTATACTCCATCTTAAGTGCTGTTTGTAGCCCAATAGTAATAATTTCTCATAACAAAAAGCTACCAATTTATATCCTAATATATTAGTTTTGTTAAAATCTTCAAATATGTAAGTAAAAAAAAAAATACTGTGAACAATTTTAGGAATACTTAAACTTACTATTGTTTTTTTCCTTTTATTGAATGACACGGCATGTCGTGATTGCTGAATTGAATCAACAATTTCTTGTGTTTGAAATTATTGCTTTAGATCACAAGGATACATATTAGTGTAAATTATGCTTGGTTCGTGCATTTTAAGAAACAAATATTAGTCTAGTCCTTTTAGTTGGTGAAATAATTAATTGATCCTTTGACCGTTTTTTATTGACAAAAAAAAAAAAAAACTAATGGGATATAAATGAAAAAATCCATGACATCTAAGCATCTTGGCAATGAAAAATTAAAGAAAAGATCAAGTAATTGATGAAAATGAAAGTATAGGGTTTTAATATGAGATTTTTTTAACTAAAGGGATTAATTGTTGAGAAAATATAATGATTAGGTTATAATTGACTCAATAGAATATGGTATCTTATGTTACTTATATGGGTGAAGTATAAGAGTGGGAATAAAAAATTTTAAGTGATAAGTTAAAATTCTTAAAATCGGAGATTATGGAGTGTCCTCCAATATTATATTCTAATTCGAAAAAACTAAATTTTTTTTTTAAACCACGATCGTGTATGTAAAAATGAATGAAGTGTAAGATTATATATGATATTATTTTACTTTTATACGAAATTTCAACTATATTAATCTAAATTAAAAATTAATATTATATCTTTATACGTGATTTTAGAAGTTTTTCATCTAATTTTGTAAAATTATGACGAAATTTATATATTTTTTAATAATTTGAATTTGACTAGCATTCAACGAAGTCCAACTGAGTTGGTGTTAATTTTTTATAACAAAAATTGAATCATTTTGATCCGCAATAATTGAATGTTGTTTAGATACGATGTAACTTGATTATAATTAAATGATCAACATTTTATCAAATCGGGCAATGTTGCAGTTAATTAAAAAGAAAAATGTTTTTGTTTCCCAAGCAAATAGACATCTTGGAAAAGCCACGGTGCATGGTCTAATAAACCGTCACATGTAGATGCATTTTATAAAATAGGTTGGGAATAATTTGCAGTGACACCAAAAAAAAAAAAAAAAAACGAATAATTTGTTGCAAATTGCCCAGGAAAGTTCAAAAAATCAATATATCGACAGAAGCCATACAGCAATGAGGATGTTAAATTCATCAACAAAGAAGGCCATTATCGTGTTAGATTAGGTAAGAGTTGTAGGACTTCCGAAAAATTCACCGAGCCAAGGAATCCATTGCCTCTTTTATCTTTCAAGTGTCCACCACAATGTAAAAAAGCCATTAATTTCTCTTACAACTATTCAAATGATACATTTGTTCCGATTGTAGATTTTTTAACTATAAAAACACGTTTTTGCAGATTTTTTTTTTTTTTTTTACAGAGTTATGATTTGAAAAATAAGAATAAGGGAAAAAAAGAAGACACATCACTCTGCCAAAAATTAACCAGCAAACCTCCCTCTCATGCATGCATATCAACATGCATTTTCATGCGCTGACAGCCAATGAAATTGTATGCGCAATGCTTATGATACCGTATTATAATATTGTTTCACAAAAAAAAAAAGTGTGTTGTAAGTAAACTTCGCATTTAACATGACTCTGTAACATGAGCCCTTTTTTTGCCCCTTTTATCCTCATCTCTTTAGTATGCGTGGTTTTTAAAAAAATAAAAAATTGAGTGTACAGACGAGCAGTTTCGGACGTAGGATCAAATGTCCACGTGATCAAAATAAATATTTATAAATTTATAATAATTTATATAAATTTATAAATAATATATTAATATATATTTTAAAATAGTCTCAAAATATAATCATTTAAAATAAAAATTTTCGTTCTTTCAAGTGATGAAAATCATTTATAAGGAAACTTATACTAAAATTTTTAACAATTTCTTTTTCAATATATACTAACAAAGAATTGAAAAGAAAGTTATTTTTTATTTTGTTACGAAATTTAGTCTTAACTATTATAATAATTGAAAATGACCGCTCCATGGTAGTCATAAAAACTGAACAACAAAAATAAGTGTTGTCACTCTATACTTAAGTAAATGACTTTCAAATTTTATTGTCTTCATCAACCATTGATACGTAATCGGATGTAGCCGACAATGTTTTGAAACCAAAAAGATTTTGTACATGATCAAAACGCTCAAATTGCATCTTTAATTACAACATTTCATGATCGACAAAGTCTTGAGGATAGATTTTGTACACTAACTTACAAATGATATTAATCCTAAATGACATGTGCATCCCTCTAGGATAATTTTTTTGTGTTAAGTGAATATTTTATATGTTTTTCGATGCATGAATAGTAACTTTTTATGCAAAATGAATATTTTGAGTATTTTAAATGTGCATGAAAAATGTTCAATTTGCATAGAATATTTGCTTGAGGAGTGTTAGATTATTCCGTGCAACTCGGGTGAATTTTCCGATGTTTAGTAAATATTTTCGATGCATGAATAGTATTTTTTATGCAAATTAATTATTCCGAGTATTTTAAATATGTTTCAAAATTATTCAATGGGTATAGAAAAATCATCAAGGAGGTGTAAGAATATTCTATGGATCTAGATGTATTTTTCCGTACATAAAGAATATTTTATATAGAAATAAGTGTATTTTTACATCTATTTAAGCCTTCAAATTAATTATTTTATGTAAAAATACACTCATTTATCAGTAGGTTAATTAAAATTCCAATTGAAGTATTCTAAAAAAAAAATCAATTAAAACATGAATTAAGATGGTGTCATATTAAAAATAAAATTGTGATAAAATAAAAAAAAGATGATAAAAGAGTATAGCATGGTATGGGATATTTCATGAGATATATAAAAAAAAAAGTTGGATGGGGTAGGGCCCCGTAGGGTTCTATCTGGGTCCACCCCTGCAGATGAGGATAAAGAGAAAGAATATGAAATTATAAAATTGGTAATGATTTTTTAATAGGATTCCAAAACGTTACGCACAAGTCTGTAATTTTTCCTTTATTTCATCATTTACATTTAATTTTGTAATTGCCTAAATTTTTTTTAATCTTCTTTAACTGTCGAATCTTGCTATCTCACATCATCACAATTACTTACCAACTAAGTTGACAATTCTTCAGGTTGTATTACAAGTAATCTATATAATACCCAAATCACAAATAATGAAAAGATGTGAACTCCACGAAGCCAGAAATTTTTTTTAAAAAATACAGAGTGCATTAATCCTTATCAAGGATATTTATACCAGTTACTCTAATCCTTCTAAAAATATTTATAGCTAATTATTTTGTTTGTTTTATTGATTAATCTTTGATTAGCGACTATTAGTCCTTCCTTGCCATTCTCTAATTTGTCCTAATCACCATGTCACTATGATTCCCGCTCATTTTATTTTCTTAATTTCAAACTCTCCTACTTCGCGGGTCCCTCTTTCCAGTTTAAACTTCCACGCTCCATCCTTTCCACGTCATCCTCCACAGTAAATATTTCTCACCCCCTTCGAAAACATGGTTTGATGGCACTATTCCACACCTGTAATATAATACTTCTGTCAAGTTTAATCCAATACCACAAAATATGCAATTGAGTCCTCCGTCTTCAATTTTTCTAACATCCGTCCTTCCATTTCAAATTTTTAGGTTCACATTTCATTTATGCTGATTTATTTTTTATTTCAAATTTAAATATTATTTTCAACACCACGTCGTCTAGATTAATAATTCATTTCTAAAATTAATGGCATAATTGCTAGTTAGATTTTGATTTCTATTTCTAAATTTAACTTTCCATGATTTCATGTAGTTTACCATTCATCCAATTTTTGCAATAATTTTAAAAATCAATCATAAAATAAAAGATCTAGCATACCAAATAATGAATGTATTTTACAATATCAACAAATCATAAATAATGTCATAAAAAGTCAAATTTTAAATATTCTAGCATTCATAATCATATAAATAAAAATTTAATTCCTAAGATCAATTGTAAAATAAAAGAAAATGTTAAAATAATTGAAGTAAATGAATTTTAATTGATATGTTGACTTATGTGGTAAGTAAATTTGTAATCTATGGTACTTTTTTCATATTGGAATTTAAAGAATGATTTAAACAAAAAAAACCATCATGAATTCTTTAGCATAGGCGTGAAAGACTTTTTCAAGCTTAATGAAAAGGGAGTCATCATGTTACTAAATATCAATCCAAATATTTTCGACCGTTAAAATAATAAAAAAATGTAAGGCTTCGATTGCATAATTTTTAAATACAGGTCCAAAATAACACATTACAGGGACGAAAATGTTTCATCACACCAAAACCACAAATAAAAATTTCAAAAAAATTTGAAAATACAAAAACATATCGTTCTCAATTTCTCTCTCTCTCTCTCTCTCTCTCTCACCATTCTAATATAGAAATCAAAATCAACTCCCCTCTCTCTCTATTTCTGTCTCTGCAACTCTTTGTCTTCAAGTAGAAGAAACAATCTCTCTCTGTTTCTTCTCTACTTTTCTTCCTCTCTCTACCATCTTCATTCACTTAAAGTATCAAATCCAAAAAAATAAAAAATTCCACACACAATGTTACTTACTTTTTTTGTAGCAGAAACCATGTGATTTCACTGACTCGCCCTCTCTATTTCCTCTCGCTTTACACTTCCTCATCCGATTCAGCTTCTCCTCTCTGATTCACTGAGTCAACTCGACTCAACTCAACTCAACTGACCTATCATTTTTGCCAGAATGGCGTCTTCTTCTAGAGCGAGAAGCAGCTCCCCGTTCTCTTATAGGAAACCTTCAAGTCCGTTCTCTTCTGCTTCTTCAACAACTTCTTCTTATAATAACAGGCTAATGCCTCGCTCTTGCTCGACTTCTGCTTCTTCATTTTTCGGTTCGCGGTCCGTGACGCCAAGTCGAGCTCGGTCTGATTCAATGCAATACAGCGGTCCACGTGGAGGCGGTGGTTATGGCGGTAGTCGGACTCCGGTCGGGTTCGGGTCGGAGGAGTTGATGGCTGAACCGATTGATCAGCCGAGGACTGGTGGTGATAGTATTTCGGTTACTATTCGGTTTAGACCGTTGAGGTAATGGCAGATCTGAGGTCAATAGATCAGATCTTGAATCGGTTTTGTAATTTGAATTTTTTAGGGTTCAGTTGTCTGATTGGGATGTGTTTGGATACAGTGAAAGGGAGTTCCAGAGAGGGGATGAGATAGCATGGTATGCGGATGGGGATAAGATTGTTAGGAATGAGTATAATCCAGCTACTGCTTATGCGTTTGGTAATTAATTATTGAATTTGAATTTCTTTCTTGTTATTACTTGAGTCAATGCAAATGTAAATGGGAATTAATTTGTATTGGCAGATAAGGTGTTTGGACCACACACGGTATCTCAAGATGTGTATGAGGTTGCAGCAAAACCTGTAGTCAAGGCTGCGATGGAAGGTGTTAATGGTATGTTATCCATCCAGATTCTGATCTTTTTTGATAATTAATTAGCATTGATTGATTCTACTAGTTGAGGTTGATAAGCTGATTAATTGATGTTCATTAATTTTGGTTTTTTCTTTGACAATGCAGGAACTGTTTTTGCGTATGGTGTTACTAGTAGTGGAAAGACGCATACTATGCATGTAAGATTAGTCCCTATCTATAAATTGTATCTCTGTGTAGTTTTTATGTTTGGAGATTTACTAAAAAACGTTCAATTATTGTAACAGCTGATTATAATTTGTTGTTGCAAATCATTGAAAATATTCTGGTGCATGCTTTTCAAATTGGAAGCGATTAATTAAGCTACATAAATTATTCATGGTTTTTGTGTAGCGTAGGCAAAATGCTTTGCTGCTATTTTATTTGCACGAGAAGAACATTTAGTGTGGCGACACAATATGGTGATGCATTTTATTGATAACTACTCTTTTGAAACCAGCAACTCCACTAGATCTTACTATGTTTGTTATTTGCATAGGCTATAACCTTATAAACGCTCAAAGTACAACAATGTGATGATCTGTTGAAGAGTTTTACTGAGGAAACTCTTGGACATTTTTAAGTCCCCTTTTGCTTGAAATACTCATGCTTTCAGTTGTTGCTTCCCCACCTAATCCTTGGTTCTCTCATTCTTTTGTGGACATATCTATAAATGCATTTGATGCTCGAGCATGTTTATCTGTCTTGTTTTAGTTAGGACTTAGAATCACATAACTGAAGTATTTTCAATGACATAACAGTTTGATCCTGCTATGCAATGTATCACTGATTCTTAGGTTATGTATTATTTGGCATATGTATAAACAATATGTTTTTCTTTTGGTGTTTCTAACTTTTCTTGTTTCAGTTCCTTATTGTTAAAAAATTTCCAGTGCTGTTGTTTTTGAGTTGTTTCTCATAATATTATGTGCAGGGAGACCAAAATTCTCCTGGTATTATACCACTGGCCATAAAGGATGTTTTCAGTATGATCCAAGAGGTAAGTGTTCTAAAAATATTTTTCTCAATATATTCTTAATAATGTTGTTTTGTTGTGCATCCCTCAGCTTTTATCACCTAAGCATCTGTCTGTGTGTGGTGAATGTGTATGGCTAACACTGAATTTACACTTGTATAGCTTGGTGTTACTGTAACCCTATTCATTTGGTGTTTTTTTTCCTATACTTAATCTTTTTAATTATCTTCTTGTTGATCAAGTATGGATGACATGTGCTTTCTCACTTCAGACTCCAGGAAGAGAGTTCCTACTGCGCGTGTCCTATCTTGAAATTTACAATGAGGTCAGTGTCACTATATTGTCGATTTGAATCACAGCACTCAAATATACAGACTACAACTTGAACTATTTATTGTCATCTTTAGTGAAAATTGTCTGATTTATATTTCCACGTATGCTTCTGATATCAGGTGATAAATGACTTGCTTGATCCAACAGGTCAAAATTTGCGTGTTAGAGAAGATGTACAGGTGTTAAGCTTTTTCTTGCCATGAAAATTTTATTATTTAATGGATCTCATATATGTTCATTTATTAATGCTTGTACTGTTTTCCAGGGCACTTATGTAGAGGGTATAAAGGAAGAAGTGGTTTTGTCTCCTGGGCATGCTCTTTCTTTCATTGCTGCCGGAGAAGGTAAATTGTACACGGAAACCAATTTTCATCCTTTCCTGTATGTTTTGTGCAATTTTACTCCTAAGCTTTTATTGGTGTTTGATATTGCCAGAACATCGCCATGTTGGTTCAAATAATTTTAATCTGTTCAGCAGCCGAAGTCACACCATATTTACTCTGGTAAATAGTCTCTGTGCTGATGACATTAAAAAATAATAGTTAGCATGCCATTCATACATCTTTGTGGAGTAGATATATTAAACTCTGGTTCCAAACAAGCTATGTCTTACCCTTAAACACTTCAATTGTTGCATCATTTATGTCACGTTCTTGTCATTCTCTGTCATTTTTTTTTGTTTCATAAACTTGGACCTTAGTTACTGTGAATGATGTACCCTCTTCCACTTGTTATTTGTTTCCTTTCATTTTTTCATTATTAACTAATATGCCTATGCATTTGCAGATGATTGAAAGTAGTGACCATGGCGATGAATATGATGGAGTGATTTTCTCTCAACTTGTATGTTGGATTGAATTGTCATTGTCAGAGAAAAAAAAACATTTATCTTTCTTAGCTGCATGGCTCATTCTATTCTCTTGTATGTCTATTTTGTTAGAATCTGATTGATCTAGCTGGATCCGAGAGTTCAAAAACTGAAACAACTGGAATAAGGAGAAAGGAAGGATCTTACATAAACAAAAGCCTTCTAACTCTTGGAACTGTATGTACCTATAACTTTATATGCAATCATCTACCACGTTTTTCATTTTATTCATATTTATGTTGATCACAAACTGCTCCTACAATAAACAAGTCAGAGCCTTTCTGATACATGTTATAACTGAATAACCTGTGGGTGACTATCTGATGATTTATTAGACCAACTTGAGTATATTAGAAAGTGCTTCGAGACTCAGTGAAGTTTTATCTGAAACACCAGTCAGTGAATAAACTCGTTGCGCTCCTCGGTGTGTGTGCCGAGTCTGTGTACATGTTGATGTGTATATGCTTATATCATTTTGATGTCTGTAATTGACTATGTGGTTCCCATGTTAAGGTGATTGGAAAACTGAGTGAAGGAAGGGCATCTCATGTTCCATATCGAGATTCCAAACTTACTCGCCTTTTGCAGTCTTCATTGAGTGGGCATGGGCATGTTTCGGTGAGTTTGGAATATAAAATTCTCTTGCTATTTTGTGGTCAGCATGTTATCGAAATTTTACTTTGTTGTTGAAGATTGTAATTCACCTACACATATGAGTTCACTGAATAAACAATTGTGCAAGTGCATATTGAATTGCATTGGCTCTTATCATAATCTTCCAGAAACTTTTACTTTTCACGTTCTCATTCCTTTCTGTCTTTTCTATTGCGGTGGAAAACCCTTACAAGAGAATGACTGTACATATTCAATTACTCTTACCGAGCGAAATTCCAGTGCCAGCTGATGTATTCTTTCTTGCCTAAACTGCTCTTCAGCTTATCTGTACTGTTACTCCTGCATCAAGTAACATGGAAGAAACTCATAATACATTGAAGTTTGCTAGCAGGGCAAAGCGGGTTGAAATCTATGCCTCGCGCAATAAGGTGCAATATGAACTTAGCTTATGATATGATTGTCAACAACAACATAGATTGATTAAATCTAAAAGCTAACTTTAACCTGATTTTGGAATAACTCAACTTGCAGATTATTGATGAGAAATCTTTAATCAAGAAGTATCAAAGAGAAATCTCAACACTCAAGCAGGAACTTGATCAGTTAAGGCAGGGGATGCTTGTTGGTGTCAGCCATGAGGAGATTCTGACCTTAAGGCAAAAGGTTTTCAAATATTGTCTTGTTTTCTTCGTTTGAATATTGTAGTTTTCATTGCACGCTTTTATTAACATTTACAAATCATTCTTTTGTTATTTGTTGAACAGTTGGAGGAAGGTCAAGTGAAGATGCAGTCAAGATTGGAGGAGGAAGAAGAAGCCAAGGCTGCCCTCATGAGTAGGATCCAGAGGCTAACCAAACTCATACTTGTCTCTACAAAGAATACGATTCCTGGATTGACTGATGTTCCAGGTCATCAGCGGAGCCATTCTGTTGGTGAGGATGATGTAAGTTCTTTTTCCATCTGTTTTACAAACAAAAGCTTGGCCTGCATATTTTCCTATTTCCTAATTCCAAACTGGTGCTGAAATTTGAAGATTTACGTATGGATGTTGTCCTTTCCAGCTAATTAGTTAAATTGCAATTGCTGGGGTTTGAGCTTAGGACGCTAAATGTTTCGGGATGTCTAATATTCAATTTGTGCAGTGCAACAGTTATAATGTGAATTGTTTTGGGTAACATTTGACCCAAAAATTTGTAAAATGATGTTTTGTTTTCTTAATACTTTCACTGTCATTCTGCTCTTTGTTATTCTGTAAATGCTCAACTTATCTGAGAAGCTGCACGTTATTTTTTATTCTCCACAACTGATTGTCAATTAGTTATGTTACTTTTGGTTTCTGTCCATAACATCTACCCTTTGTTTAGTTATAGTAATTTTTCTTTCTAACTGCTTTATTCTCTTAGATGTTAGTTTTCCATTTGGAAGGCTGAAATGTGATGTTTAACTTATATTTCCTTTTTCTGTCAGAAATTGGATGTTCTGCGGGAAGGTGCTTCACTTGCAGAAAATGAAAATCAGGACTCTCCATCTTCTGTTTCTTTGATTGCATCAGATCAAACTTATGAATTTAAACATAGAAGATCTTCCAGCAAGTGGAATGAAGAACTCTCACCAGCTAGCAGTACTTTTACTGAATCGACTCAAGCAGGCGAACTTATGAGTGCTTCAAAATTGGCACCAGTAAGTTTTGCTAATTTTCTTTTTGCCCCTCCGGTTTTTGGATTTGTCAGATTCTTCTTCATTTGGTTCCAGCACCTTCCATTACCGATTCAGGAAAACCCAAGTCCCCTTTCTGGTGAAGTCTAGCACACTCATACCACAAAGGCAATGTCATTTTGATATATTTATGCCTCACTTATCATGTTCTAGTTGTAATTTTTCCTTTGGGTGATCAGCCCAAAACTGTTCATATATTTTTCAAGTCACTGGTTTTTTGATGAAATTGTTAAATTGACATATTTTTGTGTTGTTTATAGGGCGGGATGACCCAAGATCAGATGGACCTTCTTGTGGAGCAGGTTAAAATGCTTGCTGGAGAGATTGCATTCAGCACTAGTACCCTGAAGCGCCTCGTGGAGCAGTCTGTAAATGATCCTGATAGCTCAAAAACTCAAGTATGCTTCTCTTCTCTAGCAAAGTTATACGGCAGCTGTGTTTAAAATTTAAAATTTAAGTTCAGAATGAGATGTGAAGCTTTGATGATGCTGGAGCCAACATCTTGAATAGATTAAAGTGAGTTGTGTGTACCCGTTGTCTCATAGTGCTGCTTGAACCAATTTGAGTTTATGTTGTTACTATAATTTTAGATTTTATTGAACTCCGAAGCTTCCTTATCAAATGCTCAATTCATTCATGTTTCTTCTTTTGCATATTATAGAACTTAGCAGCTAGCAAAGACACTTTTATCCTGTGCTTCCTTCCTGTTTTCCATTGTGCAATGCCTTTTTTATTATCCAACATCTTAAATTTGGCATTAATATACACCTGAGTAGCTATGTGAGTGTTCATAATTTTCTCTAAAGCTCTGATGAAGAGGAGTGTATAATTTCTCAACCACAGATCCAGAACTTGGAACGTGAGATCCTGGAAAAGAAGAGGCAATTGAGAGTCTTAGAACAACGCATTATTGAGAGTGGTGAGGCTTCGATTGCTAATGCCTCATTGGTTGATATGCAGCAGGTAGTTTCACTTTCTTCCACATTTCTATTTTTTTCCTTGCATGTATTCTTTCATTTCTTTAATTCTTTTTTCAGATAATAGTAGCTCAATTATTTCAATTGCATTTGTGTGGCAACAGACAGTTATGAGATTGATGACCCAATGCAATGAGAAGGCTTTTGAGCTGGAGGTAAGCACTTCATATCATGATATTATTAGACATTTTTATCAGGGATTTTCTGTTCACTTATTGTTTTTGCATCATTCTAAAACACAATAAAGGCAGGCACTTGTATATCATTGGTAAACAATAATTGGTTCCGTGGAGACTAGGCCATTCAGAGTACTAATTATAACTGTCCAGGAGATAAATCCAGCTCCATAATTTCGTTCCAGAATCTCTCAACTTCAGAATCTGCACCATAATTTTTTTTTTTTCCGGAGAGGTAAATCCTTTCAAAAGGAAACTCCCATACGCTTTTAGTCTCAAGAATATTAATTATCCTGGGGAACCAGGTCATGAAGTCCGCCCCAAGTCATACCTTGATTTCAACATGGTCTGTAGAGTAGTTGTATTGGTGCACCAACGTGCTTAGATTGTAAATTTCTTGCGCACCACAAATGAAATGATTTGACTTTTTGGCAGATAAAATCAGCTGACAACCGTATCCTCCAAGAGCAGCTTCAGAATAAGGTTTAACCACCATTCTCAATCCTATTTGTCCTCTTATTTATTTATTTTTTCCTTCCTTTCCTTTTCTTTCATCTTGCCCCTTTATTTGATGCTTTGCACTTCCTTGGTGAGTTAACCTATGGGTCAGCCTGGAATGCTATTTTTTTTTTTCCTTGTTTGTCCCCTGCTTTGCTTATGTTTCAAACTGTTATTTCTGCATATGGTCATTATTGGCAGTGGTCCGAGAACAAAGAATTGCAAGAAAAGATGACTCTTCTGGAGCAGCGGTTGTCTTCACTCTCCGGTGACAAAGCATCGCTAAACTTTGAATACAATGCATCTGAAGAATATGTTGATGAGTTGAAAAAGAAAGTTCAGTCCCAGGTGATTGCTACAGTACTAAAAGTTACTAAGTTTTGAACAGTCTTATTGAAAATATCTCTATTTTGGGACGTTCATTGTTTTTGCTTCTAATTGAACTTAAGAGTTCCAGTTCAAACTTATCATATGGAAACAATAGGCATTAATACTGTTGTACAGTGTCAAACTTAAACAAAAAGTTTATCAGTGAGTAGTTGTAACATATAACAAAGTAAATCCAAGCTTTTGCTTATGGCTAACGAACATGTTTTTTTGTTTTTATCTAAGCAGGAGGTTGAGAATGAAAAGCTAAAGATAGAACAGGTCCAGCTTTCTGAGGAGAATAGTGGATTACGGGTGCAAAATCAGAAATTGTCTGAAGAAGCTTCTTATGCAAAGGAACTGGCCTCTGCTGCCGCAGTTGAGCTGAAAAATTTAGCTGGTGAAGTGACCAAGCTCTCGTTACAGAATGCAAAATTGGAACAAGAATTGGTGGCTGCACGAGAATCTGTGCATTCTAGAGGTGCTGGCATGCAATCAGTTAATGGAGTTAACCGCAAGTACAATGATGGCATAAGACCAGGGAGAAAGGGGCGGTTCTCTGGCAGAGGAAATGAGATATCAGGAAGTCATTCTGGTGACTTTGAGTCGTGGAATCTGGATCCAGATGATTTGAAACTGGAACTGCAGGCAAGAAAACAACGCGAAGCAGCACTTGAGGCAGCTTTGGCTGAAAAGGAATTTATAGAAGATGAATACAGGAAAAGGTGTGAAGAGGCAAAGAAAAGGGAGGAGGCTCTGGAAAATGACTTAGCAAACATGTGGGTGCTTGTTGCGAAGTTAAAGAAAGAGGGGAGTGTTATCCCTGGGATGAATGCTGATGAAAGGCAAAGTGATGGTATGGATCATACTAGTGATCCCAAAGCCAATGGAGTCGAAGTTGATCATAATAGCATCCTAAAAGAGAGACAAGATTTGGATGCATCACAAGAAGTTGATGAAACTCCTAAGGAACAGCCCCTTGTTGTTCGGTTAAAGGTAAACCTGAATTATTTGAATCCTTTTCCATTTTCTTCTCTCTTTTTTTTTCCTTTTTGTTTTCTTGCTTTGCTTTGTTGTACCCATCTGTTGCAATCGTTCTTCATTACCAATTGAACTCAAGGGGCCATCCGACAAACTACATCTGTTTGAGGGATTGTGCCTTGTCCTTTGGGAATATCAATGGCATGTTTGTTCTTGAATATTTCATCGCATTTTTGTGGTTGTAGGCGCGAATGCAAGAGATGAAGGAAAAAGAGCTCAAATACTTGGGAAATGGAGATGCCAATTCCCATGTGTGCAAAGTATGTTTTGAATCACCAACAGCAGCAATTCTTCTCCCCTGTCGACATTTTTGTTGTAAGTCAGTGAAGTTGCTTCAATTTTAATTGTTTATCCTTTCTGATCCTCACCTCTAATTGTTACTGCTGCTGGTTTATGCTTTTCTGCAGTATGTAAATCTTGTTCGCTTGCTTGTTCTGAGTGTCCAATTTGTCGCACAAAGATTGCAGATAGGCTTTTTGCATTTACTTGACACTGCGGCGTGGACCCTCCAAATGAAGGTCATGTCTACTAATTCTGCTCATTTTTTCTGAGAGATAATTTCATTATAGATACACCAATTTTGTCTAAACTAACAATCAAGTATTTTAGTCTAATTTCTATCAATTACTGTCCTCTGATGATTTGTTGTTTGCCCTAGAAAACTAAATTATGATTTTACCCTTTCATTTAGAGAACTTTACTTCCCAAATTTTTTTGTCCTTCACAAAAAAATAGAAAATGTCAATAATTTTGGAGAGAGTTTCCTCCAAGAATGATAAGGTAGAATCATAAATTAGTAGTCTAGAAAAAAGTACATGTCATCGGATACTGAAGCGATTGATAGAAGTTGAACAAAAAATTAGTGTATTTAAATAAAAAAAATTAAGATTTATGTGTTCCATTGAGAAAACATTAAAGTTGGTATGATTATATGCTGAGAATTCAACCTTTTGGGCAAATTTAGGTACCTTGATGTCTGTCATTACTGGACAAGTTGTTAAGAAGCGTTAACATTTACATAATAGTTTAGAAGGAAAATAGAGAATCATGAAAATAAACTACAGGTACTGCTGCTTTTGCAGATAATTTATCATTAGCCCAGCCCACGTTAGCCTACAGACACGAAGGCTATTGGCCGCACGTGGAATGGATCTTCCGATCCTGTTTCCATGGAATGCCGTGGGGGTCATTTATGTTAAAATTAGAGCGTTTTCCATCGGGGAGATGAACTGACATGCTCTCTCTCTATTCTTCGATAATTGCAGGGCTTTGTCGGTGTTTGACCTGTTTGCTACATTCACTGGAACAGTGGTGCAATTCTTTTATTAGTTTACTGTATGTAATTGTCAAAAAGGTATATCAATATATTGTTCCTGCATCTCTCCCTTAGGGGCTGTAAAATAAGACTTGATCAAAGGTAAACAATGAATCAGTAAATTCCAGAGCATCAGAGTCAGGGTGTTGCGTTATTTTTGAACATGCAGCAGAATGTTGTGATTTATATATCGCTATGTATAGAAACAATTTATGCTTCGGGACAAAGGTTTTTTTCTCGTGCATCTGAGCAATACTGACTCGTTGGTTCTTTGGCTCCTTGTTCATCTTTATTGTAGGTGCAAATTTACTAACCGAACCATTTAAACCCTTACTGAACGGTCGCATTTTCCTATAGAACTTGGTGTGTCGTGAGTCGGGACTGAGGTCGGACTTTGATTTGATTGGTCCCCCAGAAGTTTTAATGCAATAAAGGCATGCTTGGTTATGGTATGGTGTGATGTGATGTGATGGAATGGGATGATTGATTAAACTTTCTTTGGTTGGAAAATTTTGTTCCGTCATGTAATTGAGTATTTCACAAAGTTTCATTTAATCTCTTGTAATTTTTGAACGAATTATTTTACTCTCTATATTTAGTTTTATTTATAATACAGTTTAGTCCTTATATGGAAAATTTTTACAATCAGGTACTTGTGATTATTTTTTTTAGTCGTGTAATGGTCATTATGTAGCATTTCTTTATATTTAATGCTTGGAATGTAATGAGTTATTACATTTGTAATTGTTCATTACATTATAATTTTGAAAATCATACAATCAAACATACAAATATAACAAGTCACTACATCTAATCAAATAAGTTGTAGTTCTCGATTCGAGGGAATCATTCAATCTTAAAAGCTACTCTCTGTTCTCAGCCTTGCTGGATATGGATTCCTAAGGCTACAATAAACTTTTTTTCTTCTTGTTAGAATAGGTTGCTAGGAATTTTTCTATGCCTTGGATTCCCGTTGTCAAACTCGATCAGTTTTACCTTGGTCATGCTTCCTCCAAGTTCGCAGAGCCTTCTAGACTAAAAGCTTGAGCTACACTTACTGCTAACTAGTGAGTTTCACTTTTCATAATATGTTAGACATCTAACTTTGAATTTTCTTGTTTTTCATCTAAATAAAAAGTTTTATAAATACATTTATTTTTACAGCATGTCTTTTTAATGTGAAAATGGAATTTATCCTTTGTTTTTTCCTTTACTTTCACTCTGATCAAGGAATGTTTTTCTACCAAGCGTGACGAGTGATTTTTCTTCAGAATAATATTGCCATTAATTGCGGAAGAAATGATAACTTCAATGATTTGTGCTTTGCAATTAGATTTTTAAGTTTTAATTTATGAAACTGCCATTTTGATTTGCGCTAAACTAGTGGATTTAGGAATCTAGTTCCATATGCTCGGATCATAGATATTTGTGACTGAATTTACGTCTGAAGATTTTGTAGGTCATGGTTGTTAGATAGGAGTTATGCATTATTGGCCATACTATTAATGGTGGGCTTGCAACAGGAAGAATTTACAGTCAGTGAAAATGCAAGTCTTTGCTCATGCCTTGCTTGCTTTGTGCTCTGATTGACGAGGAAAATAAAAAACATAGAACTTCATTGGTTGATTTTAATCTATATTACATAAAATCTTAGCAAACCTAAACACCAAACACTAAAGAAAAGTGGGCAGCCATTAAAAAACACTGTATCAAACAACACAGAAGAGTTGATGATTTACAGATAAAAACTGATTGAACAAAATGTAATGCGTTTACTAGAGGTGCCTGGAGTGCTTGACAGATCGAGGACTGATCTGAGGAACTGTAAAACCATCTTCATTCCATCTCCTACTAACCTTCATTTTGCTTGCTTCTTTGGACTCATTAAATCCACTAGGCAAACCAGGCCGGGCAATATAAAGAGGAAGTTGAGGGAATTGGGGTGTAACTTGTGGGACCCAGAAGTCTATATCTTCTGGTGAAAAAGAACTCTTATAGCTTTCAAGATCTCGATCCGGCAATGGCAAAATAAGGTCACCAGTCTGCACCAAATTGGGTAACGTCAGAGAAAAGGGTGTAGATGAGTCTAAAAAAATATGACACCCTAAAAAAAAACAAGAGGCCTCTCTTTAGAAATAGGGTGCACTCCGAACCTTACTGAAACCATTATTGGTAGCAAATGAAGGATCAAAAAAATCATCGATGCGCCAGCCTGGTACTGTCTCTAAATACTCAGATATGCGACTTGTTGAAATTGAACCATTGTCACTAACATGATTATCATCACGATTATATGCTGTTGGTGGTGATGCCGTCTCAACTGAAGGAGAGCTGAAGATTTCATGGGAAGCTGAACTGGGTTTCCTTGGGTAGGGGTGATGGTTTCTATTTCTAGTAGTGTTAATGTTTGCATCACAGTTACTAGTGGAGGGTGATATTGTGTATAGAGAAGAAGAAGCAGAGAGCTTTACACCTGTGAGAAGAAACCTATTGTGTTTCTGAGTATGTTCATTAGCTTTGTGAATCGGAAGGTCACATTCTCTGCATAGAATCGCTCTATCCTCTTGACAAAAAAGAAGGGCTTTCCTCTCCTGAAAAAAGTAGTCACAAAGAACATAAACATTATGACCACAATATATAACCATAGTAAGAGAAAAGTGACCGAAGTATCTAGCTGCTAGTACCTGACAAATATCACAAAGAGGGGATTCTTTGAAGGAAGGATGGACTAAAGAGAACCTTGAGTGTTTGCTTGCTAACTTGTTTGCATGGTGAACTCTGTGATCACATTCAGCGCAGAGAGCAGCTTCATCTGCACAACAAAAAACTGTGGCCTCAGCATTGTCACACACATCGCACCGGATCTTCATTATCTTCTTAGTACACTCCCAGATTCTCTTGGTTTTGGTTTGATATAAAGATAAGAGATTGTGATATTGGAAATTGACCTGTAAGAATGAATACAAGGATACTGACAAAGCTGTTATGGGAGGATGGGCAATAGGGGGTGTAAATAGATAAACAGCTAAGCTCAAGGTTCTTGAATGTATCTTTGACTTTTTAAGAGAAAGCTCTGGATAGATGTCACGTAGTTTCCTTAGTATTTCTCTTTCTTAAATAAAGAAAAGGAGAGCAAGTTGGCTTTCTGCAAAGATACCTAAAGCTTTCACTCTTATTCTAGAGCTGTTCGAAATTGGAGGAATGGCTACCAATTTGCATTTATCTTCCTATTTATTGATCCAAGCTTCCCTATTCATATGAATTTAGTGGAGTAGTATATCTGTATTAATTTAGACCTGTAGGGAGGGAGAAGGTGATGGAGCAGTGTCAGCTCATGGGAGACCAAAGCTGGTTGCTTAGCTTGCATCTTCAATATTTTATTTGATTCAGAATCTTGCCTTCGATTTGACTTAAAAACCCTTTTTTTTGAATGAAAATTTAACTCTGTTCTGATTAATTCGATATGCAACATCACATTCTGCTTCCCATGGAACTCCTTGTATTTTTTTTTTTTTAATTGTGACATGAAATAGCAATGTTATTTTTTCATTTCTAGGCTTGCCATTCATGACATAAGTGTCGTCATTGTCAATGCCCACCTACCAAGAAGGTTGTTTTCATTAGGCTGCGTAGCTAATGTGTATGAAACCATTAAAGAATTGCATCACTACCTAATCAATTAAAGGGGGAGGATTAAGAAATAGCATCTCCACCGATCCTCTTTACTTTTAATTAATATTTTTAATATAAATATAGAGTATTATTAATTATATAGATAGAAGATTAATATCTTCTCTAATGTTACTCTCTATTTAACTCTTTATTTTGATAAAATCTATAAAACCAATAGAGACTATTGGTGAAAAGGTTGAGTGGCATTGGAAATAGTAATTTTCATTAATAAAATATAAGATAAAGAGTCATTTGGACTTTCTAGTATTGGAAAGCCAAAAACACTCTTTATACTAATTTTAAAGATAAATATTGTGATAAAGAGAGCATTAGAGATGAAATTTGGATCAAACCTCTTTATTATAAAAAAAAATCTTAATGTAAAGAAAGCATTGGAGATGCTCTAAGGAGGGAAAAACAAATAGATGCTCTTGTTGATTGACTTTTTAATCTCATGTTTTTGACGAGTTTTTCACTTCTACCACGTCATCTCTTGTTGACAACGTCGTTTCAACTTCGATCCAGCTAAGGTGCTTTGAAATTATGGTTAACCACACAAAGTGTTAGCAAGAAAGTTGAAAAGGAAATATTGATAGAAAATAATATAAATAACATTTTAAAATTTTATTTAATAATTTAAGTTTTTTTATTAAAATAATTATTTAATATGATATTAAAATTTTAATAGTTAAATAATCACGAGTTTGATAAATATAATATTAAACTCAAGATAGTTTTAAATTAAAAAAGTTTTTTTAATAAATATAATATCATAACAAAATAGAAGATATCCAAATAATTAGTTATATCAAGCTCGGTTTTAAAATCTTACAAACTCAAAGAAACTTTAACCAATCTATCTTCACTATGGAATGATCTAATTAGACAAAAATTATATTGGTAAACTTAACTAGTATAATAAGTAGATTTATTTTTATATTACTATTTAGGGTTTAAATTTAAAGAGAAATATGATAAACAAATTTGTACTAAATAGAATTGAGATATAAATAACTTGTTTAAAAATTGAAAGCGAGTTAAACTTAATATTCGAATATTCAAAAACCAACCCAAAAATACCTCTCATTTAAAGAAATTGTGGTCGCAGATCTTTTAATCTAACAAAAATCGTCCCAAACCCACATAATATACGGGTACTCAAAAAATTGAAAACCTCCTCTCGTGGTAGATTATTTTACCCTCTTTCTGATCTTTTTGAGAGTCGAGTCAAGTCAATCGTTATTTCAAATTGAGCACGTTTACACACACCTATAAAGGCAAAAGTTGTACTGAAGTGATTCTGAAAAACGTTACTTGTAAGAACAAGAATAGCGTTTACGACTTCCAAAACAATGGGTGCCACTCATTGACCTTCGTTAATGCCAAAAAGTTATGCTTACAATGTCAGGTCCCACCAATTTATGCACTAGTGTGAATTATCATGGTTAAGTTTTGCTTATCGTGGAAAAGGCTGTCCTTGTCTCTCTCTTTTTTTTTCCCATTCGTGCGGTTCACTTAAGCCCTTGATCATCTGTGCAAACCATGATTTATTCGTACGGATTAGCTATAAAACTCATTTCTTTACCGGCAGCATGTGGTCATTGCCTGCATCATACATTTACAAATTGATTTTTTTTTTAATGGTAATCTATGTTTTCGCATCAAAGATTAAACAAACTTGTGTAGTTCGATCAAATGTTGGTTACCCATAGCAAAATTATAAAATTTAGTAAAAAAGAAACTCATCCTTTTATCCATGAGTTAAGTGGGATTAAATTATAATTAGTCCCTCAGTTTTAAGAAAAAAATTAATTATTTTTTTAAAATATTATTTAATTTTTTAATCAGTGTTGGTCATACTTGATTTAATATTATTTTTATTTCATAAAATCTTTTATTTTAATATTTTTTTCCTTCTCATCAGAGTTATTTTGAAGAAAACTTCTCATGGCAAAAAAGAAGAAGATCAAATGATAAATTTTTTAAATAATATGAATTAATTTATTTATTTTTCAAAATAAGAGGGATTTTTTTTTTTTTTTGCCTCCTGTCATTAATTGACCAGATGAAGGTTCCAATGAAGTGAGAAACCAAAGGTTCTCATAGTATAATACTTACCAATTGAAGGAATCGGCCAACACTAGAGGACAAATAACACTTTTTCACGGCCCAGATATGGGTGATCTTTAGGGTATGCCCGAAAAATAAGTAGATAGAGATATTGGAAGTGGAGGTCTGGAAAGAGTTTGGTGATAAGCAAGGAACATTGCACTTTTAATTATTGTATGCCTGGGAGTTCCAATACTTCTCACATGGAAATGACTTTTGCAGTTTGCACAACTATAAACAAATGGTTATGGGTCCTTAAGAAAAGTTCTACAAGAATCATGTGGAACACCTATTCTTTTGAATACTATAATGGCATTGAAATGTAGGAAGATCTATGTGTCAAAAAACGTTCTTTTTGGACTCGAGTGGGTGATTCTACAAATCCGATGATAGATTATGATAATATCGCCATAAAGCGATTTAGAATTAGTCACATCTTCTTTTTATTATTATTCATATCAATTTATATTAATCAAAAATTGGTATTTTTTTTCCTAAATTTTTATACAAATTATTTATATTTGAATTGATAGGTTGGTACCATAATGATAAATTTTCTTCTTCCTTTCATGTTACAAAAATTAACAGATAAAATAATTATATATTTATACAGACTAAGACTTCTTATAAATAACGAGTTTATTTTTATTTTTGGATCCCTAAACGATCTCAAGTTAATTTTTTTATTATTCGATCATATATATATATATAAAAGACGGATACAATTATTTAAATAATTTTTTACATATATATGAATCTGAATTCGAGATCATTTGTTTAAATAATTAATTTTTTTTTTAAATCAACTTCTTGGGTATAAATAACGAATTCATTAATCTTCAAATATCCAAGCAAATCAATTTGATAATTTCTCCTTTGCTATAATTCGTTTTTGAAAAGGAGGAGGAATTAAAAAATAGGTGGGGTAGCAGCATTGTTGAGACGCTGAATTGGTTGGTAAGATACATACGGCCGGCTAAATATCTGTGCTAATCCAATTGGTCTAGATCTTGGCCGAAAGGGCCTAGACAAGGGTTTCAGCTTTCAACCGAAAGAGTTGTAAACAGGTGTTTGTGGTCCCCGTCCACCCATTCAATCAACGCGTGGGGGTCGCACATACTCTTATTTTTGTTCTCAATGTTATAGCACGTTGATTGATTGGTCAGTTTGCCATGACGTGCCAGTGAGTGTTATTTTTATATATTCATGTTTTACAAGGGCTGCAATTATACCCTATCCTTGTATAAATTAATGGTCAATTTGGATACCTTCAATGGTAAATAAAAGTTGTATTTTTACCTTTTTAATGGGTTTGTGTTGTGTTACTAGAAAGGGGAAAAAAACATTGATGAGAAAATATTTTAATTTGTTTGGTAAATGGTTTTAATTCCGTCTAAAAAAAATTATTTATTTATATTTATCTCAAAATATTTATCTCATCTAAATTTTAAATAATGTATTTCTTAAAAATATTTATAGTTAAAGGATATTTAGTAAAAAATATGTCCAGATACAATTTTTTAAAAATAATTTAAAATACGAAGAAAAAATACTATATGATATAATAATTAATAATTTTTTATAATCTGTATGAAAAGTAAAAAAAAGATGTCTATGAGATAAAAAAAGTATTATTAATCTTTAATTTACAACGAACTGTGTAGTTAATTAATTCAAAATGGGCTGTAGTTGGTGATGAAATTGTTTGGACATGAGACATGCAAAAGCTCAAGAGCCATGTCATTAACAAATGTCAAAATTAAGCAACATCCTAAGCTAATAATGGTGCATCGGTCCCTCCATTTTATATTTATTAAAACGGTGAGAGTTGAAGTGTTTTGTCATGCAAGTTGCTCGTCCATCCAGTCGCGCAAAGGTGTACTGGAAATAGACAAGTTGCCTAACTCAAACTGTTCGAATTGCACTCTTTTGCATCTGAGCATTTCTTTGGGAATTAAAAATGACTTACCGTCTCTCGAGTTACGCTTTGTTTTCACCGGATTCAACTTTATATAGAAAATAAGTAGTCACGAAGCTTAACTTGTATTACACAATTGCCATTCTGTTTGTCTGTCAATTTTTTGTGCGTTTAAATTCGTGATAAGAAGCACTATTCTTTTCAGGGAGGAATCCTAAAAGGGTAGTGGGGGCCTAGCCCTCCCAGGTTTATTTCGGAGGAAAACCAATTAGCAAAATCAATAGGACTTTGGTTTGATGGGACAGAGACGCACAAAAGTCTTTGTATGAAAAGCTGTTGGCGGTGTATAGTTGAAGAATACATGGATTAGAGTGACAGATAGAAGTCTAGGAGAAGAGTTTGAAAGGGTAGACGAGCTTTTTTTTGAAAAAAGAACAATAAATTTTAACGTTGTTCGATTGATACAGTCTTTATGAATCCGAAAAGTTGATTAAGAAACTCACGAACTGGTGAAGACCGCAAATTCGTTAAAGCTTGTTGTTAGTAGTATAGTTGATCATTTTCCTTGGAAAATTTTAATTCAATCTTTGAAAAATAATATGAAAAATCAACCCTTTTTTCTTAGACTTTTTCCTTCTAAACAACTTTAAACTTGCAAAGATACAGCTATCCTCCTTAAAAGATCATACACTCAATCCTCCTTTTTCTTATCATATATATATTGACCATAAAAATTTATAAATTTGCATATTCGATTTTTTCCCCACTACTTTCTTTTATATTAAATCCTCCCTCCCTCCATCCTTACCGTCCAATCCTCAATCCAAGAGAAGGACCAAGGCCATCCCTCTTTTTGCAAATAATAATAATAATAAATAAATAAATAAATGATAAATAAATAATTCAATGTTTTTTTTTAATTGTTTTACTATTTAGGAATAACGAAAAGGTGCAATTATTTTGATTCACGCAAGCTTGGACTCTCTCTTTTCTTTGAGTTTGGTAAAATATTTTTTTTAGAATAATTACACTTAGTATATCAATTTTTAACGATTTTTTTTTCAATCGAATGCAAGAGTTTTAATTTTTTTTAGTGCATTGGGTTTTTTAAGTTACCAATCAAATATTTTTCATCTAATTTCTGTCAATTGCTACATTATTTAATAATGCATCATTTATTCTATACTGCTAAATTATGATTTTATCTTTTTATTATTGGAGGAAACATTTCCTCTCTGATCATTTTGGAATTTTGTAATTTTTTTATATAATAAATATTTAAATGATCTTTATGTAAAAAAAACAGACGAGGACAAAATAAAGTGAAAATGTAAGTTTCTTAGAAGAATAAAAGATCAAAATCATAATTTAATAGTCTTGGGTAAATAATAAATTATCAAATAACGAAATAATTGACAAAAAAAAGATGAAAAATACTTGATTAATGATTTTGAAAAAAATAGATATTCTCAAATAAAAAAATTTAAAATTTATATATTCGATTGAGTAAATATTAAAAATTAGTGTACTTATAGTATAATTATTTTAAATATTTTTACGCATGCATACAAATCAAGTTGGATAAAAAATAAGAGTCCGTTTGGTATTATTGTGTTCTGTGTGGCTATTGTATGGCACTGTACGTTGAAAACAATATTTGATAACTTGTTACCGTATCGTGTTTGTAAATATTTAGAGTAGCTAAATAATATTTGGCTAAATTCTCTTGCTTTTTTCTTAAGATATAAAATGACCATTAAGTATTATTTATATTGGATGATTTATGATTTTTTAAACTCATATAACACGTATATTTTTTATGAGTGATTCGTGAGTTTAAACAAAAAAAATAAAATAAAAATAAAAAGGTCAAAATAGAATGATAATATATCTGCACCCATCATTTAAATAAAATCAATGATATAAAAAATAAAATATAATAAACATGTAAAACACTATCATCTTTAGCACGTTTAATGTAAGGAAAAGAAATCTTGTCATTTTAATTAAAAAAATAGATTCTACGCTAAACAGCCATGCTTTTGGGGGTACCTTACTTTATTTCAAAAGTAAAACAATTTTTTTTTCAAGTAATATCTGATTTGATTTCAAAATAAAACAGGTATTAACCAAACAATGCTTTTAAATAAAAAAACACACGGCAATGCCAAATATACCCGTCAGGTCGCGGACTCGCATCTCGACAACGGAAGGGATACACTCGTTGTGATCTAAGTCCGGCCCATTGAACATGAAATCCAACGTTAAAACCGAGAAAGAAAAGTATCAAACCTCAATTAAACAGAGTCCAAAATATTGGATTTCTCACTAGCGTGGCCCATTTCAAACTTTCGGATTTCTCACAAGCACGGCCCAGTCCAAAATTCCTTTCCCATTCTGACTATCGTCACTCCCCACCAAAATGGCCACCAAAAGTCGAAGATTTGGTTACCAAACTGAACGGTTGTTAGTTGCTGCTGGCTTCTCCCGCCACTGTCTCTACACCAAGATGGCCACACTATTTGTTATTCAGCCAAAATTTCCACTTTTCAACTCTCTCTTTTCCTCCTCAAGTCATAACCAGGTAAGGAACTCACTTTCACTTTCACATGCACAGCTTGGTTCTTGAAGTTCATGTTCATGTTTTCCTTTGTTTCTGGTGTTAAAGGGATGGAAATTTAGGCCTTTCACCATGCAGAAGTTCAGCCCGGTTTTACCAAAATCTTTAATAGAGTCAAAGAGGAGGTAATCATCCCATGTTTTGATTTATAATATTTAGTTATCATGGTTTCGCATGCTTTATCTAGCTTATTATTGTTTTCTGTGCTTGTTGGCTTATAAAGTGATAAGGGTCATGTTTTCTTTTTGTTGATGAAAGAAGTAATAGGGTTTGTTTGACTTGTAAATTATGTTTACAATGGGGTTGGTGTGCGACAAGGAAAGAAAAAAACAAAGAGAAAGAAGTAATTGGATTAGGAGATGAGACAACCTTTAATTGGTTTAGATTTGAAATGCCCCAGGTTAAGCCAGTGGATTAATTTCTGGTTATACCGGAGCTGAGAGTTGGTTAGGTGAGAATTGAGGTTTCGAATACTGATGTGCAATTGAGAAAAAATGTTACTTTTTTTCAAATCTTTTGTTCGAATTCTACGATTCTAATATCTAATAAAATGGAGCTATTGATTGTAAAACGTTGTATTTGGGTCCAATAAAACAGGAGAACTTTAATCTGTGCAGTCACTCAAGATCCAGAGGAATCATTTAAAAAGACTGTAGAAGTGGATAGGCTGATAGATATGCTGAGGGATGCAAATCCAAGAGAAGTAAGCAAAATCGTTTGTACTTTGCGTTTTATTAACTTCCATTCATTGGATTTATTTTTGTGAACTTATTCTTGTTGCATTTTCTTTTATGTGAACAGCTGCAGAAGCTTGTTGTTGAAAATGTCCTTGCTTTCAATGAGGGTTTTTGGATACGACTTGCTGCCAGAACTGATACCTGCAAATCAGAGGATGATAAAGCATGGTTTTTGACTTGTTAATTAGTTTTTTATGATATTTATGAATATGATTTGATTCCAATCCTTACTTTTTTCTACGAAATTATTTGTATTTTTTGCAGAAAGATTATGAGGAGTTGGCAAAATCTGTGATGAGCATAGTGGATATTCTGGTCCATAAGACCAAAGTAAACAACAACCCAACCCATCCCCCTCTCACAAGCAGTTTTCTGTGATTTACTTTATTGTTTCACCTGTAACAGTTTTACTGTTGCCTTCTTTATTTTCTTCTTCTTCCTTTTCTCCTCTGTAGGAAAAGATTGAGTCAGCTACTGATATTCTCAAGGCAATTTTAAAACCTGTAGTTGATGAAGAGGAAGAGATTTGCTGGCCTCCTAGAGATCCTGAGGCTCTCAAACTAATGGAGAAAGTTAGTTTTTGCTTTGATTTGATTTCAAAATTTCCCTTTTCTCTTTTTATGGCTAATTTTTATACACACATCGCTTTCATGTCTTGCCACAGATTATTTTGCTTTAAATGTGAAGGTCTATATCTATCAGTTTTCTTCAAACAGTAGAATTGTGAAACTGTTAATGCCTTCATTCACTTATGTTGTACTTATCCAATTGTCTATACACTCATTGATCAGGATATAGCTCAAAGGGAGCAAGAAGGGCAACTAGATGAAGGGTTCCTTTCAGAAGTCAGTGCACAACTACGACAAGTGAGTGCTTTCTGTTAGTTTGGTACATATCTGAAATTGTTTTTTTTTTTTTTTTTTTTTTGGGTCAGTAGGCTATTCTGCAGACAGTGGAAGGTCATAAGCTAATATGTTTAAATTTCTGTTGAATGGATTCATAATCTGCATATAGTCATGTCTGGAAGACAAGTTATCCTTGTGTTTTATTGCTCATGTATCACTTTTGTGTTGATCATCAAAAGCATCTTCCAAACATGATAAGTTGAAGTGATTTTGTGTGCTATTTAAATGAAATGAGGGCAGATTTGATGCATTTTTATATTATTTAGGTGCTAATATTAGTCCTTTCTTTAAATATGGGTGAATAATTCATTTTCTACTCATCTGTAGGCAAAAGAAGATGGGGACAAGCCAGGGCTTGAGGCCATGTTGCAAAAGGTTCTGCAACTCTATGCTTCCAGTATTCTGTCTAAACGTAGTTATGCAAAGAAAGGTAATCATATTGTGCAACTTTTACATCATTACTATGAAATTACTTCAAAAATGATACTATCATTGCAAAATTGAAAAATGCAGTTGGGCACCTGCTGACATTTGTAAAATATCTTGAAATAATGCCCATAGCTTGGGGCCATGTGAAGCTAAATTCTTAGAGCTTGTTTGGAGTTTAGCTTGAGTGATGCTGTTGTTGATCTTTCGAAGTATTAGGTTTTTTGAACTTCAATTATCTCGTAAAGAGAGGTGGATCTTTGAGATTATACGTTCTTTTTTTTTCCGTACTTTAGAATAGTCTGCCAAACTTCATTCCAGAGTTAGATTATGTCTGTCTCTATCAGGGATTCAAAATTTCTCTGCCATAAATCTTCATTTACTATATCTATTCTCCATTCCCCTCTTTTCTTTGGAATAATCCTCACTTCCATGTTCTTGCTATTTGCTTGAGCTTATAAGCTGGATGCCTTGAACAGCTGGTACTTGTCTATGTTTGTGGTGCAGGAGAGGAAGTTTTGAAGGCTGAGCAGTTTCTGGAAACCATAATCAAAGGTGCCGTCTTTCTTAACAACTGTGCTTGAAGTATAAAAATGAGCCATAAATATAGATTGTTGCTGCAACACAATAGGCACATGAAATTTGATCCTGGAAATCTTAGCTGATGGATTGATCCTTATCAAGTGGTATATAAGTCAAACCTGTCTTCGCATCAAATTAAGTTTCTAGGCCATCAAAAGATTCATGCATGATTCTTAGGATCATTTGATAGGCAATCCAGACTAACTTCAGATATTTGTTTGCTGCAGCTCCCGAAGAAGAATGGAATAAGCTTTTGCTCAATGGAATGACTGTTGGCAAAGGGGAAATCTTTCCCGAGGAACTCTATGCTGTCATCAAGAAACGAATCGAGAGGACATTGATCCGAACAGTACTAAAACCTTGTACCTTGGATTTTTGTCGCTAGTACTTTCGTTGTTCAGTATTCCCTACTACAGAACAAATGCCTCATGCCACCCACGGCACACAACTCATACACGTCGGCATAACCGTTTACGTGCACCTTCCTTTTTCTCATACCTCCGCTATCACTTGCAGGAAGGAGGTTCATACCAGCAACGCATTCTTACCGAGCATCTTAAAGGCATCCAATCAAGAGCAGAAGAGATTGTCCAGGTGCTTCAGGGCAAGCCATAATAGCAAAAATACATGTGTGAATATAGATTCCATATTCTTAAACCACTGATGGTGCACCAACTGAAAAGGACGTTTTCCTTCTATCTGAAAGAAAAAGCCACCAGAGAGTAATTGAAAAAGGAGACGCATAGTATCTGCAGTTTTGATTGTGTGCAAAAAAACCAGCTAGTTGATTGTCTTCCACGCCCCCTGGATTTTTTTTCCTGATAGCCAGATTTATATATAGCATCAGTGATTCTCTTGTGTCATTTGTATTATGTACACATTTTGCTTCAATGGGAGCCAATGCACTGCCAGTCCACCGCGTTTGTCCAATTTCCTTTTGACAGCTAAAGTGAGTGCTCAAAACTGCTTCAGATAAATGGCAAGGAATGGCGAGGATTTGAGAGGGATATATGGTTAGATCCTGGATGGTGACCAATTCCCTTTAATTTTTATATCATTTATCCATTGATTTTTCTTCTATGTATTGTTTTATTTACTGAATTATTTTCAATTCTGATTCCCAACATAAAGATGACGTATCTATATAAAAAATACTATGTACGTTTGCTGCTAGTATGAGATCAGATTATCTATCCATATTCTTTTATTTTTATCTCATGAATATTCGTATAAAATATCAAAATCATAATAAATTAAATATTGAAAGACATTTTTTTTAAAAACCTTTATTATTGTTATCATTATTATTAATTTATTTCAACCATTGAAAAGAAGAGAAAATTATACAGTTTGTTTGGATTACAATATCCTCAACAAAATAATGTCACGGTTTTTTAGAATTATTTGATTCTTGGAATTGTTTGAAAAAATAATGAAATTAGTAGTTTTGAGTATAAATAATATGATTGAAATTAGTAGTTTTGAGCATAAATGATATGATTGTGTGGGATATCTACCATGAATTGTGGGTCATCTTCCAAAATCATAATAAACCTTCCTAAAATTAGTTACCTCTAACATCTCAAATTGAAAGTAATTCCAATAACTTAAAATAAAAGTTAAAATGAAATTATCTGTATTGATCATAAATTTATGCACAACATTTGAATGAATATGAGTTGAAATTAAATCATTATTTTCTTGTGACATTATAATGATCAGCAATGACTTAAAATTTTTTAAAACGAACATTTATAAATAATAATAATAATAAAAGAACATAAAAAACAGCAAATCTCAAATATATCTCCAAACTATTAGAATAGTATCGATTTTATCTTCAAACTATTTTGATTTCTCAATTAAGAATTTATTTTAGAATTAATTAACAAAAAAAATTAAGCTATTTATTATAAATAATACAAATTAGATGGACATATGTATGAAAAACCTTAAAAATTGGATGAAAGTCCTTAATTGAAAATTTATAAAAGTTTGGAGATAAAATTGATACAAACAATTGTTTGGGCCATTTTTGTGGTTTGCCGTCTTAAAAAATTCCCAATTCAGAAGGCTCTGGTCTTCTTTTCTGGCAGATGTAGTGATGGCAAATCGCAATCTTTTACTCTCCGCCCTCCGTCGTTCTCGTCCTCTCTCCACACTCTCTCGTCTCCTAACGAACTCTAACCCTAACTCCCTCACTGCACAACCCGCCAATGCAATACCGCCTTGCAGCTCACTCGCTTCTTTTCATCTCCCTTTCTGTCGATTCTTGTCGACTCGCACCGAGTCAGAATCTATCAATTTCGAGCAACTCGCTGATCCTGTCACCGAGGAGGGGGTGGTTAACGGTATTCTTCCGGTAGACGCAATGATTTCGTTGCTTGATTCATATCATGATCTCACTGGTCTCCCCTGGTCAGTCAATCAGTTTACCTAACTCTCTCTGCTCAATTTTGGTTTTTTTTTCTTCTTACGAAATAACAATCTGTGATTAATTTTTCAGGTGGATAATCATTGCTTCATCAACACTGGCAATGAGAACAACGCTGCTTCCTTTACATGTTCTGCAAATGCACAAGATCAAGAAAATCTCTCAGTGTTTTTCTAAATGTAAGGTTTTATTTTATTTTATTTTTATACCAAGCAGTATTTATTTTTAGAATTAAAAGTTAAAGATACAATGGTTTTTATTTTTATCTTTTGCATTTATTTCTCATAGTGCCTCCTCTATTGCCACCACCTCTATCAGGAAGAAGCTATGTCGAGCAAATATCTCTTTTTAGGAAGGAAAGAAGAGCAATTGGTTGCCCTTCTTATTTATGGTTTCTTGCTTTCCTCTCTGTACAGGTGAACCAATCCTATCTATCTTTTTCTTCACTTGAAAAATTGGAGATTTAATCTAGTTATTAGTTTTGACTTTTCTTTCATTTTATTTGCAGATACCGTGCTTTGTCTTGTGGATGACCAGTATTCGACGAATGTGTCTGGATAACCATCTTGGGTTTGATTGTGTAAGAAAACGATGAGATTACTATTAACAATTATTATTATTTATAGCGAAGTTATCAGACTTTTGTGGGACATATATTTTCCTTAAATTTTGGGGCACTGACTGTGGCTTCAACCGTGAGGTCAATGTTGGAGTATTGATTTTATGCGGCATAGCAACTTCTTCTTCTTTTTTAATCTATGTTTTCTGTATTTGGGGTACAGTAGAGAAATCTTAATCATGTAGTACATTGCATTTGAATTACTTGGCCAATCAGTAAGTTGAATGTAAAATTTTTCTGTATTAATTACAGGGTGGCGCTCTATGGTTTCAGAATTTGACTGAACTTCCTCATGGTGTTTTAGGCGCCATCTTTCCGTTTCTTATCGCTAGTTTGCACGGCCTTAATGTTCAGGTATTTGGCCCTAAACTCACTCTCTCCCTCTCTCTGTTTTTTTTTTTTTAAATATATATGAACGAGATCTGTATTTTGTGCTAGTAGAAGAATTGAAGGACAAGATACAAAAGAAAGCACCAGTAAGGTTATGGCTACCAAACATCTCAGTAAAACAAACAAAACAAAATTCAGAAATTAAGAACATCCACCAACTTAGAAAATAACTCCTGCTTAAATTCTATCAGCAGCTGAAAGTAACTCCCGTAAGTTCTTCCAAGGGATGTGCTTCCAATATTGGCAAGTAGATGATTATCTGCAGGTCCAACACCAAGAATCATAGCAAACATCACTGCTTAACTAGACAATCTTCCAAGTGACAGCAGGTTATAAGTTAAATTGAAAAGAAACAGAGCACCTCCAATCTGGCTAGCATGATTTAGAAGTCAAATTATCAATCAGTAGACATATAACACAAAAGAAAAAATGAGAACCTAGCCATTTATCGTGGCTACCCAATGAGACTAGGCAACTCAATTGCAGAAAAAGGCAGCAGCAATTCAGCAAAACTCTAATAGCAGAAGTATCAGATCCTCAAAGCAGAGCTGCAAAAACTCAGCAATGAACTTGTAGCAATTGGCAAGTAGCAGCAGTAGCGCACAAAATATGAAGGAAACTGAGGAATGGATCACTTAACAAGAACACATGACGGTAACTGAAGAACTCTGGAAATGCAAGCCGACTGCATTGGTCTTATAGAAACACTACTAGACAGCAGCACAACAAGGGACGCTCAAGAGGCTATTGAAAACCATAGGAGCCCACTAGCACAGCAAGAACACAAGCTAAAAGTGCTCAACGAAGACTTTAATCTTGTGCTTGACAGCAGAAACACTTAGACACAGAAGCCAATAGCTAATAAACATAAGGATGACCAAACCTAAATTCTGTGACTGAAGAATGATAATGCCACCACCAGAATACCAGTACCAAGCATCATCATAGAGTAAGCCATATTAAAGATGCTGAAATCTCAGCAACCACAACAAACCACAGCCAGTAGGTACAAACAAAACAAAATCAACTCAAATTGCTTCAGAAGCTGGCCTGAGCCCATTCCTCTCTCTCCCTCAAAAGTTGCTTCTTGAATTTTTCTACCATGACTTCTCTTTCACAATTTGCTGAAGACCCCCAAACATATCCCAATTTCCCAAGTCTGCTAAGCTTCTTCCACATTATACAGAACTGCTAAATTATAGCCTTTGAACTGATCTATGATGAGATATCTGTTTCCAACGTTTTGGATTTACACTAAGTTACTTACCTTTGATGATGTGCGCATTAGTAGTTTGATGATTGGATAGCAGCTCTTAACATATCTTTGCCCTGTGACATATATTTTTATTTTTTTACTGGAAATGGTTTCTGTTTCTAAAAATGTTAGGTTTGATAGCAAAGGTTTGATTGGTTATACATGGCTATAGTTTTGATTGTTCACTGACTCTTGTCTGATATATATATTTTTTTCAGTTCTCTTTTGATAGATCTTCTGTTCGAAACACAAGTGGCTTATTTGGCTTATTATCAGAAGTGAGCACTACAAGTTCATTGGTTGCTTAATTCTTGTGTAATGATTGAATTCTCTGATATGTGCAGTACCTTTTCGGTTCATGCAAGTAATTGAAAATATCTGTGTTGCTGCAGTACTACAAGAAGTATCTCAATTTTTTGATGCTGCCTTTGTTTTTCATTGGTTACTGCATTCCACAGGTAACATAACATCTGACTTCATATTTCTAGGAACTTAGCCTGTTATATGATCACATGGGTTTTATCTTAGCTTACCGCCTTGGCAATTGAAACTGGTGATTTTTGACACTTGCATTGTTCAAACTATTGATATTGAGTTTCGGTATTTTTTTTATAAGTGTAATTATATTAAATTTATTAAATTAAGTTTTATGAATAATAGTTTAAAAAAAAAACATAATTTCATGAACAAAATAGAAAGATATAATGTGAAAACTCCATGTGATTTGGAAAACGCAATCCTTTGAAATGGATTTTTTATGAACCGACCGACAAACCAATAATAATTTTCTTCACATTTATTTGCTTTAAAAGATAATTATTTTTTATAAGTGACTGTTAGTCTTTCATGTAGGTTTTCTATATTGCGAGGTATCTTCTAATTGTAAAGATACTTTTTCTCTGTTTTTTGCTAAACAATACAGACCGCCTCTTTTGATGAAAATTATGTTTTCATAAATTTCAGTACCATTTTTATCCTACTCAATATTGTACGAATTTTAGTAAGTGCGGTAAAATCAATTACACCAATAAAAAAGATATTTTATGTCATGTATTTGATTGCTATTGAATTATTGAGTTGAAGTCCTGGGAATGGTTTCATGATGTTCTCTCTTACACTCTACATTTCAAGCCACAAGGCCTTCTTTTATTCAATGACCTTACACACCCTTGGATCCATTCCTCTTGTCACTAAATTGGTGATATTACAATTACTCATCCTCATGCGATGCAGGAAGGATGCTAATCAAAGTTCAACAACCATGCACTTAAAAAATCAGTGCATTATTATTTTTGCAGCTGGTTTAGTAGTGGAATGGTAAAAGGATTTCAATTGCAATACCTTTCATCTGGAAAGATAACTCCTTTATTTTGATACTGGGCTTCTCTGTACATCCTTCCTGTTGCAGATTCACATTTTCTTTGTCTGCTTTGTTTTTCAGGGAAGTCTGGTTTACTGGGTTACCAACAGTTCGTTTACTGCTATCCAGGTTAGTTATCACACTTTACGGTTTCAGGATATATCTGTTATCTGTCTATGCCTTTCAGATTTTATCTTGGTTATACTGGATGATATTATTTTCTAGTATGTTTTTATCTGTCCAAGGAAAGAGTTACATTTGTTGCTTCATTTGAAGAGGTGAACTTTCTTAGAGAGTTTATCCTTGAACAATCAGAATACACTTGTTGACATGGCCGTCTATGAAAACTTAGCAAAAAGGTAAGGAAGGTACAAAAGCTTTCAACGTGGTCTCTAAAATGGAAAAGGGAGTTTCACTGTTAAGCAGAATACAGAATCACCTAGTTGTGGTTGGCTGCTTTCTTGTTTTGTAACTCTATAATTGCATTTTATAGCAAAGGGGAACTAAATGAACTGGCAGACAAAAGAAATCACTCTATTTGTGCAATGCGTTGTTTTAAGTCCTTTGATGTAGTTTATTATCTTACTTCTGGGATGTCAATTTTTTGTGATATGGTCATCGGAAAGCATTAGCATGCTGAGCATCATATTGGACATGATGAACATCATTTTTTAATCACTCGTGTGCAAAGCACTTGACAGTAACACCTGCTTTTGATACTTATTTATTGCTTCTTGCAAACTTTTGTGGATTCTGAGAAGTGAGATTAATAAGTCTGGCTGTTGCGCGCACTGATTGTGTAGAGATAGTTTGGTGGGAGTTTATCTTCAAATTGTCATTTCATTGCTTAAACCATTGTCCCTGCCAGTGCACAATGGGCGTTGCCATCTTTTGGTGCCTTGAGTAGTGTACTTTTCATTGCAGATAAAAACCAATGCCAGTCTATTTGCCTTTGCTTCCCTTTTGTTTTCTTAGGATCTACTTAACAAATCCATCTTTTATTCAGAAGTTTATTGTTTAGAAAAATTTATGTTGTTTTAACTCCTAAACAGGAATGATAAGAACGAGTTCCATTGTCTGATACGATACAATCAATCTTGCAGCAAGCGTCTCTCAAACATCCTGTTGTTCGTGCAAAATTAGGGTTGCTGGAGAAGGATTCTCCAAAAGCACCTGCAATTTCTGCAGAAATGGTTACACCTGAATTGCACAAAGTTTCACCAGAAAATTTATCACCTCATGAACTACTAGCAGTGAGTGGTGATGTACAAGTAAATAAATTATTTGAATTTTGGAGATGTTACAAGTTTTCTCATTTTTGTTTTGTCACTGTTGACAGCTGTCGGTTAAACTCTTATCCAGCGGGCATAGAGTCAGAGCTATTCCTTTGTTGCAGTAAATTGCTGTTGCCTTCTTCTTTTTCTTCAGTCCAGATGACCATCTTATTCCTTTCTTTCTATTTTTTTCACCTCGATAAACCAGGTAACCAACTTATTCCTTGTTGCCTTGCATAAATGTTTTTTGGTTACAGAGTGGCACTTAAGAAGGACCCTGGCCACATAAAGGCTTTAATTGTTATGGGACAGGCTCTATTGCAAGAAGGACTCCATGCAGAGGCGACTGATCATTTAGAGCGTGCTATTTCCAAGGTAACCTGTGCCACTTCTATTGGCTCCTTTTCAACTGCTATCTTGCTCCAGAGCTTTCTTTTTGAATGATCTCTGTTATCGCACAATTTTTTGAAGAGGCTACTGTTGTCTCCAGCCTCTTGCTATAGAAAGTTAGAAACCTCTTTTTATATGCTGCAATCTTCTGGATGCATTTGCACCTTATTGATGTTCTTTCGTTTATGAATGGAGGCACCATCATTTGCAATCTTTTGATACTAGTATTTTTTAACGTCCCTGACACTAACTATATCTTCTTTCTGAATTTTGTAAATAATTTTTTTGTCTAAATTACAAGCTTTATTCCACATGAACCTGAAACTATGTTTTTCTGACTTTCCTTCAGCTCATTCTTTCTGGCCATCCAACTGCAGAGGATGTGGATCATCTAATTCTTGCATCACAATGGGCAGGTGTTGCCTGTATACGTCAGGTAAAAATCATTGACACCATTGTGATTGTTCTTAGAGTAAAATGCATACTTACAGTTACAAATTCTTTTAAAAAGGGATGCTCTGTCGCTATTCATCTTTCATGTGTTTCTGGAGGGAACTTGCTCCTTATTTGTCCTCTGTGCACTACTATCTTTATTAGTCATTATACTCGGTAGTGATTAGTCCTCTCAGATTTGTTTAAAATGCTCTTGTAATACCTACCCATTGTCCCCACTTGAATGTGATAGGAGCAGCAGTATACTGAGCAAGTCACTTGTGAGTAATTCCAATTATTTAAGTTGAGTTGGCAGCCTTTCGAATTTGATGATGTATCTGCATAATATATATATATATATAAAGATGTTCCATCTCGTTTTTTCATATACTGTGTTTTTTTTCATAGGAAAAGAATGCTGAAGGAATCATGCACCTAGAAAGAATCACAAGTCTGGAAGAACCAGAGGACCCAAAGAGCAAAGCCCACTATTTTGATGGTTTATTATTACTTGCGAGGTATGATTACGAGCAAATAATGATATGCTTTTCAATATATACATATGGATAATCAAGTTCCTGTGCTAGAAAACGAAACAATAGGAAAGGCAGTGGATAGGATTCGCAAATGATGCCAATGATACTTTTGAGAGACAAGTATATAAAATAAGTATATATAGTTACTGTTGTTTGTGAAAATCCTGGAAGTTACCTATTAAAGAAAAAGAAAGAACATTATCTGTGTTTTTCTTTTTTATGATAATACATTGTAACTGTAGAGAAGATAATGCCTGTTATTATTATTATTTTTTTCTAAAGCAACTTTGATGGGTATGATTTTGAATGATTGGGTGGATTGATCTCTTATATTTGAGAGGGTATTTTAAGAAATATAATAGACGGTTAAACTGTTTGGAAAAAGATAATCAAAGATGAACTTATGGGCAAACAAATAATGTGGAACTTACCAATCTTTTGCTTGCTAAAACTGAACTTCTTGGTGTGCTTGCCTTTCCATTACATTTCCTTCACTTTATATTTGCTGTAAAAAATCAAAAGATGAATTTATCGGCAAACAAATAATATGTGGAACTTATTGATCTTTTGCTCGCTAAAACTGAACTTGTTGGTATGTTTGCCTTTCCATTACATTTCTTTACTTTATATTTGCCAGTCATGACTTGTACTTTGTTCGTCCCTAAATTGATGTTTCAGTGCTTTAAGTAAGGAAGATCGCAATGCTGAGGCTGTCAAATATCTGCGCTTGGTTGTTGCTCATGATCCTTCTCGCAAGGGATTCTTGGAGCAATGCTTATGAGGCTTTTCGCCCAAGCAATTCTGGGAATTCTTGGAACAATGTGACAATAGGACAATCTTGTCAGCGATAATGTTAGCAGCAAGAGAGCAGATCACAGACCTAACTCAATGATACGTGGTAACTATTTATATCATTATTCTTTGTTAATTGAAATAATAAATTAAAACTTCCAAGTCCCAGGAAATTTGCTGACATGCCACATAATTTTGGGTTGGCATTTCTTGGCTATAACTGTGGTGCGGAATTAGGAAGGCCCATCGGCAGTTGGGATATGGGCTGCTATTGTAGAATTTTTTCCTCCACGATTTCTTTTTTCTTTTTCTTTTTCTTTTTTTTTTTCTGGAGAATCTCCATCAATGTTCTTTTCCGAGTAGATAATAAAAAACTTAAACGAGAACTTGATAATTGAAGAATACCAAAGGTAATTAGAGAGACAATTTGGGAGTTGGTCTTCCATGACATGACGCTTATCATTAAGCACATAACATTAGTATTTGGAACTGATATTACAATGTGAATAACGTTTTTTTTTTTTTTTTTGGGACAAGGTAGATAGACCCCTAACTGTACCCCATACTTGATTGAGTCCCGCAACAAACAATTTCCTAATTGAATGCTTCATCTAATTAGATGATATCCAACCTAACCCTGTCCAATTAATTGTCCCGAATTTAGTTTGAATTTGTGATTGGTTAGATTCCAATCATATGGGGGTTTGATTGGAAATATTCTCTGTTGGGGGATTCGATCAAGACTGAGATAAGAGTTGGAGGACGTATTTCTCGTTTCCCTTACTTATCCAGCATTGGAAATATTAGAGATGAAGGTTCTGGAACATGGTTATAAACGAGCCCCCAGTACGTGCTTGCAACTTGCAAGATGATCTGTCCTGTCGGGGTGAGAGGCGACCTGCAAATGATCGTTTTAGAGGTGGTAGGTCGTGCCACACCTTGTACGGCGAACACAATTTTCTCAGGCGAGTGAGATGCGCTCTACTTTTGGTGGTCTCTTGGTCGTCCATTTTTGGAAGGAAGCTCCCTTGGGTTGGGTCCACCAAGCTGAGGCTCAGAAGGTCCAGAATGACCAAGGACTAACATCCTTGAGATATCCATTTTGCAAACCACAAACATGCATTCTTCTAAAATATTTTTCAGAATTAAGTTTTTCAATTACCCCCTAAATTATGGCAAAATATACTAGCAATTGAGTCATCTCAACGAGTCAATAGATTGTTGAAAAGAGGAAACGAAAATAAATGAAAAAGAAGAAAGGATCCCAATCCAATGAGTGAATTGGATTGAATGAAAAGATATGCGAGTAATCGAATACGAAATTAAATTTTCTTAGACAGCTAAAATGTAATGTTTTTTCAATGATTCTGTATAATATTTACAAAAAATAATGGTTCAATCTTCATATTTCTCGTAGAAGTTCTCAGGCTTAACATATTGTTGCTTTTATTCCATTATCATTATTTTGAATATTTAATAATCTATCCAATCCATCCACTCAAAATAAAAATAAAAATAAATCTCGTCAAGAAAAAAAATCTCGGTGTTTAAATAAAATAGCAACAAAAAATAAATCATCGTATATTGTTAATGAGCCATAGTCATGGACACTTCAAAAGCAACCTTTCTTTTTAATAACTTCTAAAAAAAAAGTGGAAAAAAAATAAAAATCCTTACTTAAATCTTAAGGACTCCAGAGTCCTTTAAAGACCAAACTTAACCCTCAAGGAGAGGAGGGCGCTTATCGAATATGCTTCACGTGGCTACGAAAAATATAAATATTCTTTTTTTAAAAAAAGATAACTGTGTTTAACTACACGTGTCACATACTTATTGGTCAAAATACGTGTTAATAACAGTACACTGTTGTCACATGATCCACTACTACGTGTAAATAGCGTAAAGGACCCAAACTCAAAAGAACGCAACACGAAACACAAACAAAAATCGGAGGAAAAAAAAGAAGCAAAATCAGAGAATAATGGCAAGGAAATCAATCAACATGAAACCACTCTTTCAGGAACAAGATGTTGTTTTCTATGAAGAAGGAGGTAATGATTTCTCTAACTGGGAATTCATTAACGAGTCTGATGCTGATTCGGATACTGATTCTTTGCACAGCCTTGAAAATGGCTTTGTTTCTTGGCCTGTGCCAAGATCACCGAAAACAAGCGAAGAGATAGTATCCCAAGACACCCAACAAGACCAAGATGTTGTCTTTCTTGTCAATTCTCATGATCATGAAGATGACGACGACGACGATGATGGTTGTGTTTATCGTGTGAAGCCTATATTGTTTCCTGCTGTAAGGGTTCGGTATGGGAATGAGGTTGAGGATGCTGATGATGAAGACGAGGAGGAGGATGGGTATGGGTTAAATGATGAGCTGGTCCCATGGAATGTGAGTGGGAAGTTAGGGAGGCAAAGGATTAGGAAAGTAGGCAAAAGGATATTTCCTAAGATGAGCAATTCAAAGAGGAGTCCTTTTCTTTATTTGAAGTCAGGGTGTGTTCATGGAAAGCATGGATTGGGCTTGAAGGCTTAGCAGAGGAAGAGATTGAAGGTAAAAATGTGGTCGGGGTGGAGAAAAATGGGATCTTTGAATTTGGTACTGTGTAAAGAATTGAACTTGGGGGGGTTGGTGGGATGTGGGGTTGTGTTTGATTAGGTGTAATTAGTGTAATTTGGACTGGGGTTGTTGGCTTTTCCCTTAACCTAGGTTATGCTGATTGGAAATGACTTATGTGGATGTTATTATCATTTTAATCTTGATTGATTTTTATCTTTCAGCGTTCATGAACTTTATGGATTATTTTTGTGTGTGTGTGAGAGAGAGAGAGAGGGGTGGGTCGAATTGGTTGAGTGCAAGTGGGGCCATCGGGGAAATTAAAGGGCAGGGTTCAAATGTAACCTAATCGAATTGTTTTGATCAATTTTGTGTCAATTTAATTAAAATGGGGGCATTGGGGAAATTAAAGTGAAGAGTTCAAACGTAACCCAATCGAATTGTTTTGATCAATTTCGTTTGTCAATTTAATTCGAACTGGCGTGTATGTAGTGTCTCTTATTTTACTTATATCTGTCTGTTGTGTGTTGTGGTTTTGCAAAGTCGATTAGTTTTGGGCGTCGGTTAGATCTCTTTGGGGGAAATTTTGGGATCATGAGCTCCAGAGATTTTAAAGTTCAGATACAGATGAATAATGATCAGTCCTGAGGTGTAATTTATAAAGTCAATTCGAATTTCTCTGGTTCTGCTGATTGGAAATACCTTATGTGGATGCTATTATCATCTTACTGTTGTTTGATGTTTGATGTTTGTCTTTTAGTGTTGATGATTGGTATGGTTTATCTCTGCGTGTATGTGCTTGGTGGGGAATGGGGGAGGTACGGAAGGAGTGTTATTGCTTGATAGGATCTGACTTGAAATGAGTGCTTGTTGGATTGGAGGTTTCATTCTATAGGTTTTTGATGGAATTGCTTGGAAGGATTTGAGCTTGAAATGGGTGCTTGTTGGATCCTGATTTGATTTAATTACTCTAGTCAAACTAAGGTTGCTTTATCATTTATTTTTAGGTTAATCTATTTGGACTTGCATCGTGTAGTTTAACTTTTTTATTTTTTAACTTTTTTGTTGATTCTCAAGGTGATTTGTGTTGGTGTTTGATATGATTAATTTTAAGTGTTGTGGATGGTATTTATCACTTTCGGTGATAGTGAGATATTTTGAATTTGAGGTTTAGATGAACAATTATTCGTGTTATGGACTGAATTTCAGTTTCTTTGAGATGAATGTTGTTCTGTTGCTTCATTAGGTTGCAGTGCTCAGAATGATATATTTGGTTAGATAAGCATATTGGTTCTCTTGTTTGTGGGAGATGAGAAGAGATAGTTTCTCGGGTCTTTTGTTGATGTTTCTCGGATCCTCCTAGTGAAATCCACGTTGGCTAATATATTTACTGCAAATTTTACAAATCCATTAAGAAGGCTGGACGCTTATTCAGTGCAAGTGAAAGGAAATGAAGAAGGCTTGGTTGTATGAGTTTGGCTATGCATCGAATTTTTGAGGAATCATTAATGAAAGTTATATTGAAGGAGAGTAAAAAGATAATTCAGTTAATTTTCTCTGTGGTTGATTTTTGGAATGCTTTGCTTGAGCTTCTCTCAGTCTTCTTCGATAAAGCACTTTTGCACTTCTCTTTTAAACTGCAATGCATGAATCAAAGAAGCACTAGGAATATAATTATAGTCTGTATAAGCTTTCGATAAATCTTTATCTTGTGCAGGATTTGGTATATTTATCCTGTTTCGTCGATGTTCCCAGTTCTAACAATAACTCAAGTTTGTTTTATCATCATCCTCCGTTTCCCTCTCTTCCAGCTTGTCTGACTAGTTCACACACAGTCCAGTCCTCTGCAATGTTAAAACACATTGTTTCCAAAGGCCCCTCAGCCTTGATCAACCATTACCATCTTTGTCATTATCCTAATCAAAAGCACCATTTCTTTCTTTACCATGCACCGCTAACATCTCTATCATAATCATAACAAAACATATCATCTGGCACTTAGCTAGAGAGCCATATGTTTCTATTTCAGCCCCCAGTCCACCAATGTCGCATTTTGTCCCTTTGGTTGTCTACCTCATTGAGAGAGAGCACTGCTTTTTTAAATGCCGAATTTGACAACGAGTAGGGGCCTATTAAAAGCGGGATACCTTGATCCTTGTGTAACATAAGGTAGCTGTCCTTTTCTTTTTGTTAGCTGGATCTGTGGCATTCATTTCCAATCCCCACATCCTTGCCTTCAGGCAAATTTGGAAGGATAAGAAAACTTATTTTAGCAAATTCTTTGAAGTTTATCCAATTCGAGTCCATGCCTAGCTGCCTAACAGGGCATCATAGGACGTGCAAGCGATGAACCCTTTTTTACCTCTTCTTTCTTGCTCAATAAAGCATGTAAACAGCTTGGTTTTCTAATTTGTGACTTTTGCCCGTGATTGAAATTTTCTTTGAGCACTTTTGAGCTTATCGCCTACCCAAATTCTCGGAAACATCAAGTAAAGTGAATCTTCTTTCTTATTTACCTTTGACTCTGAGGCGGAAGTTATGTTTTGTTTCCAAGTTATCATTTGGGATTAAAAAGAACAAAAGAAAAGTTGGGAAAAAGAAATTTTCTTGTGAATGCATTGTTTCGGTGTCAATCTTCTAACTAAATCACAGGATTCAATGATTTAGTCTTGGTAAGTGAGCGCTATTCCAAGAATATGACCTGTAAAACAATGAAAAAAAAATGGAAATAAGTATATACAGTTCTTTTTCTTTTTTTAACCTTCCACCATCTGTTTACCCCGTCTAGTGTTCACTGCTTGTGACTGCTGCAATTTGTCCTGGATTTATAGTACGATGGTCATATCCTGACTGTGTAGTTCAGTTCACTCAAGCCAGGCAAAGAGAGCATAGTGCCCGGTCGCCTCTTTTGACTGTGAATATTCCTGTGAACTACTCAACTTGAGCTAAATCAAAGTGCCCTCCAACTAGCTTCATCTATTGCACTGGAACCAAAATCCAATGACTTGAGAAGGATCCTCTTTGAGCTTTTAGTCCACTTGTCGCCCAGCAAGTCGAATAGGCTCAGTTCATGGCGTGGCTAGGCTGCAAACCTAGAAGCTTAAAGGAGGTTTATTTTGGCAGGCAATTATGTTTTGCATTTTGAAACTTGAATCAAAGGGCCGACAGAAAAATCCTTTAGCCTGCTGTAGAGTCTAGAGAATATTGGTACCCGTTTTACTGGAACATGACTTTTTCTATGAGGACGCAAGTCAGTTTTGTTACTGATTTACATTTGACGTCTTAAACAGTTTAAGAAAATTATAAATTGTAATGTTATAATAATATTTTTTTGTTTATATTTTTTAAATATTATTGTTGCTAAAATTAGTAATTATTAAATTTAATTAATTTACATTACGTGAAACTAATAATAATTTAAGGAGAAAATCTATTTAAAATTTAGGTAACAAGTGAAAAAAATATTAAATTAATTAACAATCAAATTTAAAATGATTATTAAAAATTAACATATTAAAGAAAATATTTTACTTTCGTATTTCTACATACAGTAAAATCTATATATAAATAAATATTTTTCATTTAATCAAAATTTTATTTGAAATTTTTATAGTAAAAATATTTGTATGCCTAAAGAGAAAGCATAAAAATATTAAGTTTTGTTAGTAAAAAGTGGGAAATAAAAGAAAAAATTAATTAAACCTAATCTTAGCTAGGATTCATCCCAAAAACACGATCGTAACTGTTCTTGGCCACTTATGACCTTTAGAAAAATCGATTTTTTTCTTTTGCGACACAATCGATAAGGCATCAATGTCTAGTTAATGGATTGATGTGCATGATTGAGAACTTGTTCGACTCTCGTTGAGTTATGTTGTGTTACACTGTATTTTGAGTGTTAATTGTGCTGTGTTTAGTATATTGTACTATGCTGTTGCAAATAAATTAAATTGTTTTGTAATAAATTATGGTGTTGTACTGTGAGTAATTTATTATTGTGCTATTTAAATTAAATGAATTGACACATGTATTTAATATAAGATTTTTAGTAGCCAAATTAATATAAAAAATTAACACTAGTTTTTAAATTTAAAATGTCACGTTAATTTAATATACGTTTTCTACTTCAATTTATTTTAATTTAAAAGGATTACAAAAGCTAAGTTGTTTATTTGTATATTTCATGCTACGTGTAGTATATAATAAGACAAAATATTCATCGTTGGTATTATTAGTTACTTATTTACAATAAAAAGAAATGTAAGCTTGCTCTCGATTAAAAAAGTATGATAATCACAGTTGAGAATGTAAAATAATAACACTCCAAATATTGCAATAGATATGAAAGTAAATGCACTAATGAGTCCTAAAAACCTAATCGATAATAAAGGTCAAGTGGCTCTTGATGGCCAGCGATGGATAATGAAGATCGATGGTTCTTAAAGATTCTTTCTACATAAGTAAGTAGTAGATCGAGGGATTCTCCGAAAACAAAATTAGTGATAGGAGGGATGAGTTGCTTGATTTTGCTTTTAGTATGCGTTATCCATGAATGAGAGAGGTAATAAATGATATAAGATTTTAGAGAGTGCAAGATTAAAAAACTCAAAACTTTGGACTGGTAAGATTCTTATATAGATGGAGTTTTTGTTGAGTTTGCATGGTAGAAATGATAGAAAGATATATTCCTTAACTATTGATAGTCTTGATGCTAAGTTGGAAATCTATACTGTTGATGTGATTTATTTTCTAAAGATATTAATCGTGTTATGATTGGTGTTAATTTGACAAAAACAATTTTCAAAAGATATCTTCATTAAACACATGTTTTTTTTTTTTTTTTTTATGATAATAATGGTTGAATTGTGCCTTCTTTTTTTTTTTTGTCGACGATTAATGTCCAAGGTTGAAGAGATAATGGTCCTCCGCAAAGGCACCAATCAACGAGGGGATTGTATACCCCATTTTTGCATATAATGTAATTGAAGCATCTTGTATGATATATTATCTTTTTAATTGTTCACTATTTGATGAAAACCAAATAATCGAATCGAACTATATCGAAATATCAATTTTAATGTGGTTTTTTATATAAATTAAAAAAACAAACTGAAATAATTTAGTTTTTCAAGTTTGGGCTTGGTTTTTTTTTTAAAAAAATCAGCTTAATTGAAAAACTGAAAATTTTAATATATATATATATATATATCATTCAATGCATTTCCAAATTGAAAAACCATTTTCTCTTAGATGCACTTCTTTCTAGCTTCGTACGTGCTCTCTTTGTCTTTATTACAAATCTAGATGTACATAAAATAACAAAGATGTTGATAGATTTTTTATCGTCTTCATTTCAAGCCTTTTTAAATATATAATTTATTATTCGTTTATCTATCAATGCGTTTGCTATTTTTTTAGACCTAATTTAGTTTCCTAACTAATAATCCAAAATGTGAAAAAAATCCACTCTAAACAAAGATTTCAAAAACTTGAATAAAATCAACCATTTGTAAAAAAAAATAAAATAAAATAAAACGAATAAAAATCGAATTATCGAACACCAAAATTGAAATATTTTAAAACTAAATCGAAAAATCGAATAACATTTTGGTTCAATTTCGATTTTTTTTTTAAAGTTCGATTAACCAAAAATCATTCAAAATATTTTGAAACCAAATAAAATAACAAAACAAATACCCCTAGTTATCTAGGATTATCAGGTACACTATTGATAATGTTGTAAGTTGTAATTTTTTAAAAAATTAAGGCTGTTTTTGTTTTTTCAAAAAACAACCTTCCATCTGAGAAAAAAAAAAGAAAGAAAAAAGAAAAAAACAGCTCTCCATATTTTTTGAAATGTAACCTAATAATATGTTTTATAAGCAAAATCACCTTCCACCTTTTAAACTTACTTTTCAACTGTTTTCTTTTGAATCAAAGCACTAAAAGCTAGAAAAGCACTTTCATTTGTCTTGCTTTAAATCGAAGCACTAAAAGTTAGAAACGTAGAAGGCAAACAAGCTCTAAGAGTTTGAATATTGATTAATTAGATCAGTAAAAATATGCCGTAAAGGTAAATCCTATAAACGGAATCTTCTCAGTCTTAGGTAATGGTCAAGCACCAATTGAGTGGCAGTAAAAATATACCGTAAAGAAACTACAAGGAGAAGCGGAGAGACGATCGATTAACCCAAGAAGACTCAACCTCCAAACAGGAAGAAGGGTCACGGCAGCTTTGGGCCTTTTTAAGTGCAAGGACGAAAAAGTGCTGATAGCGCTGTCAGTCTCGAGTCACAGTTGTTTTGAACATTATACATGTTTTGGAGATTACTCAGATATTGAATCATCAAATCCCTAGCTACAGTTTTTACACAATGAGATCTGAGTCTATATGTTTATTGTCTTTCCAAAGAAGAAGTGCCAAATAAGGTCCATCCATTACCGTTACCGTTACCATTACCACCCCCATCATGGCCATAAAGAAAGTGCCAAATTGATCAAGTCATGTGAAGATGAATATCAAGAGTAAAAAACATTTTCACGTTACCCTCAAACCAATACACCCCACAATTTGGAAGGACTGATTTGTTCATAGCCAGCCCAGTACTACTGCAATCAATTCAGGTATAGTTAACTCAAGAGATAAAATAATGAGACAAGTTCTTTCTTTTGTTTGTTTTTTGCATTTATTATTTGGTTACTTGTTTCTTTCTTTAATTAGTAGGAGTACTACTATATCTATTCTTTATTTGCTTTTTAGTGGGTAAAATGAAGCATTGATTTTGAATACTTGAAGTACTGATGATCGATGGTTCTATGGCGGCTCGCATTCTATTTGGTAACTCTTACTTAATTTACGAAAACAAGAAAAATTCTTATGAGGCACTAGTTTAAGTAGTATATATATACATGTCTGCAAAAGCTGAAGAATCCTACCGTTCTCATGAACCATGATTATGAACTGAGAATAAGAAGCCAGACGATTTGACCCCACCAACCCAAAACTTAAAACAACAAATCCATTCCCGAAATAAAGTACCACCTTTCTAAAGAAAACCTTTTGTTGAAGTAGTGTGGCCACTGTAGAAATTAAGGTTGAACAAGAAGGAGTGAGAACCTAAAACATGGGAAATCAACAGTGAGGAATAGTGGCCTTTTATTTTGTGATGAGTAATGATGATGATAAGACCAGCTGGAAGTTCGGGGTCCTCAAGGTGTCAAGACTGTGGAAACCAAGCTAAGAAAGACTGTGTTTACATGAGATGCAGGACTTGTTGTAAGAGTAAAGGTTTTCCGTGTCCAACACACGTTAAGAGCACCTGGGTTCCTGCTGTTAGAAGGCGACAGAGGGCTCAAAATCTTTCTCCTATTCAGCAACTGCAGCTTCAAGGACACAACCCTAAAAGGCTCAGAGAAAATCCTTCAACAGGTACTGTTGCACTTCCTTTATTTGTAGATCTATCGTTATTAGTGATTGTGAAGTAAAAACTCGAGAAAACCATATCTCTTGCTTGATATATATGAATGAGACAAACATAGTAACCCTAATAGCTAAGTAGGTACTCTTTATTCTATTCTGCTGCAAAGGGTGTGGTTATGACAGGATCATTTCTCCTTATTTTTCACCATGAAGTTTGTTTTAGTTTTTATGATTTTCCTTTTTTTTTTAAAGAGTTTTAATGGTGTATAATGGATCTTTTTTAGGTTTAGAAATGGTGAATTTTCCTGCTGAAGTGCACTCTACAGCCACATTTCGTTGCTTTAGAGTGAGCTCCATTGACGAAGCAATTGATCAATTTGCATATCAAACAAGTGTGAATATAGGAGGCCATGTTTTCAAGGGTATTCTCTATGATCAAGGCCCTGAAAATCGTTACAATTTTAGCGAAAGCTCTTCCAGACAACTTGAAGAGGCTAATCTCACGACTGCAGGTGCCCTAACTCCTGCTACTACCACTTTAGCTTCAACTTCAGGTGCTGCAGAATCTCTTGCTCCTCCTTCATATCCATTTCCCCTTAATGCTTTTATATCCAGTACGCAACTTTTCCTGCACCCAAAATCATAGGGCTCATCCGTTTAATTTGTGTAGTTTATCCAAAAGAAGAACAAAAAACGAAATGAAAATGTTAAAAGAGCCCAACTTTGTCAATTATCAATCGAATTTCCCCCTTTTATTACCATACATCGGTAGATATTAATTGTTATGGTGTTCTTGGGAGTATCCATTGAACTAGAAATGAATAAAAGGAGATCTTTGTTCTTTTTTCAAATTTTAATATATATATCCATTGAACTAGAAATGAATAAATGGAGATCTTTGTTCTTTTTTCAATTTTTAATGTATATCTATAATTTAATTTTCAGTTATGTATATGTTCTTATCCGAAATATTTTAAATCTGGCATGCTACTGCAGATTGGTTTTTCAGTTTGTCTTTTTGTTCATTTCTTTATTGTTTTATTATCTTCTGAGTCCAGGTTTGATGTTTCTTCGATCTCCCTTTGTTGTTTAAGAACTTCGAAGCTACTTTTTCCAGTTTATCCGCTTCTTTGCCGGCCTCGAGCTGGACTCTATCTGCTTCTTTGTATGTTTGGAGAGGCTACAAAGATATAAATTAACATAACTTTTGCAGGTTTATATATTATAGTTGTTTCACCAATGCATAGGCATCAGACTCAAAATATTCAAGAACACACCCCATACACACATACACATGAAACATATAAAGAAAGATAAAACTCAATAATGCTTGTCATCTGCTTTTACTTGTTTTCTTGAACAACAATTACAAACCGCAGAACGAATTGGAAAACGCTTCATTTCATTGGCATGCGTGGTTATTATGTCTTTTTTGTTGTTTCTTTTCTGAATTGATAATATGTTTTCTCGCTGATATATTCATGTGCCTCTTAACAAGAGATCTTGTCTTTGTATGTCATTGCAATATAGATAGATTTTGAGTGGAAAAAAAATTGCGTTCTAGTTTAATCATTGCAATATTTTTTTTCCTTTTCTTTTCTATGTTTTTGGAGGGGAAGAAGGGAATCAGAATCACACTATCACTATAAAGCACAAGCTAAACCCTAAGGTTTGATACTTAACTGTTAATTTAAACCAAAAAAAGATTAGGTAGGCATCTTTGGGAGATGATGACTTTATCTGAAAGCACTACATAAGCCTCATGCTTAGCTAGCTATAGGTTTCTTAATGCTGAAGTGACAATCATACTGAACTATAGGAAAAGATTGATACTCAGTGACACAACCACTCGAATATATCCCTTGTACTAGGAAAAAGAGCCATAGTACAAAAGTCACTAATTAATGGCTAGCTCTATTTAGTGTAGATGTTGTGCCTAGAATAAACCTCCCAAAGAAATTCGTAAGTGGATTCTCGCCCAGAAAGGGTTTCCGGCTAGATGGCTTTCCGATATAGTCATAGAAACTAAAATTTTCAATCTTGTGCATGTCTTCTCAAGGAAGATATCCAGCAATTTGGATGGGACAAAAGACATAAGAGGTGGGTCGATCCAATGATGTTTTTTTCGGATTAGATTATGGTAACCTTTAGCATGACCTGCATGTCTTGAGAAACAGCCCAAGGAGAATGTTGTTCTTTAGCCCTTTTTCTCTTTTCTCAAATAAGAAATCCTATTCGTGATGTTCACCTAAAAAATTGCTGCAGTGGCCTTTTACTTTATTATTTAAGGAGTAGAAGATGGGACCTCTTTTTTGTTGTGTACTACAAATTAATATTGTGGTGCAAAGATACAAAGAACATCTTTCGTGTCAGGCATCGTTTGGGATGCAGGTAATATGTCTTGCTGTGCCCTTTTTTTTTTTTTTTTCCTTGTTGGAACAGCAGGTTGTTTCCTATGTCTCAAAATACAATGTAATTTTATTCCCTCACCAGTGGAATTTCATCACTATTCATTAGAAAAATGCAAGAAAATTGCAATGCTTACCTATAAATGCTGAATATAGATTATGGTTGTTTTCTTTTTCTTATATCAAATTTAAGTGCACTATGTATTGAGCTTGCATCATGATATGGGTAATTGTTTTTCCCATGACACTAAACTCAAATCAATGGTGAATGATCAGATCATCATTGGATGCAAGGAGAACAAACATGTATTTTATAAGTCTTACTTTGTTCATGTATTCTTCGGTGTGATATATTTAGTCTTTGCAAAAGTAATGTTTTTTTTTCTTTTTTTATTAAAAAATTATGTGTTCACAGAAAAAAGAAAAAAGTTATGCTTTGATGCTTTGGCTTATCTTTTGACAAAACAATAAAGTATGTGATTTATAAGCCACAATAAGAATCATTTACATATAGGCATGAAATACGTACCAAGATCATGATTGTTTTCTCAAACAAGTAATATAGCTATACACAGCCAATCAACTAGTACTGCTAGAAGCATATATACAATTAATTAAAAGAAAAATAATCAGTTCTATTATATTTTTAAGCATAAAAAAGAAAGTCCCCTTATTTTTTAGAACTGTGAATCCAATTTGTGATTGTTTGTTTGGATAAAAGTTTAGATCCTCGTTCCATGCTATTATTCCATGCCTACGTTCCCAGAATGCATAAAATAGTAACGGGTGCTGCCTATGTTTACCAAATTCAATGGCTATACAATATAATTATTATATTACAACTAAATTGCTTCAATCAAATGTCAGTTTTTGAATTAGCATAATCAACAACTTTTAGTACCATGCCTATGCCTGAACAGTATGCATGTGTGTGTAGTAAATTGAGAGCCGAAATATCTCCACATGAAAATTAAGATGATATTATTTTAGAGAGTCAATCAGATGATATAATTTTAGAGAGTTGGATTGAGCGAAGATGCTTTTGTCACTTTTCGCTTTTGAGTTATTGTGTGCTCAGAACATTTTTCAAATTATATCTATATTGTCTCTGTAAATAAGGAGAGAATAATTTGAATTTTTAGAACTAGGATATAAATGATAATGAGTTGAGTATAAAATAAAAAAATTTTTTATTCGATCTAATAAATATCTATTAAAAATATTTAATTGATATTGAAGTTAGCAACGATAAAAAAATACGTATCCATTAATATGGTTTCAAGTTATGGATATCTATTATTTATTCAATTAACATCCATTGATTTATTTAGATTTTTTTATCAACATGTAGGGATTTAATTGCATAATATTTAAAAATAAAGGATGAGAATATTTTTTAAAAAACTTTAAGGACAAAAAAACTTTTAAATAAACGACAAAAGCAAAAAAAAAAATTAATAATAATAATTTAAGGATAAAAAACTTTTTAAAAAAATTATAAGGACTAAAATGTATGTTTTTAATAAATTAAATTTAACGGTTATTTAATGAGTATTAAATTGATAGATAAACTATTATGGGTTCGATATGAACATGATAAAGATTTATATGATGATTTTTTAATGAATAATGAATATGATATTCTTTTAATATATATAATAAAAAATTAAATTAATGGATTGAGTATCCGTTCATTGTCATCCCTTAACTAGGATACCCTCAAGGATTAAAAAAAAAAATTAAGATAAAAAAATTAAGATGATATTTTTTTGTTGTTGTTAACCTAATAGTATTGCATCTGTAACAAGAGATAGAAGGTAAGTGATAGAATGTTAAGATAGAAGTTGCTGAAGTAATTAATTAACTAGAATGCTTTCAAAGACCATTGAAGCAAAACTTGCTCCAAAAAAAAAAAAACCATTTGGTTTTTTAAAGTGTTTCATGTCAGGGACGAGCATTATTCTATTAAAATCGAAAAAATCGAATCGAATTGAATCAAATTAGCAATTTCGATTTGATTTTATAAAAATAATTTGAATAAAAAAAAACTGAAATAAAAAACTAGAATTATTTTGGTTCATTTTTTTTAAATTCGGTTTTCATTAATTCGGTTTTCAATGAAAACCGAATTAGTGTTTTTTTTTTAGCACCCACCTAAGGCTCATAGTTTTTTTCAATGATTTTCTTTATTAAAACTTCAATTCAAGCTATTAACATTCCTTAAAAATCGAAAAAAGTTATAAAAAAATGGTCTTTCAGCTTGGTGTAAGAAAAAATTCAAAATTTAGAAGAAAAGATGGAAAAAATGATTTTTAAGTGAAAACCAAAAACCAAACCGAAAAATTTGGTCTTTTAACTAAAATACTGAATCATAGTTCATGTCGATTTTAGTTTTTATTTGAATCAATTTGATTAACCGAAAGCCTAAAAAGAAAATTAAAACCAAATAAAAAAATTGAATGATTACCCCTAATTACTGTTGTTTAGAGGGAGATGAACATCGATAATATTATTATCTGGCAGCTTGTCATCGTTATCTTGAGTTAAACCGGATTAAGTGGTAATAACCAAGCTCTGTATTGTGGTCAACCTTTTCATCAATCCATTGCAGTTTTGAAGTCTTCAAATCAACATGACTATATTTAGCTTGTCTATCTTTTCTTTTTCTATAGTGCTCGAAGTAAATTGGTCTCCAAATATATCGAAAATCTTGACCAGATACCCTACCATACCGATCACGAACTCTAAAATTGATCTCGATCCATGTACATAACATCCTCCTGTGAATATGTATCTTTAAATCAACTCACGCATATTATCCTCTTTCAATCAAGAAAATAAGAAATGGGGAAGAGGTCTTTATAAATGGGGAAAGGGTAAATGCCATTCACAAGCGGAAAGAAAAACAAAAACAAAACTAGTTTACTTCAATGATTAATCAATCAGAAATTTCCGTCAAGAGCAGATCCAACCGCTGTTGCGCTTGTTTAACTAGCAACAAACCATCTTCCAACTTCTGTTCACCTTCTTTGGACTTTTTAATTATCTCTTCTGTAATATGATTCGAATCATTCAAGGACTCAACAAGAAAAGCAATTTTGACAGCAATCTCACTTGTTGGTTCTTGTTTCGACAATTTCTTTAAAGTTTTAACCTTCTCTTCTCTCGTTTTGTGATGCTGAATCTGTGTAGAAGCAGTGAGTTCGGGTTCTTCTCCACCTGCTAGATCAAAGTTTCAGTTTTCCCGAAACAAAAATGGTTACTCGGCATTCGGTTGGAATAACGATTGACGAAGTGGGAATTCGACGATGGGTAAACTTAAGTATGTCTATCCAGTCTGTTAAAAAAAATAGACTATTGACGTGCCGAGACCAGAGGATTTATAAATTTTTACCTTTCAGCTTGATTTAAGCTTGAATCCTGAACTAAGAAATATATATATATATATATATATATTATCCATCAAATCAGGTAGTTGTAACGTCAGCAGCCAAAGCGTACGGATACTGAAATTTTTTACTCTAGCACCAACATGATGGTCATCCATAAATTTTGCTGAGTTACGGATCAGCCTCTCTTGCTAGGGGCAGTAATTATAATATTGCTAGTTCTTAAAGGAATAAATTAATTGTTTGAACAAGGGTACTAATTTTATTTACTTTTTTTTTAGGTTGAGCAACAAGTATGTCTTTTGATTAATTTTTGCGCACCTTAAGACTAATTTTTTGCATGACCTCAAATATTTTAAGAAAAATTTGGAGAGTGCTAGTGATAACGATCTTCATCCAATACATTATTACACTATTACCTGGCCAAATAAATATTTCTACTGGATATGCCCTCTTTCTGTTCCTTACGACTTGTTATACATACAAAAAATGTAACGGTAAGTGTTCTTAAATATACCTTTTCTTTATCAGCCTGTTTTAAGGAACTATTTGTAACGACACAAGTGAAAAGGCCCAAATAAAACTCTTAAGTTAAGTTTGTTCAATGAATTTAAAATGTTTGAGAAAGAAAAATAAGGGCACGTAACCTGTCTACTGGGCTCGGCTTGTCCATTCATTCGATGGGGTTACCAAATTTCAAGTTGAGGCCCAATAAACTGAAACAAACCCCAAAAGCAAACTGATTAGGACACATAACCTATCCACTGGGCTTCTGATTTTCCACCTCAATAAGGCCAGAAACAAACCCTTCAAGCCCACAGTAAAACCTGGCGCGAAAATCACACTCATTTCCCGCCAAATCAACCCTTCCCGCACCGAAAAAAGTCCTCAAATCTTTCCCTCCATACCGATTTCCTCCCCCCAAAGCAAACCCTCTCTCTGCAACAATGGCTTCCGACTCCTCTCCTGGCCGCAACAATAACGGTCCATCATCACCGGATGAGTTTGCATCAAGTCCAGTCGGCAACACATACTCTTCTCCGGGCACAAGAACCCGGCGCAGACGCCGATCCACCACACCGCTCCCTTACAACACACCACCAACCAACCAGTCACGCTTCGCCACCTCAGAAACAACCCCAACCACAACCCCTCACCGCACGCGCCACCACGTTTCAACTCCATCGTCAGATGGCGGTCCGCCACTCTCATCCGATGCCGGGGATGACATCGATGAGGCCACACCGACGTTTGTGTGGGGGACGAATATTAGTGTGCAGGATGTGAAGGCTGCAATTCAGATGTTTTTGAAGCATTTTAGGGATGGGCAGAGTCAAGGGAGTGAGATTTATGACGAAGGGAAGTATATGAAAGGGATACATAAGGTGTTGGAGATGGAAGGGGAGTGGCTTGATGTGGATGCACATGATGTGTTTGATTATGATGGTGAATTGTATGGGAAAATGGTTAGGTATCCGCTTGAGGTTTTGGCGATTTTCGATATTGTTTTGATGGATATTGTTAGTTTGATTCAGCCATTGTTTGAAAAACATGTGCAAGTTAGGATTTTTAACCTAAAGGGTTCAACTACTATGCGAAATCTCAACCCTGCTGGTAATTTTCTCTCTGTTTTTACTTGTCTCGTGTTTTTATTCAAAACTAGTAGTTTTGTTTGATTTTGATTAATGGTTTTGGTTTTGGTTTTGGTTTTGGCTTTTTTTTTTTTTTTTTTTTTTTTTTTTTTTTTTGTGAGTGAGGATTTTGATTGAGTTTTGTTTAATTTGGTTAGATATTGAGAAGATGGTTTCATTGAAGGGAATGATTATTCGGTGCAGTTCAATAATACCGGAGATTAGGGAAGCTGTATTTAAATGCCTTGTGTGTGGGTACTTCTCTGACCCGGTTGTTGTGGATAGAGGTAATTGTACTGAGCTGTTGTTAGTTGGGTTAATTATGTAATATGTTTGTTGTTTTCCATAAGTTTTCTATCGTTTGTTGACTGTTTTGAATGTTATCAGGACGGATAAGCGAACCTACAACATGTCTAAAGCAAGAGTGTCTTGCTAAGAATTCCATGTCACTAGTTCACAACCGGTGCAGGTAATTTTATTTTAGTTGTTTTGCTCATCCGAGAGTTTGAAACTTACTTTATTTTTAAGGGTCAAATCACAATGTCATTGGTTATTATATGAAGCCTGACGTTTGAACTATTTTCCCAATAAGAAGTGAGAAATATTGTTTCACAAAATTGTCATACTGTAATTAACTAGTCTTGCTCCAAAAAATCAGGTTTGCTGATAAGCAGATTGTGAGACTCCAGGAGACACCTGATGAGATCCCTGAAGGAGGAACGCCGCACACAGTGAGCTTGTTGATGCATGACAAGTTGGTGGATACTGGAAAGCCAGGTGATAGAATTGAGGTGAGACCAGAGCGCATTATATTATCTGACTAGAAGGAAAGAAATTCCTGAAACTTCTATGTTTCTTACCAATTTCTTTCTTTGAATAGGTTACTGGGATTTATAGGGCCATGAGTGTGAGAATTGGGCCAACACAGCGAACTGTTAAATCATTATTCAAGGTATTTTTTTGTTTTTCTTCTTGCCCAATCAAATTAGTTGAGGCCTCTTCAAGCTCTATAGGGATGGGGATTTCCTAATGCAATGAACTATTTCTTTTCATTGCAGACTTACATAGACTGTCTTCATATAAAGAAAACCGACAAGTCAAGAATGCTGTCAGAGGATCCCATGGAAGTTGATAATGGTGATGGTTCACGTGGGATCGAGGAAGGTTTCCAATTTGATGAAGGGAAGGTGTGTTAAAATTACATTTTCCTCTACTCGAGAAAGTCTTCTTCTTCTTCTTTTTTTTTTTTTTTTTTTTTGTCAGCTAAGATCGTGTTCTTGTTTGCAATTGCAGATAGAGCAATTGAAAGAGCTATCAAGAAAGCCAGATATATATGACAGACTGACCAGATCCTTGGCACCAAACATCTGGGAGCTTGATGATGTGAAAAGAGGTCTTCTTTGCCAGGTATTTGTATACGTTTGACTTGCTGCACTTCTACATCCCTACTGCTCTGGATGTTATAAAGTTTCAAGTTCTTTAATTATGTCTGCATCAATAACAATTGTTAGTGTATTGCTCAAAATGCAGCTCTTTGGAGGGAATACCTTGAAATTGCTATCTGGTGCTAGCTTCCGTGGTGATATAAATATCCTGCTTGTTGGTGATCCTGGAACAAGCAAGTCTCAGCTGCTTCAATACATACACAAGCTATCTCCCCGTGGCATTTACACCAGTGGAAGGGGAAGCTCTGCTGTTGGTTTGACTGCTTACGTCAGCAAAGATCCTGAAACAGGGGAAACAGTATGAAACTCCTTTTATATAATCCTTCTATTTTCTGATCAAGCGACTAGCTCTAGAATATATGTGCATTTATGTGAGACATTGATATTGATGATGTAATCTTGTAGGTTCTGGAGAGTGGAGCACTTGTTTTAAGTGACCGGGGCATCTGTTGTATTGATGAATTTGACAAAATGTCTGAAAATGCAAGGAGCATGTTACATGAGGTTGGTCGTATTTTCTTTTCTCCAGATTTTTTAGTCATATAAAAGAAGCTCTCTGTTAAATAGCAGACTCAGGCCCTGCAAAGGAAAGTGAAAACAAGTGCATTTTTATTCTTGTCTTATATGCTTTTTTAGGTTTTTTATGTGGCAGTTTTGATAATTTAAATGACTATCCATGGGAGAGGGGTTCCCTGTTTCTCCAGAAAATATCCAAGTAAATATAGTTTTTTTTCCTGGCAGAAGAATAGAATAGCAAAGCATCACTTAAACATATTCCACTCTGCATTAAACTTTTTAGCATATTGTCTACTCGGATTTTCAAGTCCTGCACTTTTTGTGATGAAAGTTCCTACTCTTGTTTCAATTGTTGCAGGTGATGGAACAGCAAACCGTCTCCATTGCAAAGGCTGGAATTATTGCTTCCCTTAATGCCAGAACTTCAGTATTGGCTTGTGCAAATCCTATTGGTTCGCGTTATAATCCTCGGGTCTCTGTGATTGACAATATACACCTTCCTCCCACCTTGTTGTCCAGGTAAGGAATATGATCCATATGCCATGCAACTGAGGTAGTTGATACTTGGCAGTATTGAAATGTACATGACTATGGACTTGCTTGTACGCTATAAAATTGAATATAATGTTATATTTTTAATGTTTTTCTAAATGTCTTAATTTTATCTGTTATATGTCACTACTGCCCGTGTTAAATACAGTAATTACTGAAAGATATTCGATTCTATTAAATGCCTTTTTTTGGTAGAATTACTGATTGTGGATGCTTTCTCAGGTTTGATTTGATTTACTTAATTCTTGACAAGGCCGATGAACAGACAGACAGGCACCTTGCCAAGCATATAGTTTCTTTGCACTTCGAGAATCCTGAGGTATGGTGAATTCTTGCAATCCTTGTTACTTGAAGCTCTACCTTTGATCTTCTGAAAAAAATTTCTGCTTGCAGAGTGCAGTGCATGATGTCTTAGACATTGCTACATTAACTGCATATGTGAGCTATGCTCGGAAGCATATTCACCCACAGTTATCTGATGAAGCTGCCGAAGAGTTGACTCGAGGATACGTTGAGATGAGGAGGAGAGGAAATTTCCCAGGCAGTAGCAAAAAGGTCTGCTGTTAATTCACATCCTCTTATCCTAGCTAACTTTATCCAGAATTCGTGTAACTGAATTAGTCAATAATGCTACCTCATACCTTGTAGAATAATCTTACATAGGCATTTCTCCAAGTGCTCTAATTTCTTATAAGTGGGTCGCTACACATTGTTTATATTTATTGACTCGTGTAGCATTAAAAATCATTCCTGGAGAACAGACTTCTGTAGATTTTGAACTACGAGAGCTTTTTACTTCAAGCCAGCTATCTAGACCCTTTTATTATTGCATTTGTAATTTTCTTTTTGAATTGGTCAAATTTGCTTGCTCTTTAACCATTTTTCAGACAGTTGTTTTGATACAATTTTCAAATAAAATTGTTTTTCTTGATATGCCGTTTTCTCTCACTTATCCATCTTTCTTATATTGTTTCTGTATGTTCCTTGATTGTTAACGTTAACAGGTGATAACAGCAACGCCTAGGCAGATGGAAAGTCTGATACGCCTTAGTGAAGCTCTGGCTCGGATTCGTTTCTCGGATTTGGTTAGTATGGCGTCCTTTATTGCTATAACTGGACAAGTGGTTTCATCATGGATAGAATTTATGAACTTTCTCTTTTGGTCTGGGTAATTCAGGTTCAGAAGCATGATGTGACAGAGGCCTTTCGGCTCCTGGAAGTTGCAATGCAACAATCAGCAACAGATCACTCCACTGGCAATCCTCTATTAGCTTTACCCCTAAATCCCTGAGTTCATTTTCCTAGCCAGAGACGCATATTCTCATAATGTCTTCTTCTCTTTTGTGCAGGAACTATCGACATGGATCTCATTACTACTGGAGTTTCAGCTAGTGAAAGGATGAGAAGAGAGAATCTTGCGTCAGCTGCTCGTAACATAATTATGGAGAAGATGCAGCTCGAAGGACCCTCAATGCGCTTGTTAGAGGTACGCAAATATGCTGTAAGCTATATCTTTAAATTGCTACTATTTAATTTCAACCACAACTAACATTTAGATTCCCCTAATCAATACTCCAGTTGCTGGATGAGCTTAAGAAGCAGAGCTCTTTTACTGAACTTCACCTTCATGATGTAAGAATCTCTCTCTCTCTCTCTCTCTCTCTCTCTCTCTCTCACACACACACACACACACACACACACACACACACACACACAAATGAAAAATAGTTGGGACCCTCATGCCCATAATATTTTTTAACCCTTGTATTTTCAGCTGAGAAATGCAGTTGCAACACTGGCAAGTGAGGGATTTGTGGTTTTTCACGGTGACAGTGTGAAGAGGGTATAGTAAGAGTGGAGGAACCAAGTCCGAGGATAAAGTTCACCTGATTGCTACAACTTACGATGCAAGCTCTGGAGAAGACAATTAAGTTTTGCAGCCTTATTATCGCTGGGGTTATCCCACATACTTGGCCAGTCGTGGTGTATACTAGAAAGCTGTCGGCATTACTAGGGAAGTAAATGCTGGATGATTGTAAATGTTTTTCGTAACTTAGACTGCGAGTGGTTAGTCAATCATGTAGTTTATGACTGAATAATTTAATGATGTATTGATTCTTTAAGTCTGGTAATATGCCAGCTGGAAATTCAATGGATGCCATTGCTTCGTGTTCTAATTTTCATGGTGTTTTTGAAGTTTTTTTTTGGCTTGCTTTGACCAGTATCTCAATCTCTCTTTTGCCAAATGTGAGAGTTGGCCTAATCTTCATTTTGTTGATAGAAATGGTCTGTCTTTGATTCGAAATAAGAAATAGACTTAATATGTGCGCCAGGCAGCTTGATCTTGATCCAATTTTACAATCTAATAATTAAAAAAACATTGCAGTAGACAACAAATTTTAAAAAGCTACAGTCCACGTGATGCATGACTGGAGCTATTAGCTTTGTCCTTCCTCGAATTTAAAAAGCGTGTTTGCACAAATTTGAGTAATTATAAATTAGGCCCTTTAGTTGTGAGAAATAAATAAATTAATTCTTTTAATTTTAAAAATTAATTATTTAGTTTTAATATTTTTACACTTTTTGGTAATTTAATATTTTATGTTTCTTTTTAATTTATTTTGATTTTTTTATTCATTTTTAATTTATTTTAATTTTTATCTTAAGAAATAAAAAAGGATAAATACATGAAACATTTGATATAAGAAATAGGAAAAAAATATAAAATAAATGAAATAATTAATGAAAAATATTTTTTTAAAAAATAAATAATATCAAATTAGAAATTACCAATAAATTTTACAACTGATTAAAATTAATCATAAATTATTGATTTAGTTACAAATGAATAGTATTGAGAAAATAATATATTTATTAATAAATTAATTTGTTTCAATTTTTTTTACAAATGATTGTAATTTTGTAATAATCATTTTCAATCATTTAAGTATAGTTTAGATAGTGGGTTGGGATAATGGTAAATGAAAATAAAGATAAATTATTGAAATATTTATTATAAAAATAATATTAAGATGTAAAATGGTTTTTAAGAATATTTAATATATTTATAAATCAAAAAATCAAATGTTAGTAGAAATAGAGAAACATAATTAGATAATTAATAATAATTGATAAGAAATAATAAAAAATAATATGATAAATTTTAATAAAAAAAGATAGAGAAAAAAATTGTTAAAATGTATTCAGAGAGAAGTGAGTACACGAGAGCAAGATAGTTCGTGATAGAGAGAAAAAATATTTTTTATCTTTTTTAAATCAAAAAATATTTTTAAAAAATACTCAATCATTTTTCGTTGATTGAAAATCATTTTTTGTTGACTTTTTTTTTAAATATAAAATAAATAAATAAAATAAGTTTCTGAATCTTATTTTTCATAAAAACAAACATAGCCCAGGACGAAACTACATCGAAATATCCAGCAATGGGGTTTTCTGGTTAAAAAAAAAAAAAAATCAAATAAGTGAAATGTAATCCACTTAAAAAGGAAAAGAAAAAAAGAAGGCGGCAAGGATAGAATCGTAAACAGGCCAAATCATGTAAGGAAGGTGACGTGGTGGCTTGTGTAGAGGTAAATACCAGAACAAAAACATCTTCCTCTGTCCTCTCATGTATCCTCTGATTTTTTTCCTTTATTTAAATTAAAAAAAATCATTTCACCTGATTGAATCATTAACCCTGTAAATTCATTAAAAAAAATATATATATCCCAATCAATCTCTGTGACTTGCGAGATACACAGAGAGAAATCGAATCCAGGAGAGGTGAGGAAAGGAAATGGCGGAGGCAAGAGCAGGAGGAGGATGCTGTCCGCCGATGGATCTATTCAGGTCAGAAGCGATGCAGTTGGTGCAGCTTATTATCCCTATCGAATCTGCTCATCACACTGTCTCTTATCTCGGCGACCTCGGTCTCCTCCAATTCAAAGACGTCTGTACACATTCCTCTCCTCTCTCTCTCATTTTCTCTATCTCTCCTTATCTTCCTCTATTTGATGCTGAATTGTTTGCTAATCTATCGAATTCGAATTCTTATTATTCTATTCACTAGTATTTTTAGTGCAGCTGGTAATGTTTTTGATTTGTAATTCAATTGTAATTAAATCGAAATTCGAAATGTGATTTTGTGAACTCTGATTGCTACATGGAGAATAAATTGGACTTTGATAGAGACTACAATTCCGATTTTTTTATTGTTGTTGCTTGGGTTTCTGGTTTCATTAGCTAAAAGATTGTTTATTTTGGGATTGGTAGTGAAAGAATGTGATGTGATTGATTTGATGATTGATATTGAGCTTTAATTGTGTTTTTATGTAATTTTCTGTTTGCAGCTCAATGCAGACAAGAGTCCGTTTCAGAGAACTTATGCTGCTCAGGTGTGTTTATGTTCCGTGTCCATTTCATGTTCTTGCTTATTTGAGTTTAAGAAGAATTTTAAATGCATATTGTACTGCTAATCACTTCTGTTTTAATCGATTGGAGTATGTATCTGATTCCATTTTTTGGCATAGATTTTTGTTTTGAGCTTTTTTTTAATAGACGTTGGTGCCTTAGATATTAGTTTTATGAATCCATTTTATACGTATTGAAGTGAGATTTTAGTGGTGGAAGTGTTGATTTTTTTTGTTCTTTTTTTTTCCCTTGCAAGATCAAAAAATTTGGAGAGATGGCACGGAAGCTACGGTTTTTCAAGGAGCAAATGGAGAAGGCTGGTGTTACACCTTCGACTAAGCCTGTGACACAAGCTGAGATTGATGTGGATGACCTAGAGGTTTGCTACAAAGTTGAATATGCTGCTGGAAATGCTTTAGACGGTTCATACTCTTACTGTTTTGCTTTGTTTTGGGTACCATAGGTAAAACTCGGGGAACTTGAGGCAGAGCTGGTTGAAATGAATGCAAATAGTGAAAAACTACAGCGCTCTTATAATGAGCTTGTGGAATATAAGCTTGTCCTCAACAAGGTATGGCTATTTTGACCCAGTGATACGGTCATTCTTCTACTAGCATGCGTAGTTATACCATGGAGAAGCTGGAACTTCTGCTAATTTTAAATAGACATTCTGTGACCTGTTTTATGGCGATTTCGTGTATGTAAAGTGAAATTACAAATTAAACTTGGAAAAGGGGAAAGAATTACATTTCCTGCAAGACACAAGAATTCATATAACTGATTTAATGGATCTGCAGTAGATAAAAAAATTCACTGAATGACCTTTTCTTGTATGATGTCTAACTTTTATATTGTGAGCCACTTGTTCAGGTGGCATTGTTAAGCACACTAATTGAGAGATAACGGAGCATGTCTTGGATTTCACTAATTAACCAGCCTTGGTTGCAATGATCGAGAAACTCAATTGTGCTTTAAAATATAGTTTCATAGTTCCTGTTATTTTCTTGTGTAGATCCTGTGATGTGTATTACTCAAGTGTATAAATTTTTGAGTCAAAATGCTAGCAAAAGCTACTTTTCATTTATTAAGTCTTGCAAGATTATGTAACAGGCTTCCTTTTTTTTTTTTTTTTTTTTAATTTTTCCAGGACTTCATATTATGCCGTTGCATAATTTGAAGTTGTTTCATAATCATGCATGAACTTAGAACCCTTTCTCATCAGAACTTTAATCATGTATTAGATTATTGTTTGCTTATCAGGACAAATATTTCAGTAACACTGGGTAATAGTCAAGTTGATGATGTTTTTTTCTTGTAGGCTGGTGAGATTTTCTCTTCTGCCCTTAGCAGTGCAACTGCTCAGCAAAAGGAAATGGAATCCCAACAGGCCGGTGAAGAATCACTAGATACTCCTTTATTACAGGACAAAGTATGAGTTCCAACTGCTTGTCAGTGTATCAATGTCACTTTATTCTCTTTTTAGTGTACCAGTGTTACTTTAACCTAATATTTGTATTCGTAATAATGATAGTTAATTGGCTATTCTGTAGGAAATATCAATTGAGTCATCAAAACAAGTAAAGTTGGGGTTTATCACTGGCCTTGTTCCCAAAGAAAAGTCCATGCCATTTGAAAGAATTATATTTCGTGCTACCAGAGGCAATGTGTACATTAGGCAGGCTGCTGTTGAAGAACCTGTTGTTGATCCTGTTTCTGGAGAGAAGGTTGATTTTGGTTGCATTTCTGCTGAACATTTAATTCTTGTTGTTACCTTTTTTTTTTTTTTTTAGCAATATGCATGATGATGAGCTGCTTAACAGACACACTAACATATGCATGACACAGAAACAAAAAGTAATAAAGTAACTGTAATTATGCATCATGTCATCATTTCATCTCTATTACTCTTGCTCAATTGTAATTCTCAATTCTAATCTCTTAATGAAATGTTACCCAACTGATCTACCCATTTGTACTAGTCCTGTGCACTGCTCACTCCCATGCTAACTTATACTAGTCAGCTTGTATGATATACGAGAAGTTTGTTTGGTGTACTCTTCAATGCTGTATATACACTTATGCAGTCCTAATTGCTTGAAGACTGCTGTAGAAGAGGCTCACTGAATGTCTTTGGCTCTATGATGATATAATGTTTCTTCCTGTAAATTGTTTTTAGTATTTAAATTTAGTCTAATCAGTTACTATTTTTACCATGCTAATTGCCTGAGTTGTAGTATATGATTCACTTGTTTGTTGAATCCAGTAGTGAATGCTTTGTTTGATATCTTGTTAAAATGTGAGGGCTATGCCTGATTTATCTTAAAGTCACTAATGCCATGCTTTATTCATTTTTAGTGCATGAATTTTGGGCTTCTTGGAGAAAATGTATTCAATTGTTAACTGTTTTTGTTTACCACATTAATATGTTTGTTTCTGACTTGTGAATGTCAACAGGTTGAGAAGAATGTATTTGTTGTCTTTTATTCGGGAGAAAAAGCGAAGACCAAAATACTAAAAATATGTGAAGCTTTTGGTGCAAATCGTTACTCTTTCACTGAGGATTTTGGAAAACAAGTTCAAATGATCTCTGAAGTACGTGCTACGCTTTTGTTGGATGTTTCATTCTCCTTTTAATGATAAGTTGCAACTTTTGTTATTTCCAAGTCTTGGCATGCTGCTGCTGCTTTCTTTTTCGTTTTGATGTTTTATTTACCCAGGAAGCTGTTGCCTGCTTCTTTCCAAATCTTGATATTTTCATTCCCCTCTTAACATCTTAAACTGTTGGTACATATATCTAGATTGTTATTATCAGGCATTTTCAATTGCTTTATGCATTTGCTATAAAAAAGTGTAACCTATTTCCGATCGAGTATGATATGTTTAATCACTTCAAATTTCAGGTTTCAGGAAGAATCTCTGAGATTAAGACCGCTATAGATGCAGGATTGTTTCACAGGAGTAATTTGTTGCGGACTATTGGTGATCAATTTGTGCCGTGGAACACTTTGGTCTGTTCAAAGTTATATTTACTCAATTTCTTCTGCAAATATGATATTTCTACTGTGGATCATGTTCAGCCATTAACAATCTTTTCAAACTTTTGAAGGTGAGGAAGGAAAAATCCATCTACCACACATTGAACATGCTCAGCCTTGATGTGACCAAGAAGTGTCTTGTTGCTGAAGGGTGGAGTCCAGTTTTTGCTGCAAAGCAGGTATATCCTGATGCTAATTATTAATGGGCATTGTTTTGGGCGATCTTGAATCATACTTCTGAACTAATAAATACTATGAAACTCTCGCATTGGATTGCATATAAAACAAGTTTGAACTCGATGTCTGCAGATCCAGGATGCATTGCACCGAGCTGCATTTGATTCCAACTCACAAGTTGAAACAATCTTCCAGATTCTGCATACGACAGAGTTACCACCTACATATTTTCGTACAAACAAGTTTACTTCTGCTTTTCAAGATATTGTTGATGCTTATGGGTGAGTTTCACTCTAAGACCATTCTTGCTGATACTGCTTTCTCGATTAGTATGCTAGATCACTGCCGACATTGTTACCCTTTAAGTAACCTAATAAGTTTTGATTTTTTCTTTTCCCTTTCTCTTATTAAATTTATTTTCAAATCATGACATTTAGCTATAAGTTTCTAACTATAAAGAATGCATCAGAAATAACTGATTGAAAGTAATCAAATGACATGAAATTTAGCATTCAGAAAAACTGAGGTTAGGTCTAAAATCCATTCTATTCACAACCTTGGTAAGAGTAATGCACATATAAGAACACTGCTTGCATCTAAATGGATAATGACATCCAATGTTTTTGTGTCATGTCGTGTAAGATGATCTAAACTAGCTGCATGCTGCACAATCCAAATGCATGGACTGGTCTCAGTTTACATATAACTAGATTTGGTTAGATGATTTGGTATGATGCCTCCCTATTTTCTGTACAAATCTTGTGTGGTTTGCTGTTAAATATAGCATTTGCTTGCATATGCGGACTCACAGATGCGTGTGTGCACTCAAACATTCATGTCCTGGTTTGCCTGTTTTCTTTCTCCTATTGAAATTAATAAATACAAATAAGATGCTTTGGTTTTACACAATTGCAGGGTGGCTAAGTATCAAGAAGCAAATCCTGGTGTGTACACTATTGTTACATTCCCATTTCTTTTTGCCGTCATGTTTGGTGATTGGGGACATGGAATTTGCTTGTTGCTGGCAACATTAGTCTTCATAATCAGGGAAAAGAAACTTTCTGGCCAGGTAATCTCTGGGTAACTTTGATGGTTGACAGGCATTTTATACTTTGATATCTAGCTTGATTATGGCATTGTTCTGTAGCATTAAAGTCATTGAGTGTTGACTTCTCTTACCATCAGGATTGCTTATCTCTAGAAGATTTGACTTGTTTTAAAGATTGTCATTTTTTGTGTGTGTTTTTTCTCTTGATTATCTGCATCCCTGTTTAATAAAATCATACATGTTTTGTGCATCAGAAACTTGGAGATATCACTGAAATGACCTTTGGTGGTCGTTATGTTATCCTGATGATGGCACTCTTCTCAATTTACACTGGTTTTATCTATAATGAATTCTTCTCAGTCCCCTTTGAACTATTTGCCCCATCAGCATATGCATGCCGTGATATCTCTTGCAGGTATTTGACTTGAACCTTTTATAAACCAGCAATAAAATTTTTCATTTAGTGTGCTCTTTCAATTTTCATATGACAAGTCCCATGCATACTTGTTTTTCAGGGATGCTACCACTGATGGTTTGATAAAGGTGCGCCCCACTTACCCATTTGGTGTAGATCCTGTGTGGCATGGCACCCGCAGTGAACTGCCTTTTCTCAACTCTCTGAAGATGAAAATGTCAATCCTTCTGGGGGTTGCTCAAATGAACCTTGGAATCATATTGAGTTATTTCAATGCAACATACTTTAAAAACAGCTTGAATATCTGGTAAGCTTTGGAAAACTTGGATGCTGACTGGTTCAGCATCTTTCAATTTTATTTTTTATTTTTTTCTTTTTTACTGGAGTTGTAAAAATGGTATGTTATCTCTAAAGGTGGCCATTGTCATGCATTTTCCAGGTTCCAATTTATCCCCCAAATCATTTTCCTAAACAGCTTGTTTGGCTATTTATCACTCCTTATCATTGTGAAGTGGTGGACTGGTTCACAAGCTGACTTATACCATACAATGATATACATGTTCCTGAGTCCAACAGACGAGTTAGGGGAAAATCAGCTTTTTCCGGGGCAACAGACTGCTCAGGTCGACTCGAATTTTCTGCTGCCTTTTACTTTATCTTTCTTGTATATGAGATTTGGACTTTCTACTAATTCATTTGTATATTCTGTTTTCAGCTCGTGCTATTATTATTGGCCCTTGTTTCGGTACCATGGATGCTGCTTCCAAAGCCTTTCCTTTTGAAGAGGCAACACAAAGCTGTATGATACAATTCTCAACTCCCGAGTTTCTCAATATGATTTAAAGTGTATATATGTGCATGCATGCAAATAAAAAAAAGAAAAAGATCATTATCCTTTGTTCTCTCTTTCCATAAATTCTGATTGTATTGTTTCTCCCAGAGGCACCAAGGTGAATCGTACGTGCCACTACAGAGCACTGAGGAGTCTCTTCAATTGGAGGCGAACCATGATTCACATGGACATGAGGAATTTGAATTCAGTGAAGTTTTTGTACATCAGCTTATACATACCATTGAGTTTGTACTTGGAGCAATCTCAAACACAGCTTCATACCTTCGTTTATGGGCCCTCAGGTTTGTCATTAGAGTTTAAATTTAGAATTCAATCTGCATGTAACTGGTACAGTTTAATATTTAAATTATGTTGTATGCATCATTTTTCTTGATGAGTCTATATATTACCTTCATAAAAGCTGCACTGATTGAAGTTTCCTTCCTTATCCTTATATGATGTTGAATTCCACCCTTAGATATAGTCCCCACAGTTAGCTGTAGTCATTTATCTATATTTCTAAAAGTGTCATCTTCTTTATGTTTGATAGTTATCCAGTCCCCTTGGCGAGGGCTAATTGTATGCTTTATGTTGCCTCTTTGATTGCAGTCTTGCGCATTCGGAGTTGTCTAGTGTCTTCTATGAGAAGGTCCTCCTCCTCGCTTGGGGGTATGTTAATACTTCTTATGATCTTGCTTCAACTAAAATGCTAGGTACACACAACTATGCTCAAACATGGATGCTAGCTAACATTGTGCTTTACAATTGCCACAGGTACAACATTGTTGCCCGTCTTGTCGGCATCATCGTCTTTATTTTTGCGACTGTTGGCGTACTGCTGGTGATGGAAACTCTTAGTGCTTTCTTACATGCCTTGCGTCTTCACTGGGTGGAATTCCAAAACAAATTCTACGAGGGAGATGGTTATAAGTTTTATCCCTTTTCATTTGCATCAGTAAATGATGAGGATGAATGATGCACCAATATAAAATCATAGTTGCTGCCGAAGACAGGAATTCATTGTGTATGGGCATGGATTTGTTTGGATTTTTTCATTTGAACATGATGAGAGGTGATTGGTTTGTATCTTGCGGGGAGTTTGAGGAAGCTTCTATTTTTGGAGCATTGCTTCTCTTGTCCAATCCTTCATTATTTATCTCTTGTCCAATCCTTCATTTGTTACTGAAAGGACTAGGCAGTTTCCTAGAAGGAAGTGGCCTCCTGTATGTGATGGCAGCTATGGCCAAATGTAATAATAAGGTTATTTGATTTATTTAAACTTCCATTATTGTTAGTATGTCAGTATGTGGAAAGATAGAGAAACAATAAAGCTGTTGTATGCGGAAAACATGACATATCTGCTTGTATTTAATGTAATGTCTGAATTTTACATGTGTTTTTTTTTTTTTGTTTGAACTTTACTGAATGACTTGACAATTATCTCATGTGGCTGATTCTTTTAATAATGGAATCGAACCACTAAATAATTAAGGTCTTTTAAGAGTAGATTGATTGTGGTTTTTTATTGCTCGTCACCAGTTGGATTCTCTGTTGTGTTACTGGTCATTGATCTGCTTGCTTTGATGTAACCATGGCCATTTTGGAGAGTTGATGGCATCTGTGGAAATCGAGTTTACCTCATGTCTTTTGCGTAACATGCCTACAAGTATTCTTCGGCACGTAGCGGTTAAAAAAATAATCATGATTGTGGATTATGACTTATGCTAATAAATTTATTTTAATTTACATTTTTTTTAACAATTTTATTAATTAAATATTTTAATAAATAATAATATTTTTAATAGTTTAAGATAACTCAATAATTTATTATAAAAAGATAGTTAATAACACTTCTAATAAATTAAATTTCACAAAAAAAATATTCATAATATAATTTAAAATTTAATGTGAAGTTATCTATAATATTCAATAGTTATATTGAAAAAAGAAAAACTAAATTTCAAAATCAAAATACATACAAAACTTTTTAATGAAAACTAATAACAAAATTTAATCGGAAATTAAAAGGTATATATTGATGAAATTAACTTAAAAATACGAAGTGCATGTTTAATACAAGAGTTAGCAACAATAATTCAAGCTCAATTTAATATAAATCTTAATGCATTACCTACAATAATAATAATTATTATTATTAGTTTCGAAAATTAACAAATAAATAAATAAATAGTAAAATTAGCTTGGGTTGAGAATTACCTCTATGAATTCTCTACTTTGTAAGCAAATATTTAAAAAAAATTATGTGATTTGGCAAGACAATGAAGCAAAAAACAAATGAAATGTCTTAAATTATCTGTTCATTTTGGAAGAAGGAAGCTGAATTGCTGAAGTATATCCTGGCCGATGGCAAGAACTAAAACTAACATTGAAAATAACATAATATTTATACTAGGCCAAAAGTGAATGGTGTATTTTTCTTTTTTTCTGTAGTAGTGACAGAGTCCATACATTGATTGCACTTTGCTTGTGCGCAACAAAAAAATTCAAATGCTGCAAGTTTATCTTTGAATTGCTTGTAGTCAATCAAATTAAAGAGCAGCGAAGGCTAAAACGAATACTCTCAACCTGAAGCGAATACTTTCTGTGAAGTAGGGTTGTTAGATTATACTAATTTCTTCTTGATTTGTCTTGCCTTACTTTTATTTATTTAGTTATTTATTTCAAGACTACTACAAGTTTTTAGAAGTAGAGAAAAATAATGTTGAAAAAGGCACAAAACCACGTGGGGCGCGGAGCCCTGAACTGCAATTCATTATTTCATAATTGTCACTTAAATAAAAGAGGAAGTCTCACCATACTCTTGTATCAATGCAAGATTTCCTCTCTTGTGTAACAATTTCTTTTGCTTCCCTCTCATATCAATTCAAGATTTCCTCTCTTCTATAACTGTTTCTTTTGCTTCCCTCTCTGTGACTTAGTCTCAAACAAGAACTCAAATACTTTTATGACTACATTCTACACAAATAGCAATGGTAGAAATTTCATCACTGTCACTTAAACATTAGTTGTGCACACAAAAAAAATTATAGCAAAAGAATCACGGCAAAAGGAGGCCAGATTTCAGAAGACTATAAAGAGATTTTTTTTTTTTTTGCAACTCCGTTATACATGTTAAATGTCATCAGAGCACCTATAGGCTGAATAGCGATGATGGAGTAAACATAACGGCTATTATTGAAAACTATGCTTCAGAATATCGTCAATATGAATCTGATTATCAACTATCTAGCTGAGGTTGGCAACACTATTTAGCCACTTTCAAATACGAGGTGCGATCCCAATTGAACAGATGCATCCATAATTTTAAATTATGAAACGCGGTTGTAAAAACAATAGCAATTGCAAATTAATAATGCTTTTAATAATAATCATGAAGATTAATAACCTAAATATATTAGCAAATTAACATTCTAATTTACATATTTTTAATAATTTTACTAATTAATCATAATAACATCTCTTAACATTTATTAACATACAATAATAATTGAATTTATTAAAAAAATAATTAATAATGCTTTTAATAATTTGATATCATATAAATAATAATGAAATATATAAAGATAACTGTGTATAACACCGTCACTTATGATTATTATCTGGAACTACGGATGCATCAACTCAATACAGGATGCTGATTCGGTGCTTTTGTCATTGGCTAGCTCGAGGATGCTATGCAAATCTTTGTTAAGCACTATGGTCATGAAATCCTACGTTGCCACATCAAAATAAACGAAATAAGATTTTAGGATTGCAAGTCTTGAAACGAGGAGACATAAATAATATAGTACGGCTGTTTCTTGCAAACCGAAAGCATAGGAAATTTCAAAGAAACTTCAATCCTATGCTCGGTTGAATATGACAGGCAGATACTTCATTAGGGCATATCAAATTTAAAATGTTGAATCCTTAATTACAAAGATCCAAAGTAGGTAGCATCATTAGGATGTGTCTCCTACTGGGAGTGGGTCTGCACGGCAGCAACAGTTGAGACCATGGAATCTACCCCACAAACATTGCGACCCCTGCAGATTTTGTAGAATCCATTCTCTCCCCATTTCTCTCCCCATGAGTTCTTGATAATCCAATATGGCTTCTCCTTCATCCTGACGGGAGCATAGCCAGCTGAGCCATATCCCACCAGCAACACTCCATGATCCAGCCTCCTTGAGCAGATGTATGGACATGAAACTCCTCCAATGTATGTTTGCATGAACACAGCATTGATGGCCACTGTATTATGGCAAAGCATGAGTTTGAAAAAACTAAACACTTAAATTGTGAATGTCAAAAGAAAACTAATGCTCCATCAAATAAAAATCAAGTCAATTTACCTGCAAGAGGACCGTTTTTCACTAGATTTGCAGCAATTTGATCTTCATCAAGGGACACAACGCTAAAGTTGGCCACTCTCGCTGCAACCTTGCTCTTGTCAAATTTGCAAGTATTACGGTCTGTGCCAGTGTAAGGATAGTCTTCCTCGCGCATGAGACCACCAGCTTTCAGAGTATACTCAAGGGCACTATTCATCAGCCCACCACTGCACCCAGAGTCGCATGAATCTTTTTCTTCAGGATCACACTGCAGACAGGCCCAAGGTTAAATTAGAGAACAAGTAACCAACAGGTATATCTAAGCACCAACTTACGCGAGATATCATGGTATCCAATGAATTATTTCATTTCATTATTTCTCATCAAAGCAAATTTGTTTCAAGTTATCATTGAACCATCAGCAGTGAACTGCAGGATTTAAATTTAAAGAACATTGAATCTGTAAGCCTAATTTATGGAATCAACTCATCAACAAGAAAGAATACAGCCAATTCATAAACAAGCTTCCAACATACCTACCAAATATTATCATATTTCAAACAAAAGATAACCAACCCTTGCTAGATAGGCATTATTCAATCTGTTTATTGATGAACCTAATTGATTTTGAAGATTGAAGACAACCTCCAGTGAATCCAATAATATAGCAAACAAACCCTTTTCCTGTTACCTTAATTGAACTTCCGATCAAAAATGTATACATAATCAACACCAAGAATAAACAGTAATCATCAAAGTTCACATATTTCATGAATCATGTAAGCACTATTAATCATAATTCAATATGGAATAATGAATGTTGCTTCACATACACAACTTTTATATGTTTGACCCTGTGAAAAAAAGATGATGAAAGATAAATAAAAACTATTAGCAAAAAAAGCATACCTCATGATCGCAATCCACAAGCTGCTGCTCACTGAGGCTAACGAGCTCTCCAGTAGCAAGGAAGTGTGCCCCTTCCAAAGCTCCTGTAGTGCTAAAACTCCAGCATGAGCCACATGAACCCTGGCCCCAACAAAACATAATCAAACATCACTATCATCAATAACCTAACCCCAAAAATAAAAATAAATCATCAATAAATATAAATAACAGCTAAAAATTCATAAATTTCATCGAAGTCAACACCTAACTACCTCACCTAAAACCGATCCTTGAAAAATAAACACAAATAATAATAATAATGAAATATTGTAGAGAATTTTTCACAACAGCCCGTGGATGGCATACCGAATACCCGACCCGACCACGAACACAAAAGATAGCAACTTTCCACACACAAACCAAACAATCAGAAAAAAAGAATAAAAAACATCAAATCATGAAAAACTTCAAAAACGAAAAATAAATAACTCAAATAATCGAGATAAACCTGATTTTTAACAGGACCAACAGCTCCTTTGTCTCTCCAATCAAAATCCTCAGGCAAATCATTAGTAGGCAAAATCGGAGCTTTATGAGCATCCTTAGGAAACCTCAAACTCCGTAACCCTAAAACCTGCTTTTTAAACTCAGCCCGCGTCAAATCGGAGAACTGAGTCACTCCATGACTTGCTGTAGGGTCCAATTTCTGATGACGCGCCGCGCGTCTCAGATTAGCCTTAAATACCGAAAACCG